GGTTAAAAAGTCCTGACAAATGAGGATGAGAAAAAATTGCTCAGCAACTCTCTGTCAACAGACATTCAATCGTTATTTGAAATTGGAGCTAAGGGACCAAAAGTAATTCACTTCTTTGTTCTTTTTACAGTTTGAAGATCATGTACTGTTATTTCTTGTTTATTGTTGATGACAGCAGGAGTATAAAGGAAGAGGAATAAAAGAGGAGAGAAGCTTGAAATGACATCAACTGAAGGGTTTTATTAAAAATTGAAAATATATTTAAGACGAAGAAGTTGCACACAAAAAGACGCCTTCGCCTTTCGTATTATATCAACTATTAAAAAAGAAAAATTTTCGGATGAATCTCACCAACGAAACACATTTGTGGAAACATAAGTCCGAAGATTGAAAAAAGAAATCGATTGAATTATATATAAACAATCTTTCAGCGTTTCTCTTAAATTCATCACTTTTATGATCCATAATTAACAGCTGCAAGCATATGATATTCTGTAGCAATAATAGTAAAAAAGTACTGAGGATGAGAAGGAAGAGATAATAATTTGAAATTTCGGTCATTTTAAATTTCAATTTAAAGAATATTTTATGTGAAGTAAAAATCCATAAATATTATCATGAGTATATTGAAGATCTAAATCCTGTTTATATATTTACAAATTTTATAATTAAAATCAAATAATTTGCAATAGCCACAACAATAATATGTTATTTTCCTTTTTCCTATTTACGTTTACTTCAGTTTTAATAGCGGTGATTATTTTTTAGGCAGATTGAAAAGGCGATAAAGGATTATTTGCTATTGAAAAAGGTGCGAAAAATGTTGGTTTTGGAGATGATGATGTGATGACTCATACACCTTCTTTTTTTACTTTCTACTTTTAAGTTGAAGAATAAGAGAAAGAAATAGTTGGAAATTTCCTAACAAAGAATTATTTACATTTCAAAAATAAGAAAAAATTTCTATTCCGGTAATTACAACATAAAATGTTTTTCCATGCTAAGGCGATCGTAGGTCACGTAAATCGTCCCTTCTATTGTTACCTCGGAAATGGCTCTTTAATGGGATTGCGATTCTAAAATTCCCTCACTATTGGCAATGAATAAAAGTAACCATACGTGGCCCAAAGGAAGACTGAAAGGAAATTTTGCGAAAAAAATGACAGCCGATAATTTTAATCCGATAATTTAAAGATGATTACGCCTTATTAAAAAAGAGAAAAGAAAAATAAAGTGTCGGCTGGCTAAGTCTCTGTTGCAGCGAAGCTAAAGAGTACTGAGAAAAGAAATAATTATAATTAGATTTTAGCACAAAATTTTAATTCAAAAATGACAAATAACGAATATATTCTTATAAGCAAAGCTTTCCTATCACACAGTGATGAAATATTATATGTAATTAAGGAGTAATTTCCTCACATTTAACATAATTTTATTTCGTGTTTTACTCAAAGCTATTTTGAAAATGTATCTTTTTGTGCAACTTAGATAAGCACAAAATTTGATAAACATCACTGTCATCGTGATTAAATGTTATTGCAGGGAAACTTGAAAAAAATAGTGATCATTTCTTTCCAGTCACTGCTGATATGTGATGAATCTGGAAATAATACCGGTCCAACAGTATGAGTCATGAATTTCCACGCAAATTAAAAGGCTTGAAAACGAAACTTTCTTTGAGACACTAAAATCGCCAGCAGATAAAATTGCCGGAATTTATAAAATTTCAACATTAATGAAAAGTACAAAATTTTAAAAGTTTAATGCGGCGCTTCTTTGATATACTGTAATGCCCTCATCAAATCTAAATCTTTCACCTAAATATCAGCGCATTAAGAAAAAGCAGATGTTCACCAGATAAATTTAACAGATAAGAAAACTGTTTTCAAATCTATTCTGCTTTAAGAAAAAAGACAAACTTACTGTAAAACTACTACGATACTTTCATATACATATATTTTGCTTATTACCAAATCGAAATAGAATTCATCAGTTTGCATCATTTTACGGTGTCAGTTACCCCTTAATCAAGAGCACTAATCTACATTTTTACTGATCGAAATTGATGTAACGATTATGATTATATACATTTTGAAGGAAATGATTGAATTCAATATGCCACCAAATCTTTCCAGTACTCCTTGCTGATAAGTTGTTGGTATTTCTCCATTTACACTAATTTTTTCTCCTTAGTTTAATAAGAATATTACTGAAAGCTTTAAAGTAATTATTTCATTAGAGCCTTTCTTGGATTGAAATTATTGACTCTTATTATTTCCCATTGTCTTTGCTCATTATTTCATAAAACTCAATTTTTGAAGTCGATATAGGACCTATAAGAATTTCACGAACGATCAAAATTTTAACAAACAATTTGGAGGAAGCAAAAAAGAAAAACAACTATTTGGGACATCATAAAAATGGTAGTATGTGCTTCGGTGATGGTAAAGAAATAAGAAGAAAATGAGAACACGAATCGTGAAAACGTGAAGTTGTGAAAAAAAATTTAGTTGCTTTTCAAAAAGAAATCGGCAACATTAAAGGAAATGATTGTTACAACAATTGAATTAGAAGAAAATGTTGAGTTGAATTTATATCTATTGCTTTTCTTTGCATAAAGTGAATATTTCCAGCATGATTTACTTCAGTTTTAGGTGAATTTTGAATTCGGAATTTTATTATCCATAACTATTAATCATTTATTATACGATGATTTGAAGTGATAAGTAACATCTGTGCTTGTATCAAATAGATTTTCTACTTATGTAATTCAGGAAATTAAAGAATGATGACAAGGAAGTGCCAACGCTGAAATAAACTGATCTTCCAAATTTAATATAGCCCATGAAATGCGCTGGCACATAAATACATATAAAAAGTGCATATGCAACCACTTCAATATTTTCCATCAAAACTGCCAATGTCGAATTCCTTACAATTTTTGCACGACTTAAAAAGTGGAATTTCCTTGTAATGAATCAAATCTTTGAGGGCATTAAAGGTTGATATGTATGAAACGAAGCCATTACACGATTTAATTATACAGCCATCTGCCCATCGATTAAACAATCGGAAATTTTCAGTTTATGATAATGGTTTCACAGCTTACAAAAAAAAGACATTGAGCCATTTTTAAATTTTGTTCGATGCCATATTTCATCAAATTATATTGTACAGGACGGCTGTCCGACTTTATCAACCCTCTTTTCCTTCGTTTTTTTAAAAAAAAGAACTGAAATGAGATCCGTGCTGGGTAACACCATCACTCTGTGATCAATGTAATACTCGAAATTTCAAATTTTGTTTCAGATTATTCACTTAATTTAAGGATGAAATAGCTTTGTTATATTCAGTTACTGATAGAGTAAAAAAGAAAAAACGAAATAAAAATGTCCAATAAAGAAAGTTGGGAAGTTGATCAAAAATTGTTGAAATGTTATTGTGTGGTAAACAAAAAATATCGAAATTTGAATTGTTGTTTGAAAGCAAAATGCTGAAAGAGCCAAAGTAATCTGCAACTACACTGAAAGATCAAGGTCACTAATGACGATTTTCATATGTTCACTTATATATGAACAAATACAGCTCGTGTAAGTGTAAGTTAAGATTTTGTAGATTAGGGAAGCTATATTAGAAAAGGATATAATGAATGCGACAATAACGTTGACTTTCAATGCAACAAATTTTTTCACCCTTCCTTTCGTGCGCTTAACGTTTATCGCTTTTGGCCATTCTGAAATATCTATGCAATTTCAAATACCAAACTTTCCCGGATCTTCAATATTTCCCTCAATAAGCATTTCCAGATCCATCTAGCCATCCATTCTCTCGTAAAATCCCAATATTTTATCTTTAGAGGAAAAAACTATTCAAAAGCCAGCAAAACTATAAATAAAAATGTTTACAACACATGCAACACATATTTGGTAATACAAAAAAATGATAATTTATACATAAGCAGTATCACAAAAGTGATAATGATAACACATGGATGTTGAAGTATAGGTGCTTGATGATATTAAGAAAGTTTGTTTCTATCAGTGACAAACTAGTCACTCTTCAGAATGGTATGAATATTTTTATTTAATTATGTTAATAAAATTATTATTAGGATATTGAACTTCTTTTGAAATAAAAAAATCTTTTTTATAATACCGCATTAGAATGAGTAGCAAATACCATAATTACCTTTTAAATCTGTGAAAAAATGTAGTTGCTGAATTACGGCTTTAAGTTAATATATGTATTTCGAAGTTTCGCAATGTTTGGAAAAAAGTTGTTATAGTAATATTGACTTCATTTAACAGTAAAATTTATCACTGAAAATCAGAAATAGCATGTTCCTGCTCAAAATCGATTAATAGGTTGAAATTTTAAAACAAACCCTTTGAAGTTGTAAGGAAAATGCTTTTATATAAGTGCATATAAGCTAGAATGAAGCAGAGGAATGATGAAGGCTGTGATTGAATTGCGTGTAAACATATTATTGTTTTTGATTTTTAAATTCTGATTCTTACCAATTTATTATTTTCATTTTTTTGAATTTGAAATAGAATTTCAACATGCAAACATTTTGGTCATATTTGAAATTTTTTAAATAGTATTAGTTAGAATAAGATGCTTTGCCAATTCACACGTACACAATATTTGGGAACTGTACTAAATTGAAATTTTAAAATTTAAATGCTATGTTCCGATGATAAGATAATGTAATTATAAATGCGGAAGATAAACAACACTCAACTGGGTGAAGCAGAAGAAGGAGTAAACATGGCCTTGCTAGTGAAAAGCAAGATCAGAAATAAATATTTCCAAAAAATAAAGTTCATGTAGTAAGCTAATGATTTACTTTTCATATTGTGGAAAAAGCTGTTTTTATCAGCTTTACATTTTTTTTTGGATGGGCTTCAACAGAATCGAAGAAAAGTAAATACGAGTGACTTGTTTTGATAATTTAGCTTGCATTGTAATGGATTTTATGCATTAGAATCTCATCCAAATTAAAATAAACTAACAGTTATTGCAGGTTGAAGTTCGTAGTCCAATTCTTGTAAAGTGAATAGATCCCCGCTATTTGCATCGATTGTAAACCACCCACCATCCGTTGCATTATCCACTGGCTAAAATCAAATCATTTCTCTTTCTGAATTCATGCAGCTCGATTAATTCGAAATCAATAAATATCAACTGATATTATTTGAATATAAGCAGCTAAAAATTTAGAAATCTCAATATTATTAAAATGGAAATTTAGTATAGACATTCTCGCAGTTGATCATACTGCAGATTCACCTTGAAAAGTAAGAGATAAAATATCATTTTGTTGTTGACCCTATATTTAGCCGAAATATTATATTTTATTTACAGTTTCTGCAAAATATTATAACTTATATTTAGCAAGATTGAGATAAGGAGCATTAATATTTAGCTTTCCTATCATTAACTAACCGTTATTGAGTACTTAATTTCTCGGCCAAATTGCTCATTAAAACCACCGATTTTAGCTCGGACTGAATAAATGCGATCATTAGCTGGAGTATTCTGGAAAAAAAAGAAAGATGACATTCATAATCATTGTCTAATATTTCAAACTAAGATAAAGTTATCATGCAATTGATATCCTCAGCATTTAATAATTATATTTGATTTTTAACTTAAACAAAAAAAAAATGAAATAGCCTGGAACAGTTAATAGATTTTAATAAGTTTGTCATGCTCTTAATTTACTTTCGCTAAAAATGCGACGAAATCCGAAATAAAACCATTACAATTTTGATTTATGCTAAAAGTGAAATTGAAAATTGAACCTCATCAAGTTGTAAAGTGAAATGAACGGAGGGTGACACAATATGTATACCCTTGTTATCACCAGCATGACTTAATGATGTCGATTCGAGTACATGGATGCTAAGAGTTGTACTGGCTGATAGAGGCGGTATACCTGAATTCAGTAATACCAATATATAAAAGCACTTGCTGACAATCTGTCAGGATCTGAATCATTGAATTTCATTTCAAATAAATTTTTATCATATCTTTCTTTTAAAACCATAAACAGTTGGATATGCTTATTAATTTCTCAAGAAGCATATTTAAAAACGAGAGCTATGAATGTGCGGAATCGGCTAATGTGCGGAAGGTAACTCGTAGAATAATCATTCTTTTATACAGGTAAATCTTCTCTGTTTATACCCCGTTCTACACTTCTCTTGCTTATCCTTTATCTTGAATCATATTTATCTTTATCAAAAAACAGTAAAGTTGACAAGAGCTCTGTACTCATATATTTTATTTTTTAATAGTTGTATAATTAAAAAATGTAGTGCATAATTAAAAATTTAATTGTAATTAAAAAAATGTCAAATCAACCTTGATCGCATGCTAGAACTGAGAAATCGTACGGATGTGCACGAGCTAGGCCAATCAGCGCTTTCTTGGCACGTATCAATCCATTTATTGGATCAATTTCGAAGTCTATAATTATTTCAAAATTACTATAAAAATTTTTTACTCTCTCAAATTTATAATTCACAAAAATTTGTTAGAATTGTATGTCATATTATTCTGCAACAAAATGGATAATGTTCAAATAAGGCTCACTTTTTATATTATTGTAAAGTAATTATTTTAAAAAAAAACAAAATTGATTATATGCCTTGTTTTTGAGATATCTCCTTCACTTTCATTTCCTTCACAGTAACTTCTAGAAAAAATTCCTCTATATTTCGCTCGCAAGATAAAAGTGTGAGATAATTTCCTACAATCTGTTTGTTGAATTTTTGGTTAACTGCCATTAAAAAATCTTTTTTGAGAGATAATTTAAGAACTATTACTGAGGAGTTTAGCCCTGATTACTGATATCACCAGGGGTTACATATATATATATATATATATATCAAGGTTGTAACACTCTTTGTTAGAAATTTATTATCAATTTTTTAATTTAAGTAAATCTAATTTTTGTAGTAATGAATTCGAATCTAGATAGAAAAGCTCTAAATTTTCTAGGGAAAGTTTTTGCCAATAAAATATGAATTTAAGGATAAGAAAAATTTGATTAATTAAGAGACTTACTGCTTTTTGTAAATTTATAGCTTTTCAATCAGCAATGTCGAAGAAGAAATCTATTCATTTTGATGTATCGTCAAGTTAAAAAAAGGCATACACTGATTATTCTTTGGTGATAGCGAGTAACGAATATCTGCATTTAGACCTTTGTCTTTATCTTCAGCATGCACATGTGTCAGTATCATTGCTTCAGGCCAATTTTCCACTGCTTCAACTTTGTATTCGTTATGAATGAAAACGGGCACGTTGTCATTTACATCTGTTATCGTAATCATTCCCTGTAATGGAAGTTTTACTCTTCAAATTTTAAATATTTTAATCCGACTTAAATCGGTAATAAACAGATCGGAGATGACGTAAACCGATCAATATAGGCCTAAGAGTTCTAATAATAAACGCCAATGATCACTATTTTATTTAGCTACACGCACTAATATTAACCAGTATCCTTTGCAATAGCAACATTCCACAACTTTGATAGGAGATAAGCCTATATGTTTATAATATGTTTAAAATCTGAAAGTATATGTCTCTATAAAATTACTGAAGCAATTCATTGCTGCATAATTTTTTGAATTTTTTGCATATCATCGTATAGTACTATTACGATTATAATTTCAAAAACTTTTGAAATAGTACCACCACACTATCGCTGTTTCCACCAGAATCAATAACTTTCAGTAAAACAACCATTTTCTCAACTTTTTCTCGGTCCAAATCAGCAGCAGGAGAAACGATTACTGCTACAGTGTCATTTATCTAAAAAAATAATAGGTTTTATGTGTTTATTTTGCTGCACTTAAAATGTCTCGAACTAATTAAATTTAAAGTTTGATATAACTAAATGGTCGAAATAATTTGACCATTCATTTATATCACAATGCTTACCTTTTTAACCTGGAAATTAGCTGCACCGTTACCACTTAATGCATAATTGAAGACACCTGTTTTACCATACAAATAATCAGGATCCGATATTTGAACTTCAAAAAGCACCGTTCCAGGGCGTGAGTTTTCCGCAATCTTCAGCTGAATTTTAAGCAGTGATAAAAATGCTCAAAAAAACATTTGATCAGGGCAAAACTGTAAAGCACAAAATTTTCAAGCATCGTCAAATTTTGCTTTAGGTGCTAAATGCCAACAATTATTTTTCAACTGATTGACAGTTAGCAATTGTCGTGTCCTCGCATTTGCCAGGCCATAAACCAGCAACATCATCAAAGGCAGACCAGAAAAATTCTCTACTATTGTTTTCAGAAAGATTCACAGAGTATGTTGATTAACAGATTAATTAAAATTTAAAATATGAGATTGGATTTCAAATGACTAAAACTTTCTATCTGTTTACTCTTAAAAGCCTTCGCCTTATTCATTAAAAATATACTGATATAAGAAAGACAGGAACCAATTAAATATTAAGCCGATGAGAGAGATTTAGCGGATTTCATAAATAAAACGAACATCGTCAAAGTTATAATCGCCAAATTTGGCTATTTTTGGTGGGTTGTCATCAACATCAATAATTTCAACTCGTAGTACTGCTACAGTATCATATGGTTCTTCACCGGCGATCAGTAATAAATCAAATGTATGTGATTCTGGTTCCATTGCTTCAAAATCGAAAGGCGTCAAAACCTGCACATCTCCTAAAATGACTTCTTTCATGATTGTGAAAGTCTATCGAAAACTAGATATCCAGAATAACTTACAATGGTCGAAAAATTAGCCTTCCTGTAAACCTGAAATTTTAAAAGCTGCAGAAACCAGAATTGTATAATTATACAATGTTTTGCTATTGAATTGCAAGATGATTCATGACCAATCGCAAGTACCTGCTTGCCATATTCGATGGCTCTGGCTGGCTTAAATTTGTTTCTAACTTTTGTATTTAAAGATATGAACTCTAACCACTTCTTCCATCAACAGTGAAATGTTGTGCCATTTCGCCTGAAAGTTTTAGATCCATAACTTTGGTCCCATTCATCGGATTGTAAGCTGGCAGCGAAATAATTGTGTAGCCTTCTGGTGAATTTTCAGCTAATTTGATCTGAAAATGTTGTTAATACAATTTCAGCCAGAAAAGTTATGCATGAAAAGGCAAAGCAAATGTTATGACAACTGAAATAATATGAGTGAACAAATGCGCCTACCAATAAATAAAGGATTGGTGGATAAATGATCAAACATGTAGTAAAGAGAAATCAGTAAGCGAGTTTTTAAATCATCTCATGCATACTATAAGTAATAAGGTGAGTAAAATAAGTTACTGGAATGATATTCATGTCACTTCTCCATGGATGACCAAATCTTGGCTGTGCTTGTCGCTTACGTTCATGTGCCATCTCCACTGGCTCCGAACTGAGAAACAGCATCACTTCTGCTGTAATTTGGTTAAGTTTCTTTTGCTATAATTTATTTATTTAAAAATGCATGTTATATATCAATATATAAGTCGCATTGATATACTATTATAAAGATTTGTTGTTATACTGTTGAAATTAAGATATGTGCCATTTTTAGTTTGTATATTCAAGGATTGAAAGAGAAGATGGTAATAATTTGATGGAAGTAATTTAAATCAAGTTCAAAATGTTAATAACAATAGTTTTGTGTATGATTGTTATACAAACCGGAATCATTAGCATCTTCTTTTGAGGATAAGTTGAATTGTAAGATCCGTGCTTGTTGCAATCGCTTCATGTCCATTATTATCATACCATAACTACTTGATATTGCATTCTGCAATTCAAAGAAAAATCGATTCTAATGATTTTATTTTTATCACTTACAGAATTCCATGCTTAAAATTTAAATTCATCATCACTGCGCACTTTTCAAAAATCGAAACATATGCTTGAGATATGGAAAGAAATACCTTATCGAGGTGAATGTAATGAAGTTGCTCATCAATAGCACTGATACTATCTCGTATGATCGTTATTGATGCTTTGTTATGTTCCGGAAGTATTTCTACTGTTTGACGACTTAGTGCTGAGTCTGATGTATGCAAAATTTTAGTAGTTGGCAGAATAAAACTATGCTATAGAAGTTTCGTCTTATACTATGAAAGTTAAATTTCAATCAATAGTTTCTATCAGATTTCAACAAAACATCATATTTAATTCAATAAATTCTTTAACCAACCTTTACGCACGGTTTTGACAATAAGCTTTTTGGTAAACAATTTCTTCACGTGATTATTGTTGATTACGGTGAGAACGAGAACAGATTCCGTGATAATCCTACCATCAGTTCGATTCACTGCTGCGATGGATGTACTGTATTTCCCACTTACGATGCCGGTTCTGTAAAATAAAAAGTAGTTATATTGCTAATGAATACTTTTTTTTGTTCAAATTTCTGGAAATTTCCATTTGGTAGCTGTCTCATTAAATTGAATATTTAATGTGGTTATTTCGCAGAATTTTATAGTCGAATAATGTTCGTAACTTATAATTTGAAGATTTACCGCGGAACATCCCCAACAATGACATTTCCATTATATTCATCCACAGAAAGCCAACCGGGATCGTCTCTCAAAAGAATGAATCGTAATGCATCTAGTGGAGCATTTTCCAGTTCCGGTTGAAGAATGGAGTTATCTGGAACAAATTAGCATTTTTTCAAATTTTCCGATTTATCAAATTAAAATTCTGAGGTCAGCTAAGATGTCCAGAAAAAAACCTTTAAATAACTTTTCGGTGTTAACAGTCCTTTCATATTTCGTTCGTTTGAAATGAGCTTTCGTCACTGTATTCTGAAGTAGAAAGTTTTCAACTTGGTTTCATTTCAATTGAAAATATGAAACAGAAAATGAAAAGGTTATCACTTATGTTTGGTATTTGATGTGAGAATGGTTGGAAACAAATCTCAAACGCACGCGCCAAAAGTGAATTTCAGATGCATTGGAAGAAATATTCGAATAAACAGGAATGGATTGAAAAAATAAGCATAAACTTACCAGCACTTGTGTTTTAACGGTGAGTCTTTGTTCTGGAATATTTCCATCGGGATCACGGGCAGTGATAATCAGTTGATAAATCCCCGCTGCTGGTAATGACCAAAGCCGTCCGTAATAAATATTATCACGCACTTTTTCCAGCGAAATAAATGCTGATGCCGTGCCATCTATGCTTATTTCATTGATATTATGTGGTGCTATATCATTATCTTTTACCTGTTAATTAACAAATTACTTCACAAAAATCTGAATATTTCCAGAAATTTAACTTTCTGTTTGTTATAAGTTACTTTATTTTACTGTCATTTTGATTTACTTATTCGGAACTAAATTTTATTACCTTTACAACAAAGGGCTTTGTGAGACGGCCATTTGATACTGTAATTTCATTTTGTGATGTTTCCAGAATTGGGCCATTATCATTCCGGTCATTGATAAAAATCTTTACAATTGCAGGGGCCGATTTTAAACCATCTTAAAAGCAGAAAAATTGTATATTGTCCTAAATACATCGATAGGTGATAAAGCTGATGTGATGGCGAAACTCAGACTGGTCAACAATAAAAAGTTGGTAGAGAAATTTCACGCCATAAATGTCACAAAATTTGATATTCCTCAGATAATTGTATAGGCAAGAAGAAAGTAAAAATGGAATGGTTAGTTGAAGAGCTTACTGCGATCGGTAACGATAGCAAGAAGATGATATGCAGCAGTTTGCTCCCGGTCCAAGCACGGCAGAACACTTGGACATGAAACGCTTACCGTACCTCCATTTACCGCAAATCTTAAATGAATCAATTACACAGAACATGAAGTAATTTTTCAAATCTTGACAAAAAATAATATTTCTTGCCTACTTTTTCTTTTTTTGAATTTTTATACAAATCGTTTTTAATGCAGTAAAACTTGAGCTCACAACTGTTAATTAGATGTGCTAAAATAATATTAAAATATGCGTGGCTAATAATATGTGGGTATATTGCAACAAAATATCAAAATTGTACAATTCACTTCCGGGACCAATAAGCTGATAAGTGATAATTCCATGTCCACGGCGATTCATGAATTCAGCTTCCATCTGACCAACTTTTTGTCCTGTTATGCTGCCTTCATTTACATGAAAATCATATTCAGGAAACAAAAATACTGGCAATTCATTGCTTAGATTTTCATCTCTAATAATATTAATCACTTTTGATGACGTTACTGACGGACGTGTTCGTTGAGATGCGGTGACCTGAAAAAAGTAATTTCATTGAGAATCATTATGAATCCACTACTATGGTATAATTTTCTTTTCAATTTATCAGTTTAAACAGTTAAAACGAAGAAGAGAATAGAATTTACTAAAGAGTGATGAGAGACATATAGTCAAACGGTAGTGAAGAAATAAAACAAATTCTAAGAATCTGACAATCTGAGAGGATAAAATGCGATAAATACCCAATACTATTGAAGAACTTTGAATCACTAAACTTCACCTTGACAACAACAAAGCCATCTAAAAGTTCGCGATCCAGTTTTTCAGCGTCACGAACAGCAAGGAAAACTGACTTTCCTGGCTGCATACGACGCGGAATGACTTCCAATGAAGAAGAATTTACTGATACCATAATTACATCATTAGGATCCTAAAAAAACCAAATTTTTGAGTCTTATTGTTTAGGGCAAAAGATAATTCAAAAAAACTTACCATGTTATTAGCTGTAATGATGATATCAAGATCGGGTAAAATGTCCGAATCTCTAAATTCGTTAGGCAAAACGTATTTGCTTCCTTCGATGGTTTTGAACTTCACATCTATCGCTAAAACTAGTTGATAATTAAAATCATGAAGCTATCACTAAAATCTTGGCATGATTCGCTACTTATTCGATTGCTTAAACTAATGCTGTTCTTAACAGTCCACAAAAGATGTTAAAATTCCTAGATGTAAGATATTTTTTCTAGATTCAGATGCATATTTGATCATAGAAAGTTTGTATTAAGTTTACTTGTTTCTTGTGATTGCATCTTATTGATTTCTTCTCTCTTAGCATTAGCTTCTATCCGGACTGTTTCTGGATGTAGCACAGCCGCAACTGTCGTTTTAACACTGTCTGTCTGTTGTAAAACCAGTTGAATCTGTTCCAACTTATCAGTTTCAAAGTTTTCATTACTGCTTTCATTCACTTTATAATCTGAATTCATGTTCATGTTGTCTGTCAAGCTGATCAATGTTGGCTGAAGAATAGTAGCATCAGTACTTCGATCTACGCCAATTGCTTCCGTCGAATCACTGGAAGTAACAGTCGCATCAACATCGTTATTAATGGTGCTAATATGATCAATGTGATCTTTCCTGATAGCACTATTGGTATTTCCAACACTGGTGTTCAAATCACTATCAATGTCATTATTATCAACACCCGTGTTAATACTTCGTTCAGGTTCCATAGTAGTTGCATAGTTAAGTTGTATATCCATGCTTGTTTTAAAGTTTGGTGTAAGTTTTCCGAAGTTTTCATTGAAATATTTGTCATTTTGAGAGCTCCAAGGCAAGTTATCAATGTTACCGTCACTCCCTGATACAGATGTCGTTGTCATTGAGATGACAGATGTACCAAATTTATCTTGCAAGCTTTTTCTATTTTCTACTGGAATATTTGGGAATAAATTGTTGTCATTTTGGACTGATGAAACAACAGCAGTTGTTAATTTATTGTCTACCAGTAGTTGTTCTTGGCTGTATGAGGAAAAATTATCATTGCTTTCACGGAATTCATTGTCTTTAGAGCTGTAATCCATTTCTGTCGTTAATGCATTTCGACTAGATGTTCCTCGTTCAGATGAAACTGAATTGTAATAGACGGCATTCAAATTACCATGATCAGTATGAGTAAAACCATCTTCCCAAAAACTTTCTGGAGGTGTTACTGAAATAATTTCATATTCCTGTAATGGTTGAAATTCATTCATAATTTGCTTTTTATTTGAAATTTCTTTAAGTGGAAAATTTGTCCAGTTCTCCGGGACTTTTCTGGAAAGCTCTCCGAATGACTTCTTAAATAAAGGAATATTAACTGAGGAAGGACTTGCTTTAGCTACTGATTCTGACTGGTGTTTTCCTGTCTCTTTGATTTGTAAAAAGAAAGATCTTCCTGATCCTTTTTCTGTTGTAGATTTGGCAGTATTAGCTATTGCTTCAGTATCATGAACAGTCGACTGGAAGGTTTCTGAAAAATCTTCACGTACAGGAAATTCTTCTGGAAATGATGATAATCTTTCAACAGATCGCCCCCTTTGTGATACACCAACACGGGAAAGTTCAAGACTATTATGAATTTTTACAATAGATTCTGTAGTTTCTAGTCCCTGAATATTATCCAGTTTTTCGACAAATGTTTCGCTTGTAGTTTCCGAAGCGCTCGATGTAGGTTCGGCTTGCGTTATTTTTATATTCCAGCTTTCATGAGCGGTAACTGTGTCTATTTGTTCCATAATCGGTATATTCACTGTAATAATTTCAGGTTCACTCCCAGAAATATTCATAGAATCTGCAATAGCATGATGCTCTGAATCAGTAAGAAATTTCAGTGTGGTAAATTCATCCATCATTAATGTTTCAGTTGCACTAGAAATTGTTGTTACCACCGAAGAATAAGAGTTTCCTTTGGTAGCAAATGTCAGGACTTCAACATTGATATCTGTGGTAGTTTCAAAACTGCCTTGGTTAGCCTGCAAGAAAATAGTGAAACTAATAAAAATTCATATTATTTAAAAGACTTTCATATTCACAGAATCATTCCAAGAAAATTATAATACTTTAATTTGAAATTTATATTGGCCATGGTTAGTTTTTCTGGAATCAATGTCAGCGCCATCCTGTAGCATAAGTTTGATCGCAATAATAAGACGATTTGCATTCTGCAACATAATATACTTTTAAATCATAATGAAAATGTAATGGTTGAAAAAATGCATGCTGAGTAAATTTTGTGGGCTTGTAATGGTTGTAAAGATAAACAAAAAGTTAATTAACAAATTTTGAGATATTTTAATAATGCATAAATATGAACGTTAAGTCAAACAATAAATACATGTAATATCAGTAGATTATTAGTGAAATTTAAGGTAAGGAATCAATAATTGGTGGATTTAGATATTAGTTTTGCACAAGTAAATAAAACAGAAATATCGGATGAGTGCTTTTTGGAAGTGTCCAAAGATAATAAATAATCTTTGCGCTATTTAATATCGGCAAAAGAAGAGACCAGAATTGAGATGAAATATTAATGAGGAATGGAAAAAATTCATGAAATTACCGTTTTTTTTTCCATCTCACCCAGATAAAACCATTGAAGTGGCTCGGATTGAATTGAAAATTTTGCTTCGACATCACCAAGATAGGTTAAAAAGTAAACTATGGCGACAATCATCGAATCCTGCAGTATATTTAGACTCTCCGAGAAATCATAAATTATAGAAAACTGAGGGTCCTTCTACTCTGTGAACATATTAATTTACATAAAATTGGATAATTCCTCCAGTGCTTCGCCATTGATATAGTGTAATGTTATATAAATCCTATGATTTTTGCAATGAAAAAATCTTTTTTAAAAAAGTGAGTCTAAAGATTATTAAAATGAAGAAACCTTGTTTTTTCCTTCTGGTACATATATTTCATAGCTGCTGTGTTCGAAATGTGGTATAAAAATAAAAACAGGAGCTTTTGGCTTCATTGTCCTTTCAGGCTGAATAGTGGAACTGTTCCAGACTGGAACTGGTTGCTCCTCGGAAGCGATGAAATTTGGTTGCATATGGAATTCATTATCAATTATTGCTTCCGCCTGATGTTCAGTAGTTTGCTGAGTTGTTATGCTTGAGATTTCGGACTGAATTTTGTCATCCAAAACAAAATTTATGGAAGCGTTCCAACTCTGCAAACACATAACTTTGGATAAATTATATCAATTATATCAAAATATGTAGACTTTTTACAAAATATAAACACAAAATAAAAACGGAATCGAAGAGTTTAACGAAATATAAACCATATGCAAATTTCCTCCGTGACTTCGTGTTCTGATGATAAGAGGCAAATTGAAATTTGTAATGCTCGTGCTGCCAGTATAAACAACACGTAACCGATAACTATCATTGCTGAGTAAATCGGTAACACAAAATACAACTTCCGGTAACATACATATGAATTCAATTGAATTATTGGACATGTCGTACGCCTTTACAGATAAAATTTCATGGCCTAGAAAAAAAGCAAAGTGGTAATTACAATGTTGTTAATTTAATTGAGAAGCCATCAGTAATTTCTGTTAATCTGAAATCATTTCAAGTCACTGTTGAATATTGAGTACCTTAAAAAATATTTTATAGAGTAATTTCATTCAAAGTTTCTTATTCAAAAATTTTAAAATTACAATTGTGCTTTAATTACGATAACTCTAAAAACTGATACCCGAATGAAACTTTGCAATATGGATGGGTTTAACGAAGATATGTGGATTGCTCCAGATAATGGAAGTGTCAGATAAATTTCCTGCAGTGTAATTCAAGGTATTGGAACTAGGATCATCTATCACTGTCTTTATTTTCAGGTTGTAAATAGGTGCATTGAGTGTGAGGAAATCCGATGAATTCTCGACGTGTGGCTCGGATAAACTTGAATTTCCGTTAACATGAATGAAATTTGAATCTTGAACCATCTTTTCAACAGTATCTTCACCTTCCACACTGAAAAGGATTTTCTAATTTATATTTTAAAATTATTAAGTTTTTGATGTTGTTTTAACTTGCTCAGTTTTCTAATTTTTTATAAGAAAAAAATAAAAAAAAATCCAAACAACCCGTGAAGAAATCCGCTCATTTGTGATGTTGACTGTTGAATACTGCCATCCGTTTGACTAATTTCAATGCTGGCACTTTTCATTTTTTCGTCTTTGAATTCTTTCACCATTTCTTCACTGATTTTTCCGGCTGAAATTATCTGATATTTTGGCCAATAAAGACCAAATTTATAATTTCAAAATTTATAGCATGAAACAAAACACAAATAAAACATCAGAAATCATTTGTGAAAAATGTAATACCAGCGATCATCAATGATTTATCCAAAACTGGCAATGCGAGTTTTTCAGGCACTCTTCCACTGAAAAGTAGTATAATGAAATATTAGAAAAATATAAAAAAATCCGTTTATATTAAGATTTTTCTGGTGTTACATACAGATTGTTACTCATATAAACTACGGTTTTTTCTACTGATTTCATAAAAACCGACCTGAAAACATTCGTATTTTATTCAAATTCAACAAGCTCAAACAAAAAAAAGTGCAAAAAATTATTGATTTAATTTATTGGAACTTTGATAGTACAGACATCATATCATCTTCAGATGATTGTTTACCAAATACGTCTTGATTATTGATACCATCTTTCTAAAAAAAAACTTGTTAGATTAATTCAAGAAATCTTTAGTTGGATAAACGCACCCTTAATATAAAATAATATTATCGATAAACGCATTTATCTTGCACTTATGAAAAAATCACTTACTTATTTGTTGATTCCTCGAAATTACTTTATTCATTTTCTTAGTTAATTGAGATGTTTTGTAAATGTCATATTGATAATCATAACTGGTAGTGAACTAAGCAACTTATTTACCTTCAAGTTATCAGGCATCTCATCATTTGGTTCATTTCTAATCACTAATAGGTCAGCTCCGGCAATAAACCTTCCAAAATTTACATCAAAAATTTCGTTTTCATCCGTCTGTTTAAACGGTATTTGTCCTGAAAAAGAAAAAGATCGAAAACAGGATTCAGTCGTTATACAGTGACTGAATGTCTTACAACTCATTGTTATAATTCAAATCAATTCAAATATGTGCTTTGGAATAACTGTTGAATGATTCATAATGCTTTACAGTTATTGTACTAATTACAAGAAAATGAAAAAAAATTACCGCATGTGTTAGAAGCAAATAAAATGCATAACCAAATCAACATTGTCAAATGCAATCGAATTTCGACTTCACAACTAAAACTGTACAGTTTATAAGACATACGGCAAGAAATAAGTATTCAATTTACATTAATAATTTTAGATCGTATTTCCATATATTCCAGTATCTGTTCACTAATTTCAAATACAGTTAAATAAATAGTATTTCTAAAAAATTAATATCATTAGCCTAATAAACAATCCATTCAGTGATAACATATCCTACGTCATCATCACGCAGAATTTCTATTCGAACATTTCTGGTAAACCGAAATTCAACAAAAACCATTTTCGATGTCTTTTCGAAGATGATTCAGCTAGAAATTCAACAAAAATTAACTCCGTTCGGGTGATGTCAATAACATTTCATTGTCTTTGTCATTTTGACCTAATTACAACTGCCATTTCTTTTCTTATTGCCGTTGTACACAATATAATTTCTTTTATATAATGTTTGGAACTGTTTGTAGAGAAGGTAAACATTGCGGTAAAGAAAGAAGGCAAAGTAAAAGGACGGAAGGGAAAGCAAGGAAAATATATCCAATTTAAAAACCTTTGGTTAACCTTATTTGCTGAAAATTCTCGTAAGCATACTGCTAGATTTGCATAAAATTTGATGGAATATTGAGATGCTCTTCTTAAAATTCAATACTGACACATTAGTTCGATCATAATAAGCTGGAATCTTCATTAAGATTTCATGCTAGTATATCAAACATTGAAAATTTTCTTCGTCAGCTTATTTGACAAGAAATTTGGAAAACGTTGAAAATTCCTCTTCCCGTTTTGTAAGTAACATAATGAACAAAACAGCACAAGTATATCCTATACGTTTTACCAGTGATATCATACTTTCATGTTAACTACGAGCGATAGATAACTAAGAAACCAGTTGCCAGCGAATGAATAGTTAATCGAAGTTCGATGATCCAATGATAACGACTTGGAAATAAGTGTAAGATATATTAAGCCGTTCACAGTGAATAAATTTTTTTTCATAGGAGAAACTTTAACTATGAATCTTTGTAGAACTGTTTTCAATGCTTTAGTGAATTGTCCTGACTATTACCTCATTTCAAGACTCTTCGAAACGGTTAATGAAAACTGCTGAAACACTCCATTTTGCACAAGAACTTTCTGCTAACAGTTCTACTAGTTTTCCATAGAAACTGGGATCATAAGCTCAGTATAAATCTAAGCTAATTTTAAAATACGTTCATGGAAAAAATACGTTCATTGCTTTTGTCAATAGGTATGCCTTAACAAATCAAACTTTATTGCATAAAAAACTTCAGTAACATGCACGAAAATTTTTAACGCAAAGATACGACCATTAATCATTCGAAAAGCATAAAATCCATTAGAAAATGAACAATTCAAGATTAATTTCAGGCTTTTAAAAGGTTCTGAAATTACAGTTTAGTTTTTTTTATTTTTGCACAGTTATGTTTGCTTGGACAATTTTGAGAAATTTGTGTAAACAATATAAAAAGTATAAAAAGCAGAAAAGTTAACGCATTGTCAGTGTAGAAAAGAATTAAAACCAGATGCGAGGTGGCACAGCAGATCCGTCATAATCGCCGGCTGGAAGCTTTGTCCGATCGACATCGTTGAAGTAAGGATCCTTCAACAGTTTTTTCGCCGAGATTCGCTGCATCGGATCGTAAGTAAGCATTTGCTGCAAAGAACATAATATTAGTGGAAATGTGCCTACGAACTTTAGATGGTAAAACTTGACATTTGAAACGGCCTCATTTGACATTTACCAAACTACAAAACTTTCAAAACATCAATAAGCTTTCCATACTTGCAAAATTTTGATTCCACCCTCGTCCATGTAGTCAGCAAGAATTTTCGGAAGTTTGTTTTCCGTGTATTCCGGATACCGTTTCATGAAAGCTGGCATATGTAGCACTCCACGCCGTATTTCATCCTTCGGAGTCGCCAGTATACTGAAGATCTCGATAATGATGCATCATCACCAATGAATGGAAGTTAAATTGAAAAATGATAAACAAACCTGAAAATACGGAAAATTTGATCGATTTCCGAATCACCTCTAAAGAGAGCTTCTTTCATGGCCATTTCAGCAAAAATGCACCCGATGCTCCACATGTCAACTGCCATCGAATAATTGGTAGAGCCGAATAATATTTCTGGCGGTCGATACCACAAAGTGACTACCTGAAAATAAAGTTTACATGGTAAATTGCAATGCAGAATGTTTTGCAAGTAATAGAAGTTCATATAAATTATTTTAAAGATATAAGCGATAAGTTTCCTATAAGATTTGAAGAAATATTTACCACATCAGTGTATTGTCTTTTTGCAAACTGCAGTTCTCGTGCAAGCCCAAAATCAGCAATCTTAAGGCCACCATTTCCGTCAACTAGCAAATTTTGTGGCTTCAAATCACGATGTAGGACGTTGCGCTGGTGGCAGAAACAAATGCCTTGCAAAATCTGGTACAAGTACGACTTTTGCTGCAGTTAATAAGATAAATCAGTTTTCAATTACGATAATTTTCAGTCTGAATACTCATAAAAAAATCGCGGTTTGGGAAATAAATAATTTATGGTGTTAACTGGAAGAAAATAAGTGCGCTAACCTCATCTTTCTTCATCAGTTTCCCATAAGGAATGTTATCAATGCATTTTCTTAAATCCATACTAACAAATTCGAAAATCAAGTAAACCAGTTGTTCATCCAAAATCACTTCCAGCAGACTAAAATTAATCAAAATTTGGTCAGTATTTATTTTGGTATCGCAACAACATCAAATTAGGTGTACAGTGTCAGATCTTCCTTGCTTATTATCAAAATATCAACGATCGCCACTTTGCTAAAATCGTATAACTGCTTCATAGCAACTAAACTATGACATCACACACATTTTTATTTAATTTCAGCAATTTGACCAAAATATTGACTATTCGAAATTTTATAAGTAAAAAATAACGTACGAAACGATGTTAGGATGTTTCAGTCTTCTAAGTAAAGTCATTTCACGAAGAGCTGTGCCAGGAATACCCTCCGATCGATATCGCAAACGCATCTTCTTCATAGCCACCAACTTACCTGTACTCTTCTCAATCCCTCTGTAAACGATGCCATACGATCCTAGTAATATAAAAAGAATGAAAAATGTTTAATTTACACATCTTTTGTCAGGATTCAAAATTTGAAGACTTTTCCCTATAATATAACATATTTTTGACTACCTTCGCCAAGGATTTCAATTCGATGGTACTTTTCCAAAGCAGTTCTATCCATTGTTCTGTTAATTCCAAATGCTGTAACGTATATTACATTTTAATATCGAAAACTTTTCTAAAATTATTAAGCAAAAAAAGACTATATAATAACGTAGTACCTCTGCATTGTAACCTGCAAAGCTAATCACAATGATAGTTGCAAACAAAAGAATTTATGACTGATTCACAGCAATACCCCTAATAGAAACATTCCATGTATTTCGTAAATTAGTAAATGATATATACAGAACGAAAAAAATGGTTCTTTTGCGAATTTTCCAAGAAATGGATAAAACGCTAGAATTGAAAATAATAAAAACGATTTAGGAACAGAATGGATTATTTGTCCTGCACACAGAACTTCCAGTGCAGGAGTCAGGTAACCTACCAAATAATCCTCCAATAACACTGAATACGATCAACGCATAATATCGTAATATAGTATGTACGTGAGCAAATCCATATTTTTACGTGTTCTTATTCAAACATATTTGAGCTAATGTATGTCAACATTTATAAACGTACACGTGTACAAGCAGAAAAAATCAGTCTTATGTATATATAACGGATGTGAATACACACACTAATCTGAGCATGAATTCAAACTGAGGTACGCGTCTACATTTATACCCTAACACTGATCTAAATGGGGAAGTTAATCTGAGAGACAGAGAAGAAGGAGGGCACAAAAAGAAGGAAGAAGAAGAAGGAACTGAGCTGTGGGGAGGAGGAAGCATGCTTAAACAACCAATCCATGCACATACTACGTGACTTTTAGCAAAAATATTCTCTGAGTATCGTTACACTTATGATGAGTACGTGGGTGGAGTACTGTAGTGTTTAAGGATGGCGAGAAATGGAATTTTCTAGATGACTTAAAACTGAAGAAGGAGAAGGTCTCATTTATTAAGGGGCCATTTTTTTTTTTTATATTGTTATTTACTGTATATGTAACTCATTTAGATCGCTTCTACACGTTTTCATATATTTTAATAAACTTAATAGAACACTTGCAATCTTGATGATGTCAAACAATCATCTTCACATGATGTGAAATACGTCTGATTTCTGGCATATGATACTATCTCAGATATTTGATTTAATATTTGCAAAAAATTTACGTTGCTTACGTAAGTGAACTTGTAGTGTAGTACGTTTTTGTAATAAATCAAAACATATTTAAGAAAAATAATATTAAATGTTTGAATTACAATATTTTAAATGACACTTTGGATTTCATGTATTAATCAAGTGAACGAAATTTTCATGTATTGTACAAATGAATTTTGATGCTTTGATGGAATATCAAAAAGTTAATTAAGAAAGTACACCAAAATAAAAATTTTTGATTTTTAAAACATAGGCTAACGATGTCTGCGATGATTTGCTCTCTAACTTTGGGATATGTCCAGGAATAGGATCACATGTTGAACATAACTATTTCCGGCTTGTTTCTGATTTTTTGCGAATTTTTTGCTGGCTCTAATTGGTTTATTTTCCTGTTCAAACGATAAACAATTTTCCAACTCTCTTAAGCGGTAACCTATTGGGATTACTCGTTATGTCTCAAAAATATTCATTTGCTCTACCAGTTTGATATCATCCAGAGAGCAGAAGTTCACGGGTTGAAGTTCACGGATAATAACACTTCTGAATTAAAAGTGCTTATTTTTAAGTAAGTCTATGATACCTCAAGATCATCTGCATTTTCTGCTGTCCTGCCAAACGTGGTGTAAGACAAGGAAGGCTCTACGTAAGCCAAAAACGAAGGAATGTTAAATCAAAAATTAGGAATCCAGTTTTCTCCGTTCCTCATACTCTTTATCTCTTTTGCAGATGGATCAAAAGCTCTTGTTATCAATAAAAACACTGCCAACTGGAAGCTAATGTTATCCGGAATCCATCTTGTTCTTATAGATATTGTCCGTGGACACTTCTAGTAAGATATTTATATTTTTGCACGAGATGGATGAACTGCGCTCCTTCTTCTTGCCTTTTTTTTAAATGAGACTATTTTCGACTCTCTATATATCATAAGGAACTTGTCAGTTTGTCAATCAGGAAGAATCCTCTAAGTTCCAATACCACCATATTTCAATTCCGAATAATTGAGGCTTAGAAGAGATTATTTGTTGCAGATGATATTCTGTAGAATTTGGAGATACAGCTTTGCATGCAATCCTTAAAAATCAGTCAAATCCTACGGTATCCAAACTTTTCCCACATTTTGGATCTGAAAAATCTGTTATTCCTGAAACCTTCATAATCCTTCACAAATGTCTCGTATTGGAGCTGAAAAAAGTACTGACATTTCACTCTCCGTATACTCCACAATTCCTCATCACTCGTTCTCTTAGAAGCTTTCCATATAACTGTTTCTGCTATGCAATGAGTGTTAAGCGATAAGCTCCTTAATTCCGATTTACAATAATCCTTAAATAGCACAGTTTTATCAGCAATTATACACATAATAGTTTTTTATTGTTTATGTTGACTGTAGCCTGAAATATCTTTAGCTTGGGGATAACGTGAATTTGATCGTCTAGGATAAAAAGCCTAACAATATGCATCCGACTTTCACATCCGGACTTAAGACTATAAAAAACGCACTTTCACTTTGACTGTTGGAAGAGGTTCACGTAAGTACCAGAGATGACAACCTCTCACAGTTTGTTTTAAACTACCCGAACGTAAACTGTGTCATGTTTTGCGGTTGAGATGACCAATTTCACTTCTTTCTCTTCTCTCTCTCTACTCGTAAACATTGTAGTTCGGATTCTGCGGAGAAATATGTCCCAGGAACGGCTAATAAATAGAAAAGAGGCCAAGACATAAAGCGTTATTGGAACTGTGAGGTTGTTACCTCCAGAATTTTACTGACTTTTGAGTATAAATTACGCTGAATGGCATTTGGGAATTTCATCTTACGATCTTGAATTAGAGCTTTAATTGTTGTACACACATATTGCGCTTAAAATTTTTTCATAAATAGCAAGAATTGAAATTCGGACCCTATTCCAAAGAAGCGCAGCTTTTCAATACTGATTGTTGCACATTGAAGTACGAAAATATGCATCATATTGTGGTTACATTTAAGGATACGAAGGCAGAGAGACTTTACAAGTACCGAGGGAGAACGGAGAGAAGTTGGTTGCCATTTAATAGTATCAATGAGGAGGGAATGAGGTACGTGGGAAATGAAAAAAGTGGGATGAAAATGATGGGCTAGTAAACATGGGGCTAATGAATAGGAGAGATCAGTTAGATAGGACGGTACAAAGAAGAGAGGTTTAAAACTGGGGCGTAATCGCACGCTACCAATTTTGATCGATCTATATCGTTGAAATAAGGATGCTGTAAAAGTTGCTTTGCAGAGATTCGTTGTGCAGGATCGTACGAAAGCATTGCCTATAGAGAGTGTTGCTGTACCATAGTATTAAAAATTAGAGATGCAAAAAAAATGAGCAATTATCACGTTATTTTTTAAATTACAGAATTTTTCAAATTTAAAGTTCTAAAAAAAGCCTCGAACCTTCAAGATGGTCAAATCATTAGAGTCCATGTATTTATCAAGGAGCTTTTCAAGTTCACATTTCTTCCACTGAGGAAATAACTCCTGATAATGAGGTAACTTCGTTACCCCAGGCCAGTTTTCTTCCGTTGGAGTTGACAATGCACTGAAAATGCTAGCAGTGGAAAATAACAGCAAAAATAAACGTTATAAATGCAGATGACAAACCGAAAAATGGAGTACAATTGCGAGATTTCTGAATCACCCATAAAAAGTGGCTGTTTTGAAGCCATCTCAGCAAATATGCATCCAATACTCCACATATCAACTCCCAACGTATAATGATCAGTACCAAGTATTATCTCTGGTGCTCGATACCATAAAGTGACCACCTGTTTAATAAACACTAATTTGCAAACATCCAAATTTTATAGTGAATGTTGGAGAGCACATAAGATTTAGGGATGATGGGAAATAGTTTTCTCGACCTGTCAACTCCCGTTTTTCGTTTTTCTTTCTTTCGTTACATTAATAGAGAAGGAGCTAATGAATTACATTTCATTGAGAATATCAGGACAGATTAGAAAGCCGAACTTCAACCAACATACGAATGATTTGAGACTTCAGTGGTTTGAGACTTCATCACTTAGTTATAATATGAGACTGTCGAAAGAAAAAACAAATTTACTTCATGAGTATAGGCTCGCATCGGAACACCAAATACTCTTGCAAGACCAAAGTCTCCAAGTTTTAACAGGCCTTTGGAATTAATTAGTAAATTTTGTGGCTTTAAATCGCGATGCATAACGCGACGCTGATGGCAATGGCAAATGCCTTGCAATACTTGATATAAAAATATCTTTGACTGCAACATTTGAAACTTCAAGACTTAATACTTATAATAATTTATTAGATTATTGATAGTTTATTATTAATTATTCATTAGGGAAAGATATCATATGTAGTTTTATGATGAGTTTGAATATTATAAAAATGACATATGAGTTAAAAGGAAATGAGCCAGAAACCTGGATTTTATCCATTAACTTATCCTTAGGAATTGAATCAATATATCGTCGCAAATCCATTTCAAAATATTCGAAAACCATGTAAATACGATAATCCTCCAATACGATACCGTGGAGGCTGAAATTCCAAACACCATTTAAAAAAATATTTCTATGATATTTTATGTATTTGTCACAGCACTATATAAATATTACAGTAGAAATGCACTTGATGATTGCTGAATTATCAATTTATTACCGTAAAAATCTTATCAAATGACTCATTACCATGTCTGTATTTCCAGAATATCAATTAAAAACTCACATAATAATGTTTGGATGACGCAATTCACGGAGCAATGCTATTTCACGCATGGTTGTAGCCGGAATACCCTCTTCCCGTTTCTCCAAGCGAATCATTTTTATTGCCGCCGGCTCTTTAGTTTGCTTATGAAAAGCTTTGTAGACGACGCCATATCCTCCTAATAGCATTTTGAAAAAATAAAATTTGCATTGGAAATGTTTTTTTTTACAGAGGTTCAAAATTTCAAATAAATTATTGAGTGTTATGAAATGAATTTCAGCACACCTTCGCCAATTTTCTCGAATTTATGATAGCTTTTCAAAGGGTTCTCCTCTTTGCCGACGTACTGCCCTAAAAAAGAAAATAGTTTTGATCGAAATTATATTTCAATCCGGTACCATAGGCTACCTTACCATTAATGCTTCATGAAAGATTCGGACCTAAGTACCATCATCTTGACAAAATCTTTCCTTCATGACATTACTTTTCAACACTACGGGAGACAAAAATTAAAACACTGATAGATTTTTTTGCTATCTAATCAATAATATCCAGTAATACTACTAAGATGACCCTATTCTTTATTGGGCAGTATAATTATAAACAAGAATGAAATGATAAAGGATATTCGTGACATAATTGTTTCTCGAAATGTTATACTTCCTACATACAAATAGGTTCAAGCCTTATTATTCTACTTTGAATTAAAGATCCTATTTTCAGAAAAAAATTTCATCATCGTCAGAGATTCCATCAATTATATACGAACCTTTAAGATTTTTAAATTTAGAAAAAATTTAGAGGAAACTTTTTTTTTTTCTTTTTTGTAAAACCCGATCGATTTTGACGACAGTATTAAAATTTCTAACAGTATCAAGTTGCATTAAAGACAAAAATTAATGAAGTAGAGCAAATAGGCGATGGGAGTATGATTTCAATAGTTCTGACCAATTCCTCCATCAAATCTGATTGGATATTCCGAACAACTTCTTGCACCTTTCATTTTGTTAGAAACCTTTAAAAAGAAAAAAAAATTGAAAACATTATAATAGTGATTTTAAACATTTGCTGTTTCTGCTTTTCAGAAATATAATTTTACCTCTTCACTTAAAATATTATCGCTAATATTTATTGCAAAATAAAAAAATGAATGAAAATTGGGGCAGAATTAAGATCGATAGTTGTTACTTCACGAATATACAAAATCCCTTCAGTTAATTTAAACAGTACGATAGAGACGAACGATATCAAGCGACTGTATTAGTAAGAAACACACCAAAAATGATTGCAACAATTCAATTCGATTCCTTAAATACCCCTTCTACTCATTATATCATTATTATAATTTTCATATTTTATTTAATCGGTGGTTTTTCGTTTGAAAAGTCATTTTAATTTTTTTCAGGTAAATATAAGCTTGATTACTTATTACTTAATGTCTTATTTTTAACGATTACTTAATTGGTCCGACATCTCTTTATACTTAGGGCATTACAACTATAATTGTTATAACATATTTATTATACTAAAAAAACACATAAAGGGCAATACAAATGCAAATATATATTTTCTTTAGTTGGCTAAAATATCGTTACTAAAATCAGTCTTAATCATTTGATTTTAGCGTTGATATCAATAATTATAAGCCATTATTTGGTCGAATTTATAACCTAAAAAGATTTGAATTTGATTTGTTTTCCATGTTTCAAATTTGCCTTATTTAGCTTTGGAATTTGTTAAAACTAAAATAAATTGAAGATAGCTTCTTATTTTGGATGCTTGCTTGTTAGCATTAGTTTGCAAAAAATTAATGAGCAAGTCAGTAGGATTCTGTATATAAAAGTTTCAGTTACATTTAATTACATTCAAATTATAGTTTTCCTTTAAACAGTATGAATTTTCAGTGAATATTTTCAGACTGCAAAAACAAATGAAACTAATAATAATTATATCTTTGTTCAAATTTGAAACTGAAAAAAGAAGATATTTTTCAAACGATATCGTAAGGGAAGCTATTGATAAAATCAATGCTTAAGACTTTAATTCTAAACACTAAATTTGCTGTAATTGAAGTGTGGGATATTTGTGGGTCTTGTTTCACAAATTTAGAACAACTCAAATTTCAAACTCAAATGTTAAACTGCAAAAATTGGTCTGTCATTCGAAGTGATAGCTGTTGCTGTCTTTGTAAATCAAAAGTTATTAAACTTCCAGCAGAAACTGTAGAATATCTGCAACAAGGATATCATCCTGTTCCAATCTTAAGAAATTGGATCTATATTCATAAAGGCTCATCGGAAAGGCAATAGGATAACCAAATAGCGGTGTCAGTCGTTCATTAGAACAATTTTCAGGAGGTGTACCACATATAGTTCAGCAGATGTGGTATAAAACGTTGATACTAGCAGTTCAGAATTTCAGTCTTACTCCAGCAGTATAAATAATCCTGTGCAGTGTACTTTTAGAAAGCTAATGAATACAAAACCAGATTTTTATTAATGAATAAGCGATTCCTCATGACAGTTATCAACCATTCAACTTAATTTATCATTATAAATCCTTCGTTTAGGTTGACATTGGTGTAGCTCGTTCTACCGATAATAAAACTGATATTCATTTGAATATTTAACTTCTATCCGTTTGTAATTAGAGTTAAAGTACAGCCTTCCGAGTTTGTTGAAGTTTCTCAATTTTTATTTATTCTTCAATGTTAACTTTTTATTATCTTCCATAATTTCTGTTTATTACCGTTCCATAATAAGATTTATCAAATGTTTCCTTACTAAATTCTTCGGGTAAAAAACAATAAATAAATAATAATTATATGAAATCTTAAGATTGGTGAAGATTGGCTAATTCAAGTGATTGCTTTAAATTGCTTTATATTTATCTAAAAATCAAGCCCGGAATATGCCAAAAATTGCATTAAAACGTCAATATGACGCTATCATCCAACTGTGCAGAAAATTTCTACTTTCAGCCTATCTTTAATTTAAGGTTAGAGTAAAAATGGATTTATTTTAGCCTAAATAAAATGAATTTATGTATTTATATTTTGTTAATGAATCCGCCGTTGTCAGTAATCAAAAATCGATACAAGTTTAGAGAGCTCGTTTTTGAAGTGTAATAAAGAAGAGTAATTTGTCTTTTAGTGCATAGCAGATATTTTTTTATTAAATGACAATAATTTTCAGATTAATTTTAGACTGAAAAACAAAGCTCCAACATGGTTTGGATTTTAAATTGTCTAGTACTTCTTGCAACCTTCCACCGTATTTGAACATAGTACTTAATCAATCAAGTTTTCAAATCAGATTGATAAAATTGTTGATAATTTCTAAAATTCAACAAAAAGAAAAATTAGTTTCAAAAGAAGATCAAGTTGAGATCAATGGTAACAAAGAAAATTTTATACAAAATATCAGGCCTAAAACGAACTTTATGTTATATTGGACGTATAATCTGAAAGTATAAGTTAAAGAAAGTGCTTTGGGGCTGTTCTATAATCCAAAACTATTATCTAAAATTTTGATTTTTAAATGACGATAATGAATTTTTTACTAAAGAGTAAAGATAAAATTGACAACTTATCGATCGATTCATCGCTCCCACACAAAAAAAGAAAAAAACTTTTACAATAATTAATTAATGACAATTTTACCTCTTTGAGAATTTATTCTTATAGATTCTTCAACTCTGTCACATTTTTATTCTAATGATACTTTAGGATTGTAAATTAAGATCAATTTCATTACATTAAGGTGATCATATGTGTAGTTAGTTGAAATGATAGTCTAAATTTACAAAATCTATTTGATTCGTGCAATTTTATAATACTAAAATAACAAAATTCTAGCATTTATGAATCATATATTTTGTCTGTTCGTTTTAAATGTTTTTTTGAAGCATATAACATTCATAATATTGTAATGTATCATAGTTATTACTGTGTTCAAATACAATTTATTTATCACTCCATCAACAAAACCCGCCTGAAAGGAAACACCGCGAATTAAAATGAAAATGACGTAAACATATATTCATGAATTGTATCATTCATAGGGCTATAGTGGGAAAAATTCATCCTGTCAATTTAAAAATTGCACAAAGCGAAATTAACAAAATTTAAAATACATATATTCAACTCCTTGAATGGCTGTTCGATTTCAAACTGCACGAAATAGTTTCGATCGCATTGATGTAACGAAATTTACAGCGGCAAGCGCATGAACGACCATCGCAGTAATTAGATAAGAAACGTCATGGGTGGTCCACAGTGTATTGGTGGAAAAAGTGGTGCAAACACATAACCAAAATCGCTTATTGCCTCAATGCTTCACAATTTGACCACCCACGACGTTATCAGAAAATGTTGCGGCAAGAAGATGCATTTTCGTAACACTCATCAGACTTCTTAGGTGGTATTGATGTAGTGCATAATATAGCATTGTTGCTGACTATGGGATAGGTCACTTAACCTTTTTTTAGTTGTGCAACTAACAAGGAGATGTTATTGTGTAATCCATTGTTTAGTCCTTCATGTCCTGGCCGAGCCGTATTCAAACAAGTTGGCCTAGGATAAATAATACAGTCCAAGTTTTGTAAATATTTCCTGTTCTGGTCAAATCTCAACTTTCATTGTCGAGTTGAAGAAAGCTAATTAGTAATGGCGATAAATGTATTCCAGTCATTAACTTCTATAACTTTTAGATGATGCATAAGGCATTAATTGCGATTTTTTGAAATGTCTAACAATTATGTGACATTTAATATTCTTAATTAATCCATTTAATTCAACTATGAATAACAGGTGCAACTCAATGCATTTCTTTCCTCCCAGCAAAGTTTAGAAGTGCAGTTTGCTTGGCGTAACTGTTTTAATAAGCTGGAACATGATCTTTCGTTAAGACAGTCGCCAAATGTATAACATGAGCAATGAAAATATGTGACCTGTCTGAAAGATATCACTTTCAGGACCTTTGCAGGCTGTATGCTTTTCATTCATTCGAGTTTAGAATATTTATTTAGGTCCTCAAACATTAAAACATTAAAATCTAATCTATCATTTAAGCGATATCCCAAATGGTTTCACGTTGGGGGTGATGGACGCAATGAATTTGTTAAATTCAACACTTCAGGGTCTGGAGTATAAGTCATAAATAGTAATTCCTTTCTTATTGTAGACAACAAACACTCTTAATTTTCTTACTAGTTCAGAATGATGACTTAGTGTTATGTTCGGGAATTTGAATTTCTTCTGGTTTAGCTGTTTAAGACAGTATTTCTGAGTTCTGAATATGTTTTTATTTTGTGCTGAACTAGCTCCGTTCATTAAAGATCAGATAAAGATTGTTTCGAAATCGTCAAAAAAGTGGTAAGCGTATATTTAAAATACTTGCGAATTTTGGTCCTCAGGATGGCTGAAAGTTGTCAAGTGCAGTTCATGTTTTGAGTGTAGAATTTCGCTCCATCTCTTAATAATTCAATTCTTAGATTCACTCAGTACATTTCTTCAAAGTCTTAGCATTTATCGATTTGGTCTTTCTCACGTATTCTGAACTGTCCTAGATTTTCCACGGGATTTTTATTTCAAAGGATATTTGTGGTACAGACCAATACGATTTGATGCTGTTTTTGACTTTCAGTATTATATCTGTTTGTCACTGCTAACGTCGACTTTACGTTATGCTTAAGGAGAGTTGTATCGGATAAGGTTTAAAATTTAGTGTATTCGGAGTCGCCAGAGATATAATATGAAGGCTTTTTTCAATTTGTTGGCAATATAATCATGTGATGAATAATTTAGTCATAAGGAGGAAGAAAAATAAGACGCAACTGGATAAGTAAAGAGCTTTTTCTTAAATATGAATTGGGGCAACAACCATCTTCGTTCAGCTACAACTCTCACTCCAAGGAATTTTTGCAATGTTTATGTGAGTGGAAGGTATGTGCAAAATGATAACTCATTGTTAGTTAAACGGTTAATATTCAAGAATCCATGAAATGGTAATTAATGGATCATTCAACATGTCATGCAACAAATACAGCTACCATCTTTATTGGGGAAGCTAGCCGCATCAGCCTGAAATTAATGCATTTAAAATAAAATTTTATATATCCTTCCATTACTAGTGAAAATAAACAAAGAGTTTTTAAATTTTATGTCACGGGGACAAATCACATTTTAATATAATCACTTAATTAAAATCAAGGAAATGTGGTACGAAGAGCTTGAAAGTTTCTCAGAAAATTTAATAAATTGTTGTACATTATTGTGTGAATTTTGTATTCTCCTTATCCAATTTCAATTGTTTCTTTTTCAAATTTCTAATGAATCATTTTCTTGTTACCATTTCTTCCCATAGTTTTCAAGTAACGCAATCAGTGGTTAGACATTAAATTGGATCGACGTAATGATTAGCTCAAACCCTAAATCATATAAAAGTTTCAAATGAAATATAATCGAAATACTTTTTGCCTGCCGTTGTAGATGGCGTAAACTTCACAGCATCCTTTACATCGATCTCTAACATCGTCCCCGGATGAACATTGGGCAATCGTATCTTGGCCATCAATATTCGTTCGAAATGCTGCAGCCCTTGTGCATGCTGAAAACCACTAACTCTAAATTTTTTGCAAAATTTATAATTGAAAAGAAATTTGAGCCATTTTCAGCATTTTTTTGCCACCATTACAAGTGTTTCAACCTTGCAGTAATCCTGTTATTTGACATAAGGACACGATTTTTGAATGGGTCGATTAAATTCGTTGGTTGAAAACAAGCATTTGAGGTTTAGAAATTTGACGATAAGATGTCCTTAAATCACTAGTAGTCGTAAGTACTATTAATCGTAGTCACTAATAATTGTGATCACCTATGATCGTAATCGTTCTTTTAATCCTTTATTATTATGATTTATATGTAACTTGTGGGTTCACATAAAAGACTCGAACTATTTCGCGCTTATTTTTCATTTTCTCGATATTCTCATTTGCTACTACAAAACGTAAAAGCATGTAACCGTTCCTTCCATTTAGCAATAACCATCATTGGGGCATTGGTAAGATAAAGTTAAAATGGTTCATTAACTTTGCAAAAGCAGTAAACCTTGCTGGGTATAAAATGAATACGATATCATTTTATTGCAACTAAAGTTTTCATCGCTGCTTCTGCAATGTTCTAATATAAAAAAACTGATGAGATGATATCTGTTGTTAAAGTAAGATTAGAAAATGTAATTCAACTTAATGTGGCTTAAATCAAACAACTTGCACAAAAACAGAAACTTTGAAATATCATTCTCTGTTGTTTAATGCATCGATGACAACTGATTTCAACTATATGAGTTTATAATAGCCTTTTGTTGAAATATTACAGACGTTTATACAGAAATCTTGCGTATTTGTCACGTTTTCGTAGTTTTAAATTTGATATGGAAACGATTTCACTGAAGCAAGGAAAATATGAAGAAAATATTAAAATAAAAATGAAAATAAAGTAAGAAAATGAAGTTTTTCAGGTAATAATAGTTTAATTTTGGCTTTTCACATAAACGTTGATTGAAGCTGTTAAGATTGCTATTTTGCATATCATAGCGTTTTGCTGGTATTAATTTTCATCATTTTTATACCCTTTTTCTATAATAATTTGGGTGGGAAAGCGAATCGCCTGTTTTCTTATTTACAGAAATTCCGAAACTAAAAAATAGCATTGCTTGGCTTATTCGGCTAATGTGTCATCCCATTAATTGTGACCTTTGTACAACTAAATTTAATATAATAACACAAAATATAATATGAAACATGGGAAAATTTTCAATCTCATATCCTTGTCGCTTTGGGATTTACCGTGGGAGCAAACTAAAAACATTTGGAGCCTAGGAATGTATTTGGAAGCTGCTTTCTAACAGCATTTCATGTTCCACACCATTTCGGATACCAATCAAATACCTCATAATAGATTTCCAATCCTATCCCTTGTACTTTATGAAGTATTTCAAAAGAAAGAAGAAAGAAGAGAATACCGATGCATCTTGTATTTGTGTTGATCACGTGAGGTCTTTCGAGATACGGCACAGGTAATTGAGCGCATGCCGCAGAAATGATACAAATTGTGATAGCAATAATAGCAATATTTTCCATTACCAGCTACTGATGTTTAGTTACTTTCAGGAAATATTTTATAAAATGATTGTTTTGTCTTCGGTTATTATCAATATTAACATTTTTGTTTCTTACTCTTCCGGTTGACGCATCATTGGACGCCCCTTTTTATTCCTTTATTATTCCCTTGTTTTCCTTTTTTTTAATGGAATTTTCAAAAATTCAATTCCCAGATAAGATTGATAAACCAAATGATAACAAATATTTTAGTATCTATTTGTTTCGTCGTCTTATCATCATAACAATATAGTATCATCTAGTATACTATCAGTATCATCCGGCTTGATCATATTCATCACTACAAAAATAATTACTGACTTGAAAAAAAATATTTGCAACGGTGCTGGTTAAACGAATATCTGTCGGTATACAAACATACATATACAAATATTTTATATTATATATTTATTCATATTTGCATTATTATTTATTGCATTTATTCTTTCTAAAGGACAAGATAAGTTTAAGTTCGTTAGTTGATCAGCTTAGCAACTTTTTATCCTTCTTTGAATCCATGATAAAAATTTATTTCTGTATCCGTTAGTCCGTAAATAATTTTGGAATCCTCTTTTTATTAGTTAGCAATCATAATTGATTTTCAATTAGATATTGGTTAATAATTTATTGATTTCGCCTATGAATTTATAAGACGTTCATATTTCAGTATGTGATGTTAACAAGTTATGCTCAAAGGCATTGTTGCTACTTTTTCAAAGGGATTAAAATTTCTTTTGTCACTCTTTCAGATTCATTAATTGTCCTGAATTTTCTTTCGTCGAATAAAAGAAATATAAATTGAAATCTTTATGCAAAATCCAATTTTGATTCTTGCAATTAATTGCAAGGCAATGCAACATAACATCTACAAATTATACGAAGTTTTTGATAAAACTTAATCAGACCTTCCTGGTCGATGATCATAACCTGAAAAAATTTAATGCTTGTTCTATTTGCCTGTTATCATCTTTCGATATGATCCGTAATATTTTCAATTTCCTCTAATACGATAAAGCAATAATTACTATTTATATCGTGAATAAATTCAGTCATTTCAACTAAATTTTATAATTTAATTCGAAGTGTGTTACAAACATAGAAACATTTTTGATGTTCGCATCAAATTCTACTTATTTGATGTCTGTTGCATTGTATATAAGATTTATTTAAGAGTGTTCTTCCAAAACATATTTCGTAAAGCTTATTAAATTCTAAAATTTAATTAGATTAAAATGCAGAAGCAATGAAATAAATTGTTAGTTAATAATCCAACTACATGTATAGCAAGGTTTGTGATACCAATATCTCGAACGAATATTGTCAACTGCCAAAAAATTCCATTTGATAAACTTGCTGCTGGCACTATAGACCAGACCACCTGGTGTTAGCCAACTAAAATGTAGCAATATCTTTTCATCATGTTTAAAGCCTCCAAATTATATATCCTGCTGTGCTTCGAAATTTGTGCTTCGAAATTGCTCAATCATTGCCGCCATAAGATATCAAAGCCAAATTTTACGGGTGATAGAAAATAGCTGTGAAAACAAAATTTTTCTCCCTTCATTTTCAAAATTTAAATTGCACAGTTTAACAAGTTTCTATGTTCAATGCGTTAAGACCAAATCGTCTTCAAAACCAAACGGTAACGCTGTGATCAAAAGGAAGTTGATCTTAAGAATACCAATCGTCGATATGCCTTGCTAATGTTGCTAGTAGCTGTAATTATTTCCTGAAATTCAAAACAGAACCGGTTTAACCATCGTGTACAAACTCTAACTGATTCGTTCTTCTGATATATCGTTAAGTTTCAAGTTTAAATAATCCTATTAAAATAACAATTTGCAGACGATAAGATGAAAAAGCCAGGTTTCAGTGTCATTTATGGAATGAAATTTCGTAGGTGGCGAGGTTATTATCACAACAACCTCTGGGGTCACAATTTCAATGATAAACATTCTTGATGGAGAAAGAGAAAGAAACATTGAATATTGTCATCTAAGGATTCTTTCATCCTCCTTATCTTATCCCTCCGATGGTCAATAAACAGGTGCGCTCATCAATCCTGGGAAATGTTAAGTATGAAATTTATTGATAGTGATGCCCTCTCATTATCAGATCTTACTTCCTTTAGTCGACGTAATTCAACCACTTGATTGAAAGATTTAATTCCTATCATTCTCGAAATCCTTCAAATTTCCTATCTTCACCGATCATCTTACCTTTAATAACAAGATGTTGTACTGGAAGTACAGATATATTTCAGATTTAAATAACTTGAATTACAACAAACTTCTTCGCAAGCGTTTAACTCTGCTTGCAAATTATCTGATTTCATTCAATAAAATTATAAAAAGAATCCATTCAGAAAAACACCTAGAAAAAGTAAAAAGCATATGTAAATCTTAGGAAAAATCAAAGAGAAATCATAATGGTCTTTCGTATCATTTCTCGACTAAGATGCTGTAGATACTTCAGACCGGTTAATTTGAGTGAAATAACCTCCAACTTCGAATTCATAAAGTAACCTTTCAGATTATATTAACTTCGTGTGCATTTGAATAACTGACATTGTTCAAATGAGAGATTAGTCTGATTTATCTTTCTGAAATGAACGAAATTTCACAGCGAAAAGTGATAATTTCTATTTCACCGTGGTGTGATGTGAGTTGTAAACGTTATGTAGATTTAGTGATTTCATCGGGAAAATCTGATGTCTCTTCTCTTCTTCTCCTTTCTCTTTCTCACTCTCTCCTCCCCTTCTCTCTCCTCTGTTCAGTGTTAGTAATTTAAAGTTAAACCTCTCTTCGTTACTTTTATCTGTTCCATCAATCTATTTCTTTTCCCTTTGATCGGTTCAAATTCCGATTAGACCATCATGATATAATCTCCCATTTTATCCTTATGGTTCAATCACATTATTCGGAAAACGATAGGCCGGTCAAAATAATGCATGCTTTCTTAGATAGATGTTGTAATCCAGAAAAGCGAATAACGAGGTATTGTGATAATCAATAAGTCAAAAGCTACAAATTATCCGGCAGAAAAAAAAAGATAGGACAATCACTACCGATTGTATTATTTGGCTGACACACCAACTAATTGTTTCTCAATTTGGCTGTTTTAAGCAATTGGCGTTGAAGAAGATTCTGCCCTCTGATATGTAAATATTCAGAAAGTAGCGATGGCGGCTATTGTTCAGCTTTTGACCCGCACCCATCTCTTTCCCCTCCTACCTCGAAACACAATATATGCGCATCTATCTTGGGTGCTCCTAATCCGACGACCTCTTCAACCTCCTTTTCCTGTTTCCTTCTCCCTCTACCACCGGTCGCTAATACTGTTATTTTCATTTCCAATGTGTCTGTCTATTTCTAGTTCAACTGCATTACCATTTCATTCTAAATGCTTGTTTGTTCTCCACCCAACGAAAGCGCCAACAAACCAATTAATTAACTACTCAGATTCCACCACGTACTTATCACTTATTACCGTTGAAGACTTACTATTATTATTGCAAATATTCTTTCATTTCATAACTTACAAGTAATTTAATTAAGGAGTGAACAGTTATCTTCGTGTTGGAGTTTTGGGTTTAGCAAAAAAGGAGGAAAGAACGAAACAGAGAATGGCTGTTAAAGAAAATCAATTTTTTTCTATTTTAGTTAAGGGAATTAAATTTGTGACAGCATGCGGCACATATTACATTCATATATAAGGATTTATGAAATTGCAAGAAATGAAACTGCCTGTTTGTGATTGTTTTTTTCTTAACTTAAGATTCCTTTCTAATTTTGATTTGTTAATTTCTTTTTTTAAATCTATCCTTGTCTTTACTATCGACAATATTGGAATTCATTCTATAGTTCATTGAATGACTAATGCCAAGCATGGTTAAGCATTTTTAACCCTCCGAAGAGATATTGAAATACCTCTTTTCATTTCGTTCTGGTTAGATTATCATTTATTATGATCACCTAATACAATCATCGTGTGACTAATATTGACTATGATGTGGTCAATTATCATCCCGATGGTAAGGCTTGAAATTAGTAACATCATTATAAATCTAAATATCAGTTGGTCCTTGATAGTTCGACGAAAGTTTGGAGTAGCCGGGAATATAAAGCACTTTACACCGCTAATCTACTTAATTGCTATTAAATATTCATCCTCTTTTTCCTTCTTTCTTTTTTGAAATGGATAAATCCGGATATCCGGATAAGGACATTGTATGGGATGGTAAGAATTACGCATCATTATTAGTGTCCATTCAACAATTTTAAATTTGAAGATTTGATAGAGGAGAGCACACTCGGATTGTAAGTTATCGAATTGAAATCATAAAATAGTCTCTTCGGTCACATGAACATTATCGATCTTCTCCTTCTACATTTTATTAGTATTTGTCTACTTTTTTGATTGAAAGATTTTCGACAAATTTAACTGATTTTCTTTCCGTTTTCGCAACAGTTATGTCAAGTTTACCATATTTCCTCGTTTTCTTTATATTCCAATTAAGGGGGTTGCCTGCAGATTTATACTTCCGGTTCGGGCTTAAGATTGAAAGGTTCCACAACCATTTGGTTGTTTGTTTGCTTATCTTTTTTTCTTCATCATTCCTAATTTTAACAAATTTTATTTGTGCTTAATACATCTGCATCATATCATTTCTTAAAAAATTACTTTTAAATTAATAAGGTTGTTTCTCCCAAAAAATTTATGAGCTGGAAATTTGCGATCTTTCCGATTATTCTTCAGGAAAGGTGACAAAGCTAGAAGATTTCATTAAAAAGCAAAGGAAGTTTTTAAAATTTTCACTTATTTGCGCATTGCAATTTAACCAACTGACTGACTTCGAAAAATATTGATTGTTTTTCCCGGAATATTTTGTGTATCGGAAAGGAAGCTATGGTTATCTGCGAAATTCCAACTAATCAAATGAATCATTGTTTAGTACGAAATAAATTGAAACTGAAGAAATGATGAAATGGGATAGTCAGTTTTCCTTTTCTTAGTGTATAATATTCATTCCCGGCTAAAAATTTTAGGAACTAGTAAAAAAAAAACATTTATAATTCATTCGAAAAAAAACTAAAAACAAAATGAAATTAAATCGTATCTTTTTTTATTCATCTGTTTCAGAATTTTTCAAATGAATTGTAGATTTTCATAAATCTCTTACCATAAGAAACAGAATACGACCTTTATAAAAATAACTGAATTTACAATCGCGTGATATTTGGATGGAAGCGTAGTTAAGAATTTGAAGTTGTTTGATATGCACATATATCCTGAAACTACCACTCTTTCGTATCCGTACACACCATTTCTGGATTTTGAAGTACGTCTTTCATTGTCAGTGACACCAATTTATCTATAATTTTTGTGGAGAAAACCTGCGGAGATAGGATTGCATAATTTTTGTAATGTGATTACAAAAATGGAGGAACTTTATCCTTTCATTTATCAATCTTTCACCTATTTTTGCTTTGTTGTTATCGTTCCTAATTTCGCAAAATAGTTGTAAAATAGCATAAATAGCATTCATTAATCAAAAAAAAAAAAATTGAGATATGCTATGCCAATAAGAGAGGAAAGATGAGAAAATGATAAGGTTTAATTACAAAGATTATGCATTTGTGATTTCTGTACCCTTCCATTGATAAGCTTCTCGATGATACCAATTACCGTAGGAGTTACCCTGAAAATATGATCATCTTTTGACTAATTGCATTTGTCGGCGAAGCAATATTTACATAATAGAATGACTAGCAGCGCAAAAGAGAAAATAGTCGATTGTTGCATAATAGATTTATTGTCTCTTTTTTCTGGCCTATAAACCCCATTACCTCCCTTGACCTTCATCTCTCGTATTTTATTTTTCAGTTACATTTGTTCCTCTCATTAGATCTCCAGATGGTACTTTTAGTTGCCATCTTGAAATTGCATATTTACTGATAATATTCTCGAGCTAATTTGTATAGAAGATAAATGGGACATAAGACACTTCTCTAGACTATGCAGCGGCAACAACTGATGGCGAAGTTTGAGTTAATGAACAGTTCAAATGACATTCCCGAATTGGTCAACTGTTTTATCAGAAAAAGCGTGGAAAGATAGCGGGTTTGAGATAACATATTGAGGTTTTAAATAGAAAGAAAGGTAAGTTTAATCAGGTGAACATGACATTATTTGCTGGAGATACAGTAGCTCTGAAGATAATAGTTTGTGATGAAAGCACTTTCGCATTCGTTTTTTCCTCGATCATTTCATTAACTCGCAGTTATTTCTAAATTTGTAGGTAAATTTTTTTGAATCAAAAAGGGAAGAATCAGAACGATCAATTTCCTAATGTTTGATTTATTAGACGTTTTATGAATATGAGTATGATGATAATGGATAGCATTAGTAGCATTGAAAATTAGTTACTAAATTAAATTTAATTGTGAAAAGTAGTAAATGATGGATGTTTTATAGTGAATTGAAGATTTAACAGTGCGGCAGAGAGTGGTCCTTCCCTCCTGGTTCGTCGTCGTTTGGCGATCGCTGTTGCAGAAGTGAAAAATTCGTTTAGAAGTGGTGGACACACACACACACACACACACACACACACACACACACACACACACACACACACACACACACACATTGCCAATTTGCCTTCTGTCCACCCCCTCCCCCACTATCTTCCCTCTTCCCTCCTTCCAGTCCAGTACTCATTTATCAATATTATGCTTTATCATCAAACAAGTGGCGCTCTTTCTTGAAATTTGGAATTTGAATTAACTTTTTTCGAAAATTCGTTAGCTTTATATTTGATTTATCTTTAAACTTATCAGGTTTAAAATGATCTTTTCTACGTTCTTATGTAAAATGTAATTTTCTTCCCTCCCAAAATATTATTTATAGAATTGGGAAGAGAAAAAATGATCAGAAATTTATTTATCAGTTTCTTCATCCATTTTCCACTCCTTATTTCTCTTTGCTTCCTCCACGTTCTCAGTTTCCCAGTAAATTTAGCAGAATATTTGAGAATGTTTTTGTAATTTAAAGTTAGTTGATTCTGGTTAAATTTACTTTCTAAAGTTAATTTTATTTAATCATAAATTTCTTAAGACAACTTTTCTTCTTCGGATCAAAATTTCACTTTCGATTCATTCATGATTAATGCTGATAAGAATGGGTAGATTCTATTTGAAAGCCGGAAATTTTTCACAAAAATAGTAATATTTGACAACAGAGGAATTGAATTGATTAAAAAATGGCAGACAGCTGTTTCTGTTATCATCGAATTATCAGAACATGTTTTCATATTAAAATTATAATGTGATAAAATTGTCCTAACTTTTCCTTCATTCTACTCATTATCCGAGTAATCTGTTTTCATTTTTCCTTCATAACTTTCAACTTCTTTCCAACTTATCATTTATATGCTCATTTTGAAAAATCACTATCATTATGAGATAAAATGGTATCGTAATTTCCACTTAAGGCTTCGTTTTATACTTGGAAGGGACAAAAGAACGTTTTTTCAGATTTAGGTTTTCTCATGTTTTCTGGATTCGAAATAGTCATTCAGTAGCTTGTTCGTATCATTTTTTTACCTTATCGTTCTACATCGCACCTTCCTTAATGCATTCTCTTTTTTTCTCAACTCCTTCCTTAATCTGAAAGGGAAATGTACAGAAATGGAACCAGCAAGGAAATATAACTAATGATTTCGATCACATTATAAAAACATACATGTGGTTTTCATGTTCGACTGAAGAAATTAATCATTTTAAAATAATTTGAAATTTCTCATCGGGTCAATATATTTAGCTAATGGCTAATGAAGTTCTGTTTAGGAAATCCTTTGTAGTATTTAATGAAGCAAATGTGGCCCTATTAAATAATCGGAGACAAAAATGGCTATAAACAGTCATTCATTTTCATTAAATTATTTTTCGTTCCAATTTCTTTTGCCGCTGAATAATACATAAGTAAATATATATGGAAATGAATGGTTGAAAAACAATGTATTTATACTTGATCGTCTTCCCATTTCTGGAGCTCAGTCCTTCGGCAGAATTGCAATTCCTCGTCGGCTTTGCGTTTATCATTTCTTATTGTTCTAACCATATTAAATAGATGAAATATGTTACTAATGAATTGAAACTGATGTCAATTACATTTATTTATTTATGTTCAGCTATGTTTAATCGATTTCATAATTTATTTCGTTTTATTTGCTTCTTGATTTCAGTTGAAAATTGAAGCTCATTTTTCGAACTATTCTTTTGAGAGAGCTTACCTACCCTTATATATTACTTGCATATTGATTATTTTCATCTAAAATTAAGATTTCTGATATCCCTCATTGATGATTTTATTGTATTCATTCATTACACAGTTCAAAAAAGATTTTGAAACAAAGAAAGAATACGAAAGCATTTCATTATGCAATTAAGAATGAATGTATTAATAATTAAGAGGCAAAGGAAGCTTCCGATCAGTTTGACCTTAATTCGAAGAGTAGTGGGAAGTGTTGATAGAGTGTGTATTCATTCCTAAAATTAATTACAGTTCGCTTCAAATTAAATTTTTAAAAAATGTGAATAGATAGCGTTTTTTATGATAAGTGAATTCGAAATTGATAGATCTTTTTCTTAAAATGAGCATTGTATCCTTCTGAATGAGAATATCAAAATTCAAAAATTCACGCATGTTTGTCATTGAATTACAACGTTGTTGAGGGCTTTAATATGTTACGCACCAGTGTGAACAACGTACTTTTTCAGAATGTATGGATGATGTCCTGTTATCGTTGAGTTGATAAGTGAAATTTGACCTTCATTTGTTGTGTATGTAACGTTAGGTGTAGTTTAAAGCGATGTCATCGGGAAAAGCGTTGATCAGCAAGCAAATAAGCCAAGATAACGAAGAAATTGATTTGATTACGCTAGAAAGAAGCCTGAATTCGATTCATGTGATCCAGAAAACATCAAATAAATCCATATCGTACGACGCTGACAAAAAATGCAGTCATCTTGAAGCAATAACCAGGACTGTACAGGTCAGATTAAACAGGCAAAATTCGATGATCATTTTACTTTTTTAAATCACATTATTAAAATGCAAAATCTACTTGTTGGTTTTATGACAGGCTGAATTTAGACCTTTTTTCTCACCAAATTATTGCTACAATTCTCTATTTTTCTTTTTTGATGTAACCGATCTCAGCATAATTTTCTTCTATTCTATATAAGAAATACAACGGTTAATTTATCAGAATCGGGGATAATCCATCAGTCTAGTCACCTCATAGTTTCTTATTGTTTCGGAAATTTAATAGTAAGTATTATTTTAAAAATATCTTGAACCTCTCCCCTTTTATCCCTTTTTTGTTTCTTCTGATTATTTTGAAAAACAAATCGAGAAAAAAGTAACGAATCCACCAGCAGAACATTACATATTATTATCGGAATGGTTAATCTTTCTTTTTTTCATTTTTTTTCAAACCGGTTGATTGCAAAACACCGATACACTTTCTTTTTTTTTGTTACACAAGCATGCATTTGCTCATTTCCATATTCATTGTAGATTTCATGCCAACCTCCGCTGATTCCGTTTACTATACAGGGTGGATCTGCGGAAGGTTGTCTGATACTGGTGGAATTGGTGCTTCATCCCGATTTACTGAATGTGTTAGCAACAGATGACATCATTTTGTCCATCAATGGAAGGTTACAAATTTCATATCATATCATTTTGCTACTTCTCGCAATGTTTTTAACTCCTAATATTGATATACATACAATTTTCTAATATTGTGAATTTCGCTTTTATCGGATTCAATATTTAGGAAAGTATCCGGAATGTTATCACGAGATGTACGAAGGTTACTGGAAGGTTTATTTGCCATGAATGAATCATTTTATATGGAAATTGTAAATAAAAGTAAGTTCTGCGTTATATATCCTTTCCTACCAAATGGTAATCAATGAATTTGCATATATCCATAATAAATTTGATACTTTGAATGTGAAATTGAGAATAAATTTCAGTTGAAGTTGACGAAAAAAGTATTGATAAAAATGTTCCAAAAAAAGTGTAATAAAAATTATTATAGATTCGATTCCATCGAGCATAACGGAAATTCTAGCTGGTGAAGACTATCCGGAACTTCAAATTGTCATCCGGAATAATGTTTACCAAAAAACAGTGCCATGTTAGCATTTACACGCAGGAACATTATAGCTTCGAGTGACATGTGCAAATAAGAAATTTAATGATTATCAGAGAAAATAAAACGGATTGAAGAGATAATCCTTCTTTCACTAACATATTGGCATTGCAGACGAAAAAATCTGAAAATCCGAATTTTTATATACGATTGAACTCAGTGAGCTTAAACTAATGCAATACAAGCTAGGGCGGAGATTCTGAAATAAAGTATTTATTGGCTTACACTTTCAGATACTACAAGGCAACCACGAAATGGTGAAATCGATGGTGTTCATTACAAATTTGTCGATGTTTCAACTTTTCGTCAGTTACGTGATAGCAATCAATTGTTGGAACATGGTCATTACCAAGGTTTCACTTTTTAATCGAAATTTTTCTTTCATCTATTTTCATTGTTCCATATTCGACACGTAACCTCCCTTATTTTCCTGTTCTTATTCCGATCTGGCACCACTTGATCCATTACATTTCTACATCTTACTCCTTCCTAGTCCATCTACCATTAAATAAAGAATTAATGCATTGCTGATATCTCCTTGACAGCAATGGCCAAAGATTTTTGTTCTTTTTTTTGAATTAGAATACACTTTATGATGAATGCCGAAAGCACTTCGGGGAAAAATTATGCCATAAAAATTTTCATTTTATTTCACTCTATCATCAAATAATCAATTGTTACTTGAAAAATGCTTTATCGATTTAAACACACTTAATCATTGCTGCATCCCATTGACATTCTTTTTATTTATTTATTACAGTTTTAGAATTAGCATTCAGAATTAGATAATCTATCGCATGTCAAATATACTTTGACAAATAAGTTTATCACAAGAAAATATTAGGAATTTCATACGCTTTTATTTGGTTGATATTTGTAAAATTTGATTTATTTTCATTGATTGCATTTGGTTTAGAATTTTAGTATTCATTTGAAAATATGTGAGGAGGGAAAGAAAGACATTCATAGCAAATTCTTATTTTATTTTCAGTTTGTTTTGAAAGATTTTGATGCATGTCAGATTAGTTGCATTTCAAGATGTAAATGCATCATAAAAAATACTTATATGATCATTTTAGTGGAAGCTGTTGCAGTCGGGAGGAGTGATATTAGATTGGGAAACGAGTTGGAATAAATTAAATTAAATTAGGTTAAAGCAGAATGAATTACGGGCAGTTTTAATTTAAGCAAGACGTTCATCCTGAGGAATTTCCCCCGAGGAAAGAGAGAAGAAAAAGAAGAAAACTGTGTATTAGATAATAAGTAGCATGAAAGTCATGGGAATCAACTGAGTGTTGTAAAGTTTTCCAATATAAGCGATGAATGACTCAACACTTCACATCGATCTTAGTGTCAACTTTGGACATTTTCAAGACTAATTCTTTCGTACATACAATAGCAAGTCGGACCACATGCTTATTTCGCGAAGTAAATGAATTTCATTTTTATATTCATAATATGTCGAGAAAATTTCTCAACTTATTGAGCATTCAATACTGCCCATTTCTCGTCGATAATATATCAGAACGGTAGGCCACAGCCAAGCATCAATTTTTCGAAAGAACTTCCTTCATATCATTCGTGTTTCCGTCCATCTCAAGATAGTTTATTTATGCAAACTTTTTCAAATAATACGAATACACATTTAAAAAGAGACAATGTATAGGCAGTTGTCGGAAATATCTAAACTGTGACTCATGAAAATGATAATTAAATGCTTTCATAAGCTTTTTCTTCGATTTGTTAACAGGAATGAATATGCTTTCCTGATTCTTTCTTCAAATAAAGAGTTTTCATTACTTCATTAGAGGCAGTGAATCATAAAGGAGCTTATCTTTCGTTGCTTATAATAAAATTTTAGGTATGAGGAAAGTGAAGATTATTATTACTCTTTGAACCATTCATTGACAAATTACTTCAAAACTTGGCACGACAGGTACATTCGCAATAAAAGCATCGCTATGACTGATACAAATAGTAGATTCGATGAATCATTCTTAAAATTCAAAATTCACTTTGAAAGTTGTGCACTGATGTGAAGAAGTTAAAATATGGGAGTGGTAAGATTAAGCTTACAGGCATCGGAATGTGTTTATCGAAAGCGTATTCGGCGTATCCCTTTAAAGTCTTTCAATGTGTTTGGGATATTCCTGTATAATAAATGGAAATCCGAAGCAGACACTTAGTGCCTAAAATGATAAAAATGGACCAACATGTAACATTTAGTGACAAAATATTACACGGTTATGCGTTATGTAAAGATCTTTCCTTCCTCTCCATCAAATATCCATGCTTTGGGTATGGCAAGATTAATTATTTGGGCCTGATTGGATGCACATCAACAATCTTTAGTCAGTACTAGAGATCCAATCAGCCAGGCAATTTCGACCTTAAATGATGACAAGTTTGTCTGCAGCATATGTTGCATGTATCCTAGGAATTCGATTCTTATATCTTACCGTGGAATTATTTGTGTTCGGTGGGCGGAATATATCCATGGATTGCTGTCATAAATATCTCGGAATTAGAATACCTTGTATATGAGCTACTTTCGCGTAGACTTCGAAATTTTCATCTGGCGTTCCATCTGATATAAATTCGAGAAGCTTTGTGAGATTACTAATATCTCTCTTGTAGCGTTAATGAGCACATCTTTAAGTAGTTGTTAAAGTAAAAATTATTTACGGCGGTCGAAATTTGGGAATTACGATGGCCGATCTTAATTAGTACGCGACAGCTGCGACAGTATGATACATTGCCGTTATAATTTTTCTTTTTTGCTGTCATAAAACTTGCTGTACCGTGCGATCTATTTGTTCCATTTCCTTTCACATTACAATCGTTTTAGTTAGATCACTTCGACGGACGATTGTTCCTCTCTTCCTAAAGTACCGATCTTCTACCTAGTTTCCATATATATTTATGTCTATGTATGTATATGTATTCACTATGTCTCTGCATGTTCGAGTATTTCGTCGTGCTTAAGTGTTTGTACTAGTACCTGTGTTTGGACCTTGTTTCGCTCTGTGGACATATGTGTAGGTGTGTGCATGTGTATGTCATGTTGGTTCGTGTAATACACTTTGTGTAGTTCTGTGTGTATGTATGTATGTATGTATGTATGTATATATATATATATATATGTATGTATGTGTATGTGTATATTGTCTCCGGTGCGGCGACCATAACAGGTGAAGGTGATGAACGATTGACCTTCGCGTTGCAGTTGTATGTGTGTGATGTTGACAATGGCCTAAGTGGAACTAACTCTTCATCCCTTTACTTGTTTTAATCGTTTGTTAAAAATTGCTTATCAATGCTTCCCCCTAAACTTGCGATACATTTTTCCTTCTCTCCACCAATGTTTTACTATAATATCTATTGATTGATTAATTTTTTTCTGCATCGTTGCTGAGATGCTTTACAATTCAGTGTTTAACCGAAAATCGTCACTTCCTCCTGTGATCTTCATCAAAATGGGAAAATTTCCAAGAAAGGTAAGAAAAAAAAATTTTAATGAGATGGCATTTCTGTGATATGTTTACACTGCGACATTCTGTCTCATTACTCAAATGATAATTCTTAACTTTTTCAATGCACTGAATTTCTGTTTTGGTCCCTGAAAGTCATCATTTCTTTCTGTAATTTCTACGAAGGTTTCCTTCCGGCTGTTTCATGCAGTAGCCAAAAATTCGTGATAAGAATTTGCTAGAAAAGTAGAGTTCATTTTACGAAAAAACAATGGGGAAGAAAGTGTTCACTCTATCATTTACGTCAGAAATCAGGCGTTAACTTAACGAATAAAGTATGGAACATTTAATTTTTTTGAGAGTATTGGCTCGAACAGATTCTTTGTGTGAAATGTTTTGGCCATACAATTTTACCAATAAAACGATGAAAAATTGGAAAACAGTAAGCAGTGAATGATAAACAAAGAAAAACTCGAAAACTTGAATGCATAAAATAAGGATATTTTATGTAGAAATTTGCAATCCGATTAGCGGTTTATGCCGAATATTTCTCGCAGAAATTTCTCTCCGGCTTTAGTCTCTTTCTTTTTTCATATATTTCCAGAAAGAAGTATGGGATTTTTTCTTAAATTTATTTCAAACATTCATTTACTTCATATTGTTCTTAATTTATTCGCTTATTGAAATATTATTAAGTGTTAAACGAAATGGTTGGAAATTTTACAAGAATAATATTTTAATTGTTGGAAAAATATTGGCTATATATTCTAATAATTACTGATGGCAATGGTCCACAAACTGCTGCCAATTTTATACGTTACCGTTTTATTCTTTTAATTTATGTTTGCTGGAAATTTTTCTTTTCTGAAATTTATTTCAATAGATAGATGAGGTTGTCATCATGAAAATACTTAAGCAACGACCAAACTGAACATTTTCATTATGCAACATAGTTTCATTATGCACATCGACTTGAAATTTGTTTGCTTAATTTCTCGATGTGCTTTTTCATCAAAAAATCTTGATGAAATTGTTATCTCCTGTTTATAAAGCCCATATTTCCTTTTTGCATGAAATTGTTTTTTTCTTTTCTTAGCGAAAATCCAGAAATTCGTTGCTGAATTATGCGAATTTTTTGTCGTGCAGTTGGATCAGTGGGTCTATAATTTGTGTTCATTAAACAATCTCTTATTCAAAAAAAGAGGGTAAAAAAATGTTTGAAATTCTTTCTTTTAACTTGACCTTAACATTCTGAAACTTTATTCCCAGATTAATTTTTGCTAATTGATCCACTGCATCTGGTAAATGCTTCGATGCACTAACGTCAAAGTTTTTGCCATCGAGAATTCTGGAATAAGTCTTTTTAAACAAAATTCTTGCTTCGGTTTTTCTCTACTCCTGATTTTCAAATTAGGGAAATTCTTTATGTGACTTATTGTAATCAATCAATTATAATGTATTGGTGATATATAAGTTTTTGATGTAACTGTAAGTTCACTCTTTTAATACGTCTAAACTGGAAACCTTTTTTTCTTTTGAAACTATTTCTCGGAATTCAAGATCTCCACAAATGACTAATTATTTCGAGAATCATGATAATAGATTTTTCTTTTTATATGACAATCTTACAGTTCCTTCAGATATGTTTGATTTTCAACGTTTCTACGGAAATTAACGGAAGTACAGAGCATCCATCCAACGTTTATCGTGAATTTCATGCATTTTTTCTCATTATTCTTGCATTCTTTCGGCATATTTAGTTTTTATTGTCGTTTTTTTACTTGTCCACTATACAAACCCACGTATGTTTATGTATTTTTTTAATAATCAATTTATCAATGTATTATCTAAGAAGCATTTGATAAATGATAAAAAAGAAGGAAACTTCCATTCAGCACTGAATTTTGACGAGAAAAATGCATACATGTTTTATTACCAAAATTCTGTACTTGCAAAATGAGACGATGGGATAAATTTCACATAGGTTATGCCTAAATTTAAGTTAAGACTGCACAAATGTAATTAACAGATATACATGGGTGGTGACGGATAATTGCATAACGAAATATAACTCAAACCTGATGTTTTAATTTGACTTTTCATGAAGTCAGGTCCTGTCACTTCATCTATGGATATATTTAGAGGTATTTCAGAAGCTCAAAAGTGTAATTCACACTATGTTCAGTAAACCATATTACAGAAAATAATTAAGTTATGGCATCCTGAACCAGCCCTATCAGCTAAACCTTGATTATTTTTGACCGTTGATATCCACTATCATATCATTTCCGGAATTATTTTAACAATTTCAATGCACTATATTAAATCAATGAACCTGTATTTTTTCTTCCTTTACAAAATCAAATTGGTTTTTTCTCTATCCAATCTTGATATGTTTGCATAATGAGCAATAAATTGTTACATTATTTGTAATGCCGTATTCTGTTTTAATTTTCCTTTCTGATATTTGTGAATTGAAGTTTAAGAAGGACATAAGCGGCATTTATTTGTGTGCCGCTATGGTGTAGAATGTTTGATTTTATCATATCCTTCTTCCTTCGACCTCGAACCATCCTTCTATCTTAACTTTCGTCCTCATTTGTTCATTTCATTTGGAAAATGATACATATCCATGTAATGACAACGTTCATTGTTGATGTACGCAGCATACGTCTCTACATTCATAGGCATTTCCATTAATCGTAACAAATGATATTCCTTATTGATAAGCCGTGTTTATCACTATCAAGTTGGGAGTCGCCTGTGATGATTATACTCTTATCACTTTTAACGCTTCAGCAAACCTTCCATTACTATCATCTTAACAGCTTCGCTTGGTTAATTTTCAATGATTTTGTACAGAATTTCTCTCAAATAATAATTATTGTAGAAAATTGTTTTTTTTTTCACTATTAACTTAATAATTTTTTGGCTAAATATTCATCTCATTTCATAACGGTTCCTTCTAAATGTCGTAAATTTTGCTGCATTTTTTTTTATTCAATGTTTCAAGTATATCTCCACTTCTCCAGCAGCTTTAGATTAGAAAACATTTTTGAATGCTTCTGAGAATTCTGGAATGGCGTGGGATGCAACAAATACTTAATTTATCGAGTAGTATAAATTAACTTACATAATAATTATTTCTATCGGCGATTTCAGTTTCTTAACTTTCTGTTATTTAAAATTAATCGTTGCTACGAAATCTTATTTTTGGATAAGAGGATTAGGGTATTGATGAGTTTAATAATATATGCATTTCAAGGAAGAAGAAAATAAATGAAGAAGTTATGATTGAAAGCTATGGCATTATGTCGAAACTCGTTTCAATTTATTTATTTGTTCTGTTTTTCTTCCTATGGTATAATTTAAATTAAAAAAAAACGAAATGTGTTTCTTTTAACTGGTTTATTAAATAGTAAATCTGTTTGGAAGATGAAATTTTATTGAAATTTTTTCTTTCTTTATTTCTAATTTCATGTTAATTTCAGGATTCAATTTCCCCTTCCAACCTAATCGTTTATTTCGAGTTGTTTTTTTCTCTTTTTGATTCCCGCTTCTTTCAGTATCAACACAATAATGTTGCCAACATTTATTCCAGAAATGTCCGTTGTCTTACTTTTCCTCATTCATCCGTTCTTACCATTGAATTAATGACTATCAAAGTGCATAGTGGCTTTCAATTTTTTGTCATTTAAATTAGATTTCAAATTATATTTTCATTTTCTCAATTTCATTCTTTTTAGATAAATTTATTCAATACTTCTGTCCCTAATTTTATTCCTTCATGTTATTTTCGCAATTCGTTCTCTTCTTTATTTTTTGCCGCAAATGCTGATCTATTTCTCATTTGTCCACAAAATATCTTTCGGGATTAAAGCAATGGGAATTATTTTATAGACGAATGTTTTCGGCACCCAAGATATTTTTTTTTAATTCTTGAAATATTTGAATTTAAATTCCTGACCTTACAGGACATTATTATGGAACTCCAAAACCGGTGGAGGATAACGAAATGGTAACCGATCCAAAGGGGCCATTACCTCCCAACTGGGAAATTGCTTACTCTGATCAAGGCGAAAAATACTTTGTCGAGTAAGTTAAATGTTATAACTTTTGAAATTTAAAATTAAAATCAAGTACGAAACCAATATTCTGTAATTCCGTTATATCTAAACTGAAGCTATATCATTTGATTTTTGCTAATTTTGCAATTTCTGAGGAATTTTTTAAAGGATTTGTATAAAATTGTTGATTTATTGCAGTATGATATTCCAAGATCTCTTGAATACTATTGCCTTTTTTCATATGTAAAATTTTTTCTTAACATTTAGTCATAACACTGGCACAACGCAATGGGAAGATCCAAGGGATTTACCTGATGGTTGGGAAAAAGTGAATGATGGCATTTATGGAACATTTTATGTCGAGTAAGTGTTTAATAGATTTAATTATCTATATTAATTATGGGTAACAAGTAATCAAGACAGAAGTTAATAAGCTTAAAATTATGGTTGACTGAAAGGGATGATGAAAATGTTGAAGGCATCAGTTTGTCAGTTATTCTATCCAAATGTAATTTCAACAATATTTGCTGAGTTCATTAAAATTTATCCATATTTCATTTCATAGTTGGGAGAATTTCACTGGGATCCGAGTTTCAGGTAGGATTTCGAATTCATAACACAAAATTTCGTCGCTAACAGGGTTTTGTTATTAGAACCAAAAGTTTATAAGCAAATTGGCTGAGAACCAAACTTCTGGATGATTGATTCAAAGTTTAGTGTTACGACGAAATCCATTAATATTTCAATAGTCGTCAAGTGATAGCACTCGCTGTCTCACAAAGAATAAAATTCTTCCCAACACACAGATTTCATGATCTTATTAAGTTTATTTCGTGATATGAATTGTTGTTGCTTGAATCCAGCTCGGATTGCACCCTGCAATTTAATAAACTGTCTCTCGATAGTACGAGGGATTGTACCTGATTGTGCATTACCTTCCCTTCCTTTTTTTGCTTTATTATCATATAATGTCTGTTGTGGAGGTGGAGAAAAGAGAAAGAAAAATGTAATTTAACACCCTAAATTCATTAATTTGTTTGAAAACTTTCAATTAAAATCATCCTATCACTGTTATTATCACTCATATAGTGTTTACATATATTATTCGTAATATACTTTTAAAATTGCCTTTCCTTCCATCTTCCTTATTTTATTGATTCAAAAAAATGGCTTTGGTGCCATGCATGCATACCCAATGCTTTATCTTTTATGCTTCAGGCTATTATTTGCATTGCTGCAACAATTGTTTTAATTAAGAAAAAAAAAAAGAAAAATGAATTCATACTTTATACAAGTCTTTTTTTCTTAAAAATTTTTCTCTTACTTTCTCCCTCTTCCTATTTTTTAGTGACAGCTATTGCTTCTCCTTTATGCTATAGAGCACATCCATTTAAACAAATTGCAAGATTTCGTAGATTTTTACAGTGTATTTGGTGTGGCCAGAAATATTGTCATACATTTGTGAATAGCATAGCCAAGTTGTCTTCTGCATGTGATGTTTCTCTAATACTGATTGTATCATTTCTGTTTGAAAAGATGATATTAAATACTCATTGCTAATCCACGGACTCTACTTTTTTCTTAACTGGATTCTCTATCTATCAGAAGAGAAATCCGACATTCCGGAATGCTTATTCATTTGTAATTGTAGTATTAAGATGAAGCGAAGTATCTGAAATCAAACCGCATTCCATCAAGTGATACTCGTTCGCACTGCTATTGGCATTATAAAAAATGCATGGAAATTAGTGGTTGAATATTGAAGATATAAATAATCTCATTATGGATTCATTGCCGTAAATATCGATTCTATGAAATACATAATTTAATCCATAGGCAATGCATTAATATTTGTGATTTTTTAGTCACGTGAACAAACGTACTCAATATGAACGTCCGTCCAGTTCATCCTTGCAAAAGGTTACAAGTGTGGTACCACATAATCCCCCGTCACATTCCTATACATATGCCAATAATCATGATGCAAGCAGTAGTACGAAGACTCTTCTAACTAATAATGGTACAGGATTAAGGAGACACTCAACCCTTTACAGCAATCATTCATCACCATCCCATACTGCTGGATCTGTTTACAGTTTCACGAGGTATCATATTGAATTTGACAGAATTTGATTATCAAATGATATAAAATTAAATTAAATTATTGACTAATTTAGTCAATCCGTATTCAAATATATGCTAAATTATTATCTGCCAAAATGATTATAACGGACGAATGGGTATTACGTGCAAATAAATGTTTATTGATTTTTCATGGATCCATCTCAACTTCGTGGTGAACTTATAACAACACGTATTGTCAAAGGACCAAAAGGACTTGGCTTTACATTAATTGGTAACGACGGCAGTTCATTACAGGATGAATTTCTGCAGGTTTTAGCTTTGCTAATTTTCAAATTATTATCTGTCTTTTCATCAACTTTTAAATTTAAAAAGTTTTAATAGTATAATGCACTTCAATTTCTTGATTTCAAGCTTAACATAAGTATTTTTTTTATTTAAAAAAATGAGAATAAAAATATTTTGCTCGTCTTTTTCCTTTATCACTTCTTTATTTCCAGATCAAGAATGTGATTTCTGGCGGACCAGCTCATCGTGATGGCGTCTTGCAGATGGGTGACGTCCTCGTATGCGTTAATAGTGAATGCGTCTTGGGCGCATCGCAAGCCCACGCTTGTCTAATATTTCAGTCAATTGGTGTCGGTGAACTTGTAACATTGCAAATTTGCCGTGGTTATCCACTACTTTTCGATCCCGCAAATAAGGTTTTTTCCCTTCCCTCTCTTTCACTTTTTCTTCGTCTTTTTATGTAAATTTAATGGCATTAAAAAATTTTGATTCAACAATTTATGAATTAATCCTCCTTTTTCTGCAGATTGTCACTGAGAATGCATATGTCACACGATCAGACGATGTGAAAGAAATTATTATCAATAAGGTTTTTTATTTTGTTCTATTCATCAATCAGATCTTCATTGTATATGATTCGAAAAAAAATAAATGGATTTGTTTCCCTATATTCTGAAAATTTCATTCTTAAAAGTTTTATATTTTAGGGTAGTGATGGTTTCGGATTCACGATTTTCGAAAGTATACAGGGACAGCGAGTAAAAAAAATCTTATATCCAGAAAGATGTGAGAATTTGTTGGAAGGTGATACCCTTTTGGAGATGCGAACCACACATCCCCATGGAAATCCGAACTGTCCAGTAGGTGAAGAGCGTATCACTAATTTCCGAGGAATGCCACATCATGAATTAGTTTCCATCCTTAGGGAATGTCCTGTTGGATTCTGGGCCAAATTGATTGTAAGGAGGAATTCACCGAAGCACAGGTAGAAATTATTTTCTTGCTATTTGCTAATTTACTGTTAGAATTGTAATAAAAAAAGTGAAAAGGCACTTTAGATTTCATTCTACGGCTAGCATTGTCGTACCGTTTATATAGGATGTCTAATTTCAAATGTACGAATGGAATTTGATAAGATTTTAAGAACCAGTCCGAACAATTTTTGAGAGCTTACCTCAACTTATCTTTTTGGAAATTATATTTAACTTTTAAGGGTTGACTCGATTATTTTCTTTGATTTTTTAAATTCTTTCTTTCAATTATCTTAATTCATGTTCGTATATTTTCAGATCTCGCACTCCGTCAGCAGCATTTCGCTACGGTGAACAGAGGCCTAGTCCAGCACCAATATTGATGCCAAGATCGAAAACCCCAGCACCGCACCCTCCGCGACCTACTAAAACCTATCCTCATTCTTCTGCATTACTGCCTGCAACAAGTCAGGATCTAGCTATCTCAAACGGTGGAATAGTCAATGCCCATGGGTCTGGAAATACTATTCCAAGGGTAACTGCTATATTATTTTACATGTAATCTCCTGTCATGTCATGCTAATAGTTCCTATCATCATTATCTTTCCAACTAATATATGTGTCTCCACACGTACCATTTGTACATAAGTAGGTGAGTCTTTTACCTAAGTTTCATACTTATTAATGCGCGCTCCACGAAAGGAAGCCAAAGCTTTGCACATTTTAGCAACATGAGCGACGTCAAAATGAGGATATTTATGAGAATTTTTCGAATTTGCGACCATCATCGACAAGTTTGGGTTTCTCAACGCCTAACTACATGCCAATGACTGCACTTGCTATTTCAAGTGTTGAGACGGTAACAGTTAATCTAATCAGGAAGCCAAATGGATTTGGTTTTCGAGTCGTTGGTGGAACTGAAGTAACATTTTCAAACTATTCAAAATTTAATAATTGCTTATCTTGAAAATTCCTTTAATAAGATATACTGTCGTTAATTTCGCATTGTTGTAGGAAGGGACAAACATTACAGTCGGTCAAGTGGTACCTGGAGGTGCTGCAGCAGACGATGGTCGTCTACATCAAGGAGATGAAATTATTGAAATTGGTGGTAAGAATGTTGAGGGTGAAAGTCATGCGATGGTTGTGCAATTAATGCAAAAAGCAGCTGCCAGTGGACATGTTAAATTAGTTGTTCGTCGTCCTAAAACTGGAGGTAACATTCCTTGATCATTTTACGTTACATGTGCTCATACATGTGACAGAAATTTCGGTTTTTCAGATTTGTCACGTTCAACATCTGCTCCAGTTAATCAATTGAATGCGACCTCTGCTACTTATGATGTTATACTGAATCGAAATGATGGTGATAGTTTCGGTTTTGTTATCATATCTTCCCTCGATAACAATGGAAGTACTATCGGTCAGTTTAATTTTGTTCATAAAATATCGTTTTTGGATCCGATATAAATAGTGAGAAAGAGCCACAATGAACCTAATTTTATATAGTCTATAATATGTGCTCTGTTGATGCATTTTACATTGGCTCTTGGAAAGAAATATTGGCTTTGTCAAGCTAAAAAATTAATTGAAAATGCATGCAAAACATTCACACGAAGAATTGTGTCGGCATTAATTATCATGAAGTTATAGGAAGGATAGTGGAAGGATCACCAGCAGCCCTTTGTGGGCAGTTGCGCGTGGGCGATCGAGTAGTAGCCGTTAATGGTATTGACATTATCAAGTTACCCCACAATGATATTGTTACGCTAATTAAAAAATCTGGTTTATCAGTGAGACTGACAATATCGCCTTCTTCGTCATCAGGCTTTCTCTTAGGTATGGGCTGTTACCATAACAGGATTTTTGTTATTTAAGGACTAACGGCTTAAGTCTCTTTCGAAGATCAAAAATGTGAATAGTCTCCTGTGAGTGTCCATAAGAAATCTTATCCATCATTCATTTTCTGTCTAGGATATTTGAGGCTTGAATTGCTTTGTATGTGCATCGAATACGATCTTTTAAGTGATCGCTTATGCTTCCTGAAACTCTTTGTTTTTCTTAGAGATAACTTCTGAGGTCCAGATAGAGATCATTTTTTGCTTCCACTTCAACTTTTTGGGAGAAACTTTCAACATTCATTTCATTGCTTTTATTCTTTTTTAAGGTTCTTCAGCATCCTATTATTCAACTTCACATATTGGGAGGACTACCACTTACGGACGATCTTCTCATCCTTCGTATCACACAAATCAATTTGCTCCATTGCATAGTCAATCTTTTGATGTTCCTCAGTACAGATATCCGGTCGGAAATGATTACATCACCAGGACATCACCGATACCTCCAGAAGCGGTTCGTTTCTTCATTCTTTACTTTTATTAATTTAAAATCGAGTTTGAAGTAATATAACTATTCCTTTTGCAGTGCATTGTTTCTTATATTGCTCTAACACTTTTTTTTAAAAAAAAAAATGGGTTTTGCTTTATACGCATTTTTTTTCCGACCTTTTACGATATTAACAGTTACTATCTTTACATCAGTGATTATTGATTTCTCTTTATCGATTGCTTGTTTGTTTCCACCATCAATTAAGCTCTTCTTTGCAGCCTGAAAATTGAAATTTGTAGTTTTTATTTCTAAAAATATGTTATGAGAATTAACTGAGGAATTTAAAGGAATATATCGTAATTATGAAAGAATGAAATAATAGATGGACTGTAGCCATATCATAATTATTACTATTCAATTCATTTAGTTTTGTCACAGCAGTTAACTTTTCATATCCCAGCAACAACTCTATGACATTTCTCCTCATATGTATTTTCTATGTAATTTTCCGTCCGTAAGTAACAATTTGTAATGTCAAAATCATCCTTCAGATAAACAAGCTATAGGAATGTTGAAAAATTAACATGAGGAAGTTGATAGAATATTTCACGTTATTTGTTCGCATATGTGTTTATATCCGAAACAGTAGTCTGTTTAGCGATTCGTGTGAGTTGCAGCAGCAGCTGCCGTTATAATTTGCATGTCAGGTTATTATTTTATAAAAACAAAAAAAAAGGAAAAGTTCTAACAATTGCTTGGTGTTGTAGCAGTCGAGTTGTGAGTCATTACTTCAAGATCTGTGGAATATATCATGCATTGATCGCTATTCCGAATTTAGCGATTACGACGCCATAACCATCTCATCATCGTCCACTGCAGTGTCATCCGTATCTCTACGGTTGGTGTATGTGATTGTGTTCATCGTGCTTTCGTGCTGCATGCACTATTTCTGCACTATTCCTATAATTGTAATGCATTGCATACATTTGACGTGCTCCTGCACTCTTCCTATAACTGTAATGCACCGTATAAATAAGAAATATATGTAATAAAATGTTAGGATTTTCGACATAGCAACTGTAGAAAATTCGGTGAAAAACTACCACAATAAACACAATCAACTGTACCTTGATACTCTTACAAGAAGTATCGTTAGTACTTTGCAATAGAAAGGTTCAGTATCACTGAGCCAGTCGAGATTCAGAAACAGAAAGTTTGTTTTGTTTGAATGATGAAGTGGCCAATGTCGTCCGTCGAACAAATGGATATACATACCCAAACAAATTGGTCTTTTATAAAGAAAGAATTATTAATGTTTACCTGTTGTTATTCCTAATTTATTGAAATCTATCTATCTTAGATTCTACTTCAATTACCTACTTTTTACACTTTTTTTTCTCGACTGGAATTTGCCTTCATTTTCATTTCTATGAAGCTTTTCATTTGTTATTTTTTTCTTAGAAAATAGATATACTTAGTTTGTTGTTTTAAATATTTTAAGGGATCAGTTTAATATTAATGCGAATAAGAGTATTTTATTTGTTCAATTTCAAGCTTGGTTTTATCTACTAAACTTACCCAGAAAACTTAGAATATCTCAGTGTTCAGTGATGTAGTGATGTTGACAACGATCAGGCAGTGTCAGAACAAAGTGGTACATGTTCTAGATAAGATTGCAACATATCGAGACTTGTGAAGATTGTGAGGGTCACAGCCATTTGCAATTAATGGATAGGTTGACTAAAAGAAGGCGGCTATCACCGTGAACCTTTTTCTCGATACCATTAAAAGCGGTTGTGTCAAAACACTGACGTCAAGTATTGACATCAAGCATACGGTTTAAAGAGAATTTAGGACTTTGCACATAATTCTAGAATGAATTGTGCCATATTTGCATTAATGGTTTTTCATTTAGTATTGTTTCTTTTTAAAGAAATTTGAAGCTTTTGTTTCAGGAACAAACATTTATAAATGTTGAATTGAATCGTGGACCGAAAGGTTTTGGTTTTTCAATTCGTGGTGGACAGGAATTTGACTCAATGCCATTGTTTGTCTTGCGAATTGCGGAAGATGGACCAGCAGCTTTGGATGGCCGTTTAAAGGTTGGCGATCAACTGATAGAAATTAATGGACAATCGACACGTGGTATGACGCATAGCAGTGCAATCCAAATCATCAAGCAATATCTTATCGTTAGATTATTAGTTAGGAGACCGCAAGGTTTCTAATTTTTTTGCGAATTATTTTATTTGCTGCTATATTAATATTTTGGGTAATTCATATCGTTTAACTTTCTTCTCAATATGTATGTTGTTTATGAAGTTTGGAAGTTTTAATGATTTTGCTTAATTTTGGAATTTAATGGGTGAATTGTTGAAATCCCACTTATTTGACATTTTGTGTAGAACCAAGTAATGGCTTGTCTTCTTATTACATAGTGATCGAATTTCAGGCTGACAAAGTTTAAAATAAATGTTTTAAGTGATCTATGTTGAGAGTCTTTGTTCCTATTACTGTTTTACCTATTCGTATCAGTTTTTTAATAATAATTTATACGTTCTGTAATTTAAGAAGTTTTATGACATTTATATTCTGTGTTCGTAATCTTCCGCCTTTTACTGTGCGTCAAAGTTGTGTTAAGTTGGAATTTTTTCATTTCAGTAATTGCCTCAGTCACATTTAGCTATTGCTTTAAAAAGATTTCATTTCATAAAAGTGAAATGGAATTTTCTAATTCATATATATTTTTTTCGTTTTCAGATCTCATTTTATATATTTCGAACGTTGCAGTTTCGAATATTTTGAAATCGAAATTGCCATTTTGAAATTAAATCTGAACTAAAAAGATGATTTCTTGCGGAATTTTTATCCCAGTTCATAGAAAAAATCTTTTATAATATCATAACTTACATGGGCTCATTTTTTTTCACATGTCTTTACCAGATTTCCAGAATGTTGCAAGAGAAGTTTCTGATAGTAAAATGTTGAAATTTATCTTTCTTTGCAATTTTGCTTACAGTTTTATTAGTGCGATTAGATCGGTAAATTTCAAAAAATGACGGTATTGCTTTCCAGTGATGTAACATTTACTTTGCAAAGAGGTGTAAATTCTTTGATTAAGATGAGAAAGATACAAATTTTTTGAAAATTTTAAGGTGACTAATTCTGATAAAAGCATATATCGACACTGTGAGGGAGATATCTATCACAGGATGCCCATGATTGGTACTTTATGCAAAATTTATAGGTTTTCGGGTGAGGATAAGGGATGCAATTTTCCGAATATAATGAAAATCCATCAATAGGACTAATTTGATAGTGTCAGCCCAAATGCGTATTGATAGGACGAATGGTCCAAACACTTCACCGTAAATTGTTTGCCAAATGCTTAGCTTGATTAATGCATTTATTCCCGCTGATATGCATCCCTCATGATGTTGTTCTACTCTAATTCATCCTTAAGATTTGCTTGATGTAATAAATTAAATTAGAAATGCAGGAAAACGATTTGCAAACGATTATGATAAATTAATTTGTATGCATACCAAATGAGCTAGATTGTTTCAAAGTTGTCCGTGGCATTCAACTCCATTTTTTACATAAAAGTTGCAATGGTTCCAATTTTCCTCACCGTTTGAATTTCACTCGCAATTCAATTACAAATTTATTGCTTTTAAATCATTAAAGGTAACAGAATTCTCTTCATTATGCTACACGGCGAAACATAAGTTTTCTTGAAGTGCATATATATATATATATATATATGTATATACATGAAATAATCAAGCTCATTTGATGCGCTTACAAATTAATCGTTTTAGAAATCGTTTTCTATATATATATGTATACATATATTGGTAGTTCTTCATTTCCCTTCGATATTGGGAAGCAATTTATTGCTTTACTCGATTTCATTTCTTTAATTCATCATTTGAGGGTTCTGAATTTTGAATATGGAAGAGCAATGAGGAAAAACGAGAAAAAACGACAATGATTACAGTCAATAAGCGATTTTAATTCACGAAAGGTATGACATATTATAGTCTACGATGAGAGTTGTCTTGGAAACGGATTTTACTGGAACAACATCTGAAAGACTGAAAGATGATTGGAAGTCAACCGGTTGTAAGAAGAAGAAAGGAAATCAGTTATTTTGTTGTTTCCTGTCGTGCATGTCATTATTTGATATAATTAAGATTTAATAGTTTCATTAAATTGGAGAAATAAAAATAAAATGATTGTATGGAATCCTTTTCTCATTCATATACATTGATAATTTCATTAGTGAGAGAACTGTTGTTCGTTTCTTTGTTGAAACAAATAGCTCTTGTTTTCATTTTTTAAAAACAACTGCCACCTTTGGCTTCACTTCTTCATTTGAAATTCAGCTTCAACAGTGAAAATCTTCTGCAAAGATATATGGTGAGAAATTTTTGCAATCATAATGCTATGTGTGGTGATTAAATCTTTGCATTCTTATTTGAACATTGAGCATCTTTTGAAAATTCCCTTATTATTTGAATTCACTATATGATTTCTGAGATTTACCCTTCTAAACAAGATTTACATATTTGTAATAAATTTCAATAATTTTTTTTCACTATCCACATGCATTATCAAACTTCTGAAATGTCACTTTCAAAAGGTTTCACTTTCAAGAGGGGCAAAAGGTTCTCTTCTAATAGTTCAAATAACAATTTTCATTTTACGCTACCCACATTCTGTAAGTTTTCATCTCAATGTCTACTAACTAGAGTTGTGGAATCCAAAAGTAATGAAGCTCTATTGACTCGTGAAAACAATGATCATGACAGAGGTGATGCAAAATGTAAAATGAGTCTTCATTGGGCATTCTGCGATGCCATCCCCGGATTCAGTGAGAATAGTCGGCTAGATCAAGTGAATTATGAATTGAAATTGAGATGATGCTATTGCAACCGCTACAATTTGGATGTTAGAAACGGTGTTCCGCCTTCACATTCGTGTTTTCATATCTAATAATCGATGCTTAATAGTAGCAGTAGTAATACGAAAGTGGGATATAAGAGGCTGAACCTTTCCTTTGGTCAAGCATCATTTCGGTCCAGTTCCGCCTGGTCCAGCCTCGATCATTGACACGCCCAAAAGTGAATTTTCTCCATCTCACTCATTTCATTCCCTCCTCCTTTCAACATTCATTATTTTATTGTTCCCTTTGGTGCTGTGTTAGACTCGATCACTTATTTTACTGGTTAATTATATTTCAAATTTTACTCAATTAAAATTACTCTATTCCTGCATTCCACAATGCTTCTCCAGCAATATGCAACATTAATTACTTGCTAAAAATCAATATATCAATGTAAAATTTCATGAAAACTAAACTTAGATCACTTCAGCTATGAAGAATTGCTGTCACTTACACCTTAAAGTAATAGTGACAATTTATTTTATTGCATTACTAATAACTGCTGCCACATTTCACCTTTATCCTCCGACACTTGATAGTTGCATCGCTGGTTGCTTGATACCGGCTGGAAATAGTACTATATGGTTGCCATACAGTTATCCACCGTGTATTCATCCTGGTCAACCAGTACTACGTTGGTCCAATACGGTAACCTGTAACAGACCAAATTTTCTGACTTCACGAAGTGTTTCACTGGATTCTTCATCTGGTGTGCTATTTGCTGAAGAACGCGTGTGCTTCTACGTAGAACCATGGCACGTGGCATATTCATATGATTGTTCTGGTAACAGCATACCACAGCAAGGCATTCTTTTCCTGGATCATAAAAAATATGCCACAAAAAGGCGATCAAAGCGATGGATGCGAAGGAGAAATCCAACGGTACCACGGATACACTTCCAGCAAGAGCGATACATTACTGAAATTCCGGAAGATACACCAATCAATTCACTGATTATTCAATTACATGCCACTCATATTACTAATGAATCAATGTATTATGCTATGGTAGCACCTGAAGATTCTCGTTCAGCTAATATTTTTACCTTAGATACAGTTTCCGGAGATATAAGGTATGTGTTGTATATTTCCGTTAACTCCTCATCTAATGAGAGTCTTTTTCTTGACATTTTAATTGGAATGATATCACTTATAAACGATTAAAATCCTTACAAATTTGAATTGAAAAAGGATATATTTATTGTTGATATTTGCAACTCAAACTTCAAGATTCCCGGAGTTATTTTCTGCAAGTATTTTTTGTGCACCAATTTTCTCTTATTTAAGCATTCGTATTGCACAATTCTTGTGTTTGAAAAACGAACACTTTTTAAATTTATTTTGATAAGACTGAAACTCCGAAACCAAAAGTAGCAAAGATATTCAAAGTTTCAGAAATTTTTATAAATAATTTTTCATTCAACAGCTGATGCATTATCACTGGTGAACTCATCATTGCTTTGCTTAACTTTCTTATTTATTCTCGCTAATATAGCTCTACTGAAACGACAATAATCGCTTGTTGTTTTTTGCATTTTAAATGAATCATCAAATTAAATAATAAATTTACTCATCAAACGCTTTCTTTATTAGCTATTTTTCATTATAAATTTCAATCAATATGAAAGTTTCTCTGACAAGGAAATGGAAATGTTTTCTTTTTTGATAATTTCATCATTATTAATGATACCCATAGAAAGTATAAATGATCGGATGCATGTTTGAATTTCACAAAATAGGTACAGTAGACAGATAGGCAATCCTTTCATCCCCAATAGTCTTTTTTTTCTCTCATATTGTTGAAACAAGCAAATCCAAGCTAAAGTTTGAATCCTCAATTATTTTGTTTGTTTTCTTAATTCAAAATAACAGAAATTGAATTGCTCGATGCTTTTGAAAACCTGCAGTATTAAAAAAAACTTATAAGATTAAATTTGCATTTCAAACTTCTTCAATTTAAGCAGTGCTCATCAGTACTTCATTTTAACCAAATATATAAACTTTTTGAGGTGTAGATTATCATATAATCTTAACTTTATTTAAAGTAGTTAAGGCGGATACATTACAAATCTTTAATTTGAGAGAATTTAAAATTGTTTACGTCAAAATATGCATTGGGTTGAAAGTTTTAAATATATTAAGTAGCAATTTTCATTTCTGCTGTCCTAAAATTTGGCTTAATCCCAAGAGTCTGAATCAATATAAAATTAATTAATTTGATACTAGCATTAATAAATTGCTAAATTTTAAAATACATCGCGTTTTTTTTCTTCACATTATTATGTAATTTTAAATCAACGCTTCAACATAATATTACCAGTTCGATTTGCAATGTTATTGTAGAATAACTTTGAAATCACAATTTTTCTTTGATTTTTTTTTATTTTTTCTACTTTCATCAGAGTGGGAAAGGCGCTGGATCGAGAGATGTTGGATCGGCATGTGTTGAAAGTAACAGCTTATGAGCGCTTGGATCCGGCTGTATCAGCAAGTAGTTCGGTAATTGTGGAAATCCTAGATGTCCAAGATAATGCACCAATTTTCGAACGCAATTCCTATTATGCTGAAATTCGAGAGGATGCACCTGTAAATAATTATATCCTTAGCACATGCAAAATTAAATAGGAGATAGTGTTGCTTGTTAGAAGCAAACAGTGCATAGTTGTACAAAGGAAAGTTTCTTCTGACATAAATTATGGGATGGTCATTAATTTTTTCTTTATCGAATGATATAATTAGAACGAATAAAAGTTAAAATAAATAATCATGCCATCTAAAATATTACAAATCTCATAATCTCATACACTTAAGCAAAATCTCATACACTCATATAAAATCTCATACACTTAAGCGAACCAGATTTAGACCAAAATATTTTCTTTCACTTCTGCTTGGAAGATTAAACTGTCTAAAATGAATACGTCTTGAAATTTGCTAGAACTACTTAATGGTAATTATCGATAATAATAGTATATGATTAATTTACATTAATTACCGCTCATTTGATTTTACAAAGCATTAGCGTGAATATGCGACAGTTATTACAAATAGTGTGAAATGTAATATTTTAGTAAAATTCTTCAATCAGTTAACGACAAAGAATAAAATAATCTTTAACCATTTCTGCCAGCGATTCGATTTTTGAACTTTTAATTTCCAGATTGGGACAACGCTAGCATCAGTTTTTGCCCGTGATTTAGATATCGGTTTGAACGGGGAGATTACTTATTCACTCGGTGAGGAAGATGGTACTGAACTACTTCAAATTCATAGCTCAACAGGGGTTATTCAAACGGCACAGCATCTGGATCGGGAATCAATGAATATTATCCGAGTATATGTATATGCAACTGATAAAGGAGTACCGCCGATGACGTCAAGAGCTCTTCTGGAGATTATTCTTCTTGACGTTAATGACAATGCCCCCATTTTTGAACAGGTATTTAGTAACATAATTTTAATTCAATTCAATAATTTTCGATTATTTGTTTTTTGCCCAACAAATGCGTGGTTGTTAAGAAGTCAGATTGGATTTACATTGTTAGTATATTTAATCAATTAAAAAGAAAGAAGCTGCAACTTAATGAGAAACGTTTATTCTTTTTTATTCATTTCAACAAATGCCATTTCGAAAAAGATTATCTCATCATTGTTCGGAACATTGATCACTTTGCAATAAATATCATTTGAGAAGTAAAATGCACTTTTTCTAAAAATTTTAATGAAATTAATGAAATTGAAACTTTTTTTTTCTAAATAGAATCACTTGAGAAATAATAAAATTTTTAGGAATTTTGCAATGTCACAATAATGGAAAATATAACCATACCATCCAATATTTTGCAAATTAAAGCAGTTGATAGCGATTCTGGACAAAACGGTATTTTCATTTGAACTATGCGAAAAAGTAAATTCGAAGTAAATTTAATCTTTTTTTATTTCATTAAAATCAATAACTTCAGTTGCATATTGCAGGAAAAGTGCATTATAGCATTGTGGCATCTAGCATAAATGGATTTTCCATAGATTATGAAAGCGGTTGGATAAAATTAAATCAAAAACTGGATTCACGATCCAATCCTGCAACACTTTTAGTGAGAGCCAAGGATTCAGGCCAGCCTGCTCAATCTTCAACGATTAATTGTGCTGTGCACATCGTTGATATTAATGATCACGTACTGATTACTTATTGTGTTATCATTTGTCATTTTTTAATCTATCAATATTCCCTGGAAGAAATTTGCAAATTACGAAAAAACATTCTTCTTTCTTCAAGCAACTTGTTTTCATTAATTATTGGAACCCTAAATTTACTTCAATGATATGGAAATTTTAATCTCACATTAATTAAGAAACTCTTTCAGAAGCCACGTTTTGTTGCATCACAACAAGAGTTATTTGTGGAAGAAAATGTACCAGTCGGGTTTGAAATAACACGGATTTTTGCAATCGATGAAGATAATGGTATGAATGGTCAAATTACATATACATTAGAAGGAGAAGATAATGAAAATGAAACATTTTGCATTGATCGAACAACGGGAATTATTACAACTATAAGTAAGCTTGATCGAGAGGAAAAGGAAAAATATATAATTAAGGTAATGAAATTATTGTTTAAATATTATAATCAACGAATATTATTACTTATTCCTGCTGTTTGCCATTTCCTATTAAAAAATCTGAATATCTCGATTGCTTTTTTATTGAGGACAAAGAGAAGGGAAGATTAAGGAGGTGACAACTTTCGCTATTAAATTTACTATAAATACAAAGAAGATAAAAGCTTTCCATAACTTGAAATTATGGTAAAAATTTCTTTATTTCAGGTGAAAGCAGAAGATGCCGGAAAACCAGCACTATCTGATAGCCTACAGATAACAATAATAGTTCTTGATATCAATGATAATGCGCCGTATTTTGAACATAACTTTTACAATATTTCTGTACCTGAAAATGAAGTACGTGGAACGCCACTAATCAGTGTAAAAGCTATCGATCGTGATAATGACGATAAAATAGTATATCGTATTGAAAGAGCCGAGAAGAACATTTTTTCACTTATTCACTCAGCTGATCAGGTTTGCCACAGTCTCGATTTTAAATCAATTTAATTATTTGCTTGGACAAATATCTTATTGATTGTCATATTTACCTTTCATTTCAAAAAGTTTTAAATTCATTCCAAAAGTTTTTATGCAACTGAAGAGATGAGGTAGGGAAATAGTATATAAAGAACAAAAAAATAATCCATATCGCGATGCTTGCTAAGGGCTTACATGGTAATACTGAAAATAAGCATGATCAGTTTTAGGATAGTAGTCTGTTCAGGCGGTTGAGAGTAAAGGTTAGAAATCCCTGCAATAATGATATCGTGAGCAGGAGATTATGGTTCTCACCGGCTCTTATAGTAGTTTCCAAATTCAACCAGACGGTTAAAGATGTAGGAAACCATTTTCATAATTTTGCTAACAAAATGGATGAAATCATAATTTGGTTTTTGACTGACATTCAACAAGCGAACATAAAAAACCCCGAACGGTGCAAATATGTTATCAGCATATTTCCCTATGCCAAAGAATTTTTGCTTAAATTTTTAAAACTATCGATAAGAAAACATGAAATACTTCCAGGGTGCCATATTATCATTGTCGGGTGAAATTGATCGTTTGGATGATACGCTACGTGTAATAATAACAGCAACTGATAAGGGTGGTTTAACAGGTACTTGTACAGTAACTATTACTGTTACTGATGTTAATACTGCACCGGTATTCCTTACTCATCTATTCACAGTACATATACCAGAAAATATCCCGATCGGTTCAGAAGTGATACAGCTGAAAGCGGAAGATCAGGACCGGGATGATAATGCTAAACTTACCTATTCCATTGGTAAATTTTGCGACTGTCTATTATAATTAATCAAAATTATGCACTGAAAATTTAATTATGCAATAAACAATAAGTTTTCAAGACAATTTTTGAAACAAATATGTTGTAAAATTTTAAAAAGTTATTTAGTTGTTTACACTCTTCCTGACTGAAAAAACATCTGAAAACTGATTACATGTTTGCAAGTTTTAGATAGTAAAGAATTCAATATTGATGCAGAAACTGGTTTAATAATGATAGCGGAAGCGGTAGATCGTGAAGATCGCGGTAGCTATTTGCTTAATGTTACTGTCACCGATCATGGAAGTAATCCACTCAGTGCAAGCACATTTCTCGAAATTATTCTAGATGATGGTAAGTTTCGTTCCATATTATCAACAATATTTACACTACAGTGCTTTTTCTTCTAGAAATACTGTCAATTCATTCGTTTTAAATTTTCGGATTTTCTTTTCTATTATTCTTTAATTTTTATTTTCTGTATTTTCTAATTTCTTAATTTCAATTTTTTCCTTTACAGTTTTTTTCTCTGATAAATATTAATGTGTGGATATTCCGCTTGTTTTATATCTGTCGCATTTTGAGGCAGTTTATTTCTTTCTCTCTCTCTTTCAGACTTCATGCTTCTACACTTTTCATTAATTTAATTTCGCTTAAAGTTCCCAATTTTTTATCTATTTCTTTCATCACCAAATAAGAAACGAGACAATATTCAATATCAATCTTATGCATACTCATAATGACAACACAATCTACTCATTTCCATTTGAAAAAGAAATGAAAAAGAAAGTAATTTTATCCATCCAAACTTTCTCTCTCTTTCTTTCTCTCTCCCCTTCTTTATCATTACAAATTGTGCAAAGATCAATGAGCTGTAAAATACTTTCTTATCGGATATGTCCTCTTTTCTCTTTCATTTCGTTCTCTTTCCTTAATTAATCTAACAAAATGAAAGATATTAAATGTGACCAATGATTGTTGCCCAGTAGTGCCACTAATGTTTACTGTAGTAATTATTTATTACAACCGCTTGCCAAATTGCTAATTAATTTCATTCCTATTCCTATTCCTATTCTTCAACTGCTTTATCACACCTAAGCAATAATTTCAAAAGGAAAAAGAAAAGAATGATGTTGTTAGAAGAGTTTTTTGGAATATTTATTTAAATTCGCAAATAAAACACAAAATGGAAAAGTTGACGGTATTGCAGAATGGAAGGAAAATTGTCGAAAATGTTTGGATATCCTTAAAAAATTATTGCTTGAAAATAGATTTAATGAACAATATAAAATTGATTTAATCTTTAATTAGTCAATAATGCTACATTATCTTGCAAACTTGTCCAAATGTTTAGCTCAGGAAAACAATGCGATCTAATGAAGTATGATATGACATGAAGTCCAGTTATGAAATTATCACACATTTTTTGTGATCATTTTGACCAGATTTACATCTTTAATATCAGTTAGTGAGCAGTTTAGTTAAGACAAGTTCTGTTTTGATAAAAATTGCACTAAGAGTTTAAGGACTTCGTATGAAGATTACCCTAGGAATATAATTGGGATACTTACTCATTTTTGTGGGATAAAATGGAGAATTTAGCAAATCAAAAATTAGAAACAGTTTGACAATTACATGAAATCACAAGTAAATGTCTCAGAAATTCTCCTCAGACTATTGACTGAGCTTCCTGTTGAGTTAAAATATATTCCAATCTAAAATCTTTCAATACTTTTATTTCAAGCCATTGTGAGCGTAGAATGAGAATGAGTAATGAGAATGAATGGGAATGAGGAATGATTTCATTTTAGTCCCAGAATTTTGCATGTTCAACTTCCTGAAGTATTTTCACTGAATTGTTAACTTTATTTAAATCAATCTCTTTATAACATTTCAAGGTATTTTGGGGAAATTTTTAATTTCTGCTTTCTGTTTTGAGAATTTTATATTGAAATCTCATTATTTCAAGTAAATGACAATGCTCCGGAATTCACGTCTGAAAATTACACGGTTGCAATAGCGGAAGATACGCCAACTGGAACATCATTCACTCAAATCACAGCTGTTGATGTAGATGAGGGAGATAACGCAATTATTGATTATTACCTGATTGAAAAGAACGGAAACGGTGACACCTTTAAATTGGATAAATCATCTGGAACATTACGAGTAATTAGTAAGCTGGATCGTGAAATGATCGCCAGGTTACCTTTTTCACAAAATCCATATACCACTTCATTTTTTCTAAAAAAGAGTGAAAATAGGCAAGAATCAAGTTTCTTATCATTTAATAAACTTAAATTCAACTATTGGAAGTCGTAGTAGTCCTTTCCTTAATTATCATTGACAAATATAATTTTCCCAGGTATCAACTACTAGTGAAAGCACAGGATCGCGGTGATCCACCATTATCATCGTTTTCCACGGTATCAGTAGTTATCATTGATGTGAACGATAACGCACCACAATTTGAATCACTTCGGTATGACTTATGGATCGCAGAGAATAGCCCCATAGGTACCACAGTCGGTACCATTATTGCGCGTGATCAAGATGAAGGTGACAACGCCCTCATACAATTTCGAATATTCGGTGGCATTGATGCGAAACTTTTCGATATTGAAACGGCAAGAGTTTATTTAATTTTCTTGATTGTATTACATTGTTTCCTTCACAGATCAACTAAATTGGTTATTGGGAAAAAATGAGTCAAAAAAGTGAGAGAAATAAAAATGAATTAATGGTTGATATCTTTTAACCTTCAATGTAGCAACAATGAAGCCTTCAATATTCCGGAAAATTTTGAAGAGAATTCCCTCGTACTTGCAGGATTCAAGTCAAAACGGTGTGGCACATATACTTTCGCGGACTATTTTTGATTATGAAGCCAAAAAGAACCATTTTTTTCTCGAAATTCAAGCAAGCAGGTCGATTTCATTTTAATGGGTTCTTGATCAAATTTGTATTGACAATTCTAGCACAGTTCCTTTATTGTTATATGAAATGAGATGATTTTAGTGGCCAGCTAAGTTCTATTGTACCCGTTTATGTTCACGTCAGCGATGTTAACGATAACAAACCTCAACTTCGTGACTTCACTATTCTTTATGCAAATCATGTTGATGAACCTATGGAACGTGAGATAGGATATGTCCCAGCTTTGTTTGTTTCAAAATTTATATTTATTTACTAACTTCCAAACTCTTTTTAAAGTTTTAGTTTTCTCCGAAATCGTTTTTTCCGAAATCGGAAAAAAAGTTTGGTTTTCTCTTAATATTGGTTCACTAATTTAAAATATACAGAAATATCAATGTGCAACTTATGCAGAAAGAGGGACACACATTGGAAGTTCAATTAAAAAATTTTAATTCCTGATGTTAGGATAAATTTAGTGATCCAGACCATAATGCAACTTTGGAGTATAGCATTCAAACAAACGATATTTTAATGGTGGATCAATATAAAGGCTCCATCATGCCGAAAAATATTTGGAAACGATATACAAATGTTGTTTATAAGATCTGTGTTTCCGGTAAGATTCTATCAGTTCTTAATTTGAAATTTTAATAAATAGAATAAGAAATGTTATCTTGAAGCCTAAAATAAGGATGGAAGTTTATGGACCGTAATATATTTCAGATGGTCCGAATAATGTTTGTGCCAAATGTCGTTTCATTTACATACCCGTAGATGATGCTATTATCCAAGATACGGTTACTGTTGGATTTTCTGGTATTCGTTATGAGGAATTTTTGGATAACGGTATTTTCGAACGATTTACAAGTGCTATATCACTTTTGGATGATTGGCATAGAGATGATATTTGGGTATTTAATGTTCACACTCATAATAAATGTACGAATGTATCATTCGTTGTTCATCACGCACAAACCATTCAAAGGTAAGTCATTTATTCTATTAGATGCTTAAAACCTATATACATATATTCTTCAATTAATCAAATGACTGAATTTTTAAACTAATTGGCATGCTAAAAACAAATAGTCTTATGGGCTACTTTAATGTGCCATATATCTGCTACAGAAGTATTCATAACTTTCGAAATAATTTAAGCTGCATGAAATGCTACAAATTGATGTTTAAAATAAACTTAAGAGAGCATGGATGTATAAAGCTTACAATTTATTTTGCATATGCAGATAAGAACTATTTAATCAAATATGTGAATTTAAATTTAAAATACGATTATACTTGACATTGCGGTAAACTTTTTTTTGCATTTACAAAGTAGGAGGAGAAAGTACAATCGAAATTTTAAAGATCTTTGAATTTAGATCGGAGCATGTGGAAGGATTAATTAGAAATGGGCTTTCCAAGCTAAGTGACATAATTGGTATGAGATTAATGATACACAGAGATGCTACGTGTTCTAATGAACCGTGTCCATACTTTCAACAATGTAGAAATATTCAAAAATACGTCAAAACCACGCAGGTAATTAAGTGTTTCAAGTAAAATAAATAAATCATCAACAAAGTGTCACTTGAAGATATTATTGTTTGGCATTATTATTGATAGAGTCAAGAGCTTGTATTCTCCTTTTATATCCATCTGTTGAGATATGAAATTTCCGAGTATCTTCAGGTGGATAAAATACCGAAGCAGGAATCAGTTTTCTGTGCATTCAGATCAGATCTATTATTTTTGGTTAGGTGAATGAAGAAAAAATTTCTTAATGTCATCATTTTAAAATCGAATTGCAGAATTTTAAAACGGACAATTTTTTGATGCATTCTTTGGACACTGTGAACTCCTTTCAATGTCAATGCCCAGTCGGATTTGGAAGTTCGTTTCATTTTTAATTAATATGCTGCGGAATCAAGCGAAGGTTTTATCCATAGTTACCTTACACAATGTTTAACAATAACAAATGATTCATCCATGAATTTCATGTAATGTACACGCTGTTCGACTAATTTTCATGACAGATGGATTAATCAATCTCAACATTTGTTTTCTCAATGAAATCTCTCACCTAAACACAATATATTAATGATCAGAATGAAAGGTACTGGTAGGGAACCCGAAGGATTAAAAGGAATTTTCCCATTAATCATTTTAGGGTGTAGAAAGCCTAATGAAGCGCATCTATCATCAATAAATTATTAGCAATTGAATAATTTAATTGCTTTCTAAGACCAATGTGTGTCTTTCTGTCTTCATGAAAATGTATATATGTAATATATAAACCAGTATATTAACTTTATATATATATATAATATTGTAACTGTCTGCAACGCTCGTTATCACCGCTTGAGTGCGTCAAATTGAAATAATTGGCCTAGTGACTTATTGCACCCATAATCCATTTAATATTAGTGTTGGACTTTGACTTCTATTCGCCAACTATTCATTAATGGTCTCGAAATAAATAGAGTGATTGATTTCAGCTGGCAGTTATTCAAAATTTAGGGAAAAAAGGGTTGAAACGTCAGTGGTGCTTTAACGATTATTATACGGATCAGTGCCCTTATGTGATATGGCACATTATATTCATCCCAGCCTCATATTTCATGACAGACTTGTCAATCCCAAATTGAAATATATAATATAATTATGATGAGGGGAGAGTGGGTGGATAAGAGAGCAGACGGTAACTTTTTAATTAAAGAGGAAATCGAAATGACAAGCAAGTGTGAGCTTACAAACTACAATGTGAGGTGGAAATCAAATTAAAATCTTCAAAAACCAAAAAATTCCGTGAATATTTCTTATAGACAATCGTAAAATTTTCTAGAAATTAATTGAACGAATGTTTGATTTCAAATTTTACATTATCGTTGATGTAGTTAGTCTGCATCCAAGCTTGTATCGCATTCCATTCTCAACATATTAATTTGATCTCTGTTTTTTTTGCATCAATATTGTAAGTTTCGAAATTTTAAAATAAAATAGATTTGGTATTGAATAGGTCCTTAAGGCTTCCTTTCATAACCCTTTTTGGCTTAAAAGCTAGTAGTATGAGCTTTTAGTGACGATGTGACCCATCTCGGGCGTTGAATAATTATCATTCACAAAACTTTACAGGTAGCGATGGCATTGAACAATCTTGTAATCATCATCTCGATATGTGCTTCACGTCACCATGCCAACATCAAGGTACCTGTGTACCGTTAGAAAATGGATATCGTTGCGATTGTCCACCACAATGGATAGGTTATTTGATAATTTATTTACGTAAATTGCATGTATAAATGAGTTAGTTGCAAAGTGGATAATATTAATTAGTTTACTACCTCCAAGTAAGAATTAATTTTTACTGCAGAAAGTTAAGTAACTGAAAAATTTACAATTTGTTTAAAACAAATCGATTGCACAGCTTTGCACATTTTTACAATCATCAGAAATATCTTCTGTTTGTAATAAAAATCCTCATATAATATCAATTTTTTTGATTCTTTAATAAGTACAATTAAAAAGTGATATAGATGAGGAAGTGGGAGGTGGATTAATAGTTGGATTGTTAACAAAGTGCTGCGGTTAAAATTAGTCCATAAACTATTTTGTGGTAAACATTGTAGAGAATTGTTCGAAGTAAGAATTACATCGATTAACTGTCGTTAATAATACCGCATGGAGTTTAATCAAAAAGAAAGAATTCTTGGAGTGGCATAAGACAGACGTGTAATAATTACACATAGAGCAGTATGAGTAGATCCTTAAGGCTTCCTTTCATAACCCTTTTTGGCTTAAAAGCTAGTAGTAAGAGCTTTTAATGACGGTGTGACCCATCTCAGGCGCTGAATAATTATCATTCACAAAATGTTTCCTGTCCCTGTGTGTCCACTTCTTATCCTTAGCTTCCATTTCTCTCACCCTTTTCTTCCTTTTCGAACGACAGTCTGTCTAATAAGCCTATATGCAAATGTTCATATAAAATTAATGCACTTCATTTCATTCCTCCCCGGGGATCGTCTATAAACCAATAATTTTGTCTGTAATAGATATTACAATGAATTTTTAGGTTCGAAAACCTTTAACAAACTTTCACAAACAGCAAGTCATAAAGATAAATTTTTATGATAAGGGCAGAGATAAAAAATTTTATTGGGTAAAAAAGCTATGAATAGTTATAACTTAATGAACGAATAAGTAATGAATAGAAAAACTGTACAAAATTCATTAATGAGCTTCTCCATTGGTAATCCTTTTGCCATTCTGGTTTTTATGATTATTTTCAAAAGATGTAAAAGGCTAAGTAGTAGAAGTTAAGTTAATCATATAAATTCAACTTTAGTATAAAAATTATAATGACAAAAAAAATTCGTTTCGAAATTAAATAACGTTATAAAATATCAATTTGATACGAAATTTTTTGAAAATCCAACTACTGTCAGTGTAACAGTAGAATTATATTCTACAACTGATCAAATTTTCTAGGAGAAAATTGCGAAAAGTCGATTTACGTCGACAATTGTTTGCCTAATTCGTGCTTCTCGAATTCCGTCTGCAAATTAGTAAATCGAACAGCGAAATGTATGCAGTGTCGTTGGCATTTGCATGATACGGATTCGCAATGTAGACTGCGTTCGGTTTCATTTGGAGAAAATGGTGGTTACATCGTTCTACCCCTTCAGATCACTCGAATGCAGTGGGAATTGCGGTTTAGGTTTGTCAAATTTTATAATTTTAAATTACGAATTCATTTTTTCAAGCTATAATTATATTGAAGAATCGTAAATCGGTGTTATAAGAATATTATGACAAAAAGACTAATTTTCTGTTTCAATTTTCTTGCTGTAATATTGAATCGAATAATTTGTTTTCAGCATAGCAACAGTGGCATCGAATGGGGTGCTGCTTTTTGCGGGAAATTTATCATCCGATTTTCTGGAAGTGTCATTGGAGGATGCACTTGTTCGGGGACGATTCTCTCTCGGTCATGACATATATGAGGTATTTTCTTCTTTTTGCATCATAAATTAAAAATTTGGTTTCCATTTTGCTTTAGAATTCACAGTTTTAATTTTATTTGATATTCTACTCAGTGCTGGCAATAAATACTCTGTTTGACATCTGCTAATTTGAAACCGACTAAATCTAGCCTCCCAATTTTTTCAGGTTACAATGGATGATTGGCCGGAAAACAGAGTAAGCGATGGGAAATGGCACCAAATAACGCTCGATTACTATGATTATGTTAGATATACAAAAATACTTAATACTTGATCTTTCAATATTGCTGACATCTGAAAAGATGTCTTGAGCTTTTTCAATACTTTTAGAAGGAAAATCAAGTAAAATAAAATCTTTTATTTCATTTATTGTAGTTTGACGGTTTCAGAAATTGATCATATCACTGGATGACTGTGATGCTCATATTGCGATGAAGTATAGCAATATCACCGGCTACCAGAAATGTGCTGCTGAAGTTATCGCAAAATTACCAAAAAAGTTCGTTATTTAAAATTAAAAATCTCGCTAAATTTCACTGGAAGAACGTGGGATAAAGGATAAATGACATGAATACTCATATTATATACAAATCCTTACTCATAAGAAAATAAAAAAAGTGAAAGTCAGTGTTGCGTAATTTATGCTTTTCACGTCATATATTTAACAATTTTCCTCGAAAAAATACAATTAAGTTCTTTTGCAGATGTGAAGACCCAGCCGTAAGCTGTTATCGATTCCTCGACCTTCCGGCTGCTATAAACCTCGGTGGTCGAGCAGTAACTATTGCCGAACAGAATTATATCAACGCAATCGATGGTGACCAATATGGTTCAGCAAGAATTCAGGAACCATTCATTGGATGCATCTCAAATTTAACCTTTGATGGAACACTTGTCGATTTTTCGAAATTTGAGGAATTTGAAAGAGTTGGGGACTTACAACATGGTTGTAAACAAAAAAGAAATGATTGCCGCAATAACCCATGTCATCATACTGCAATTTGTGAGCCGGCATGGGATGGATATCATTGTCGTTGTAAGCAAACAGCTCATACCAATGGGCCTTGTATCGATGACGGTAAGAATTTTTGAAAATTGAATTTCTAAGCTAATCACTGTGATTGTCATTACGACATTCAACGTAACTCCAGCAATCATCACATAACTAATGTGAAATGAAGTTAAGGTATCAATTTTATTTTGATTTTTATGATCTTTTCTCCATCAGTAGTTAGAATTCTTCATTTCCAATTCTTCATTTTCACTGCAGTCTATCACTTTAGAAGATTCATTTGTTTCACTTTATGACGAAGAATCGTTCGTTTTCTGGAATATACCAGATAATATGAAATTCTACAATTTATCATTCGAATTTCGGACGCGTTCACGTGAAACACAAGTTATTGCAGCTGAATTTTTTAAAAGATCGCAATTCATTATTTTCTCGGTGTGCTCTTTTGCTATTATTTCTTTTGGTTTATTGCTCAGTTTAGTTTAATTTACCCAGTCAAATTCAAAATATTATGAAGTTGTATTCTATATTTAAAAATTCATGATATATCATGACGAATTTCAGGAAGATTGATTTTACATGTTAATGTGAATGAAGTATAGCAATTTGTAGTATCATAAACAAAAACTTGAAGTTTTTAAGTGTTGAAACATTAAACCATTCTTTGAATTTAAAGGTAAGTCACGGTAAAGGACTGATAAACATTGGTTCCGAACAGTATTTTTTATCGTTCCCAAATTTTGCCGATGGCAATTTGAAAAGCTTCTCAATTGTTGTCGAAAAATATGCTACGGTCATTGTCGTCGATCACTTATATAAAAAGGCTTGCTTTCTTTGCTGCCAATTATTAATTTTTTCACATCTTTTTTATAAGAACACATCTGGAAATTTTCATTTTACCAAAATATAAAGTTCTAAGCATCCTAATTTGAAACAAGAAATTTAAAATGCTGCTTTACTATTTCTCCAAAAATTTCATCCGCTTCTTTTTTTCCTCTTTTGAGTTTAGAATTGAAGCTACAAGATCCTGATTTTAATTAGACTCATTCAATCAAATTTCAGCTTATCACAATGCCAAATAATAGCTTATATCGTGACATACGCAAAATTTATTCGGGATTAGCTCCATCAACTAGTTATCCACAACGATTTGAAGGATGCCTCCGAAATGTTAAAATCAATAATCTACGATTAAAATTGGCTGAAAATATGATGACAAAGCCTGGTTGTCAAGTACTAATTAGTTATCGGTTACAACATGTGAAAAAGTTGTACAATATTAACCTTGATTTCTTCATTCAACCAGTTATCACGTCATTTCTTTTATTTCAATCTCTCTGAATGTTAGAGAAGTTCGGTATCCTCAATTTTATATTTTTCGAGAAACAAATGTTTCAAAATTCTTCTTTCTTTTTATAAAAATTTTTGAATTCAGGTACCAAATGGGTGCAATTTGCCGAAAGCCTGTCCACCTGACAGTATTTGTGTTCGAGAATGGGACCGACATCGTTGCGAATGCAAGCCGGGTACTTATTGTCCTCTTAATTTATTAGAGGAAAATATTTCAACTATTGCTTTTTCATGATTCAAAATCAGTGAAATCTTTGGGATTGTCTTCAAAGGATATTCCTAATTTAGATCATTTTAGAAGTGTAGTTTGTATGAGTAAAATCCTTAGACAAAGATGGAATTTTTCAGGTTTCATTGGTGATGGATGCGTGAATATTTGTTCATTACCAAATATATGTGGTAAAGAAGGTGTATGTCAAACAAAAAATAATTCAAGAGGTTGATTTTATAACATTACCTTCTTTCCTGGTTGAACTGTTATAATTCCTTCTTTTGGAATTTCGTATTTTTTTTTTGTTTTTAAGCACCAATTTAAGTTTATATGACCGCACGAATTGATTTCTATAATTTTTCAGTCTTCATTTAATACTAGCTCTATTCTATGTTTTTTCTATTAATTTGAGGACTTTGGAAAAAATCGATTTTAGGATACGAATGCATCTGCAGTGGGCAATTAAGTGGACGGAATTGTGAGCGCAAAACAGCGTTACAAATATGTCCAAAAGGATGGTATGGTACTTTCCCGAAATGTAGACAATGCTCTTGTGATACCGGAAGAGGTTTCTTGGAACAATGTAATACTAAAACGGGCGAATGTTATTGCAAGGTTGCCTTATCACCTTGACAAAAGCAATGGATGCTCAGAAATTGTTTTCGTTTATTTCTTTGATAGTTCTCAAAAGAACAAAATGATTTATAGAGTGGCGCTTATTATTCGGGAGATGAATGCATATCGTGTGAATGCGGTTATGGTTCCTCAGACTTAACTTGTACTTCCAAAGGTCAATGTCAATGTATTGGTGAAGCAATCGGTCGTCGGTGTGATCGGTGTCCTGGTTTAGATCAAGTTTTAGACCGGAAAACTTTAAAATGTTTGAAAATTAAGAACAGATGTCCATCAAATATCGAGTATGGTATCCAATGGCCAACGACCATTGCTGGAGCAACTGCAAGACAAGTAATGTTTTTTCCCTATCCTCTTCTCTTTCCTCTTTTCCCCCAAAATTATTGTTATTTTTCAAGTAATCATTTGGAGATAGATGAAGGAATAGCCCAAATTTACTTTCCAGAAGATGCTAGACAATGTTTTAATCCGGAAAGAATATGAGCTATTCAAAGATTACTGAATTAATTAATTTTTCTTTTTATGAATTCACAGGGTAAGACAGGTATTATTTCAATTGCATTGATTCGTTTCGTTTAAGAGTTGTCCAAATGGTGAAGTGGGTTTAGTTTTGAGGAAATGTCTGAGGAATGCTTACTGGGATCAAATCAACAATTACAACTGTACTCTTCCTGCCTTCACTAAGGTAATCAGTTGTCTTATTGAATAAGTATAGCATTACTTCTCGAAATGTCTTAGATCTTAATTCTTGACTATAATATTTACTTTTCTATATATGCGTTTTCCTACTAAAATATGCCGATTTCATAAATATGCAAACACATTTTTACTCGAAAAGCAAAAATTTTAATTGTAATTTTCAGTTAGATTTGACTGATCGAATGAAGCTTGTACAAAGTTTATCAAATGTAACAAGCAGCGTGCTGCAATTGAAAGGTGTCAATATTGCTATTGCGAGAAAAATGCTGAAACAATTAATCAGAGAAGAACTTACTGGAAATGATCCTCCGAATAGCCATTTGAAGTTTGTTGCGAACATTTTTGGTGAAAAATTTTAAAGTCTGAGAATTGAACTTTTAAAATGTTTGATATGAAGTCTACGACTATTATTTGCAGGTCAGCAGAATATACCAATTGCTTACTGAAAGTGGCAGACAGTTTACTGAAAATAAATGATTATCCAAATAATGCTCAATTAATTCGCCTCTTCAATGATTATGGTATCCATGTAGCGAAGGTTCATCAAATTCATTCATATCTCAAACCATTTATGTTCTGCGGGCAAAATATGGGTCACTTTTTTTTCCTCTTCTTTTTCCAATTTTTATATTAAAATGATGTAAAAACATAGATGGTCAAACAAACGGATAAATTAAAATAAATCGGTTTGTCTGCTAAAAATGCAAATATCTTTGGTAAGCCTTCCTAGCTGTGTCAGAAATGCAATTATCGTATTGTTCGGAAATGCTTTTGCTATGGTGAATTTATTCCTCCTGTTGATCCAAATAGCAATGTGGGCGGAAATGTGCCTATAATTCTCCTTTTTAAAAAATCTAAATTTGGTTTTCACACAGAAAATAATACACAATTTCAGACAGGCAATCAAAATTGACATCCTCCCACTTCACCAAAGATTTGATAGATACTCATTTTATTCAAGACAATAAAGTAATTTTTGAAAGGATTGGATCATAATCTGTGTGATTTAATTTGACTCATTACAGTCTTCGCAGTGGATGAGATGCCTGCTGATGAAAGTCGAATATTGCCAAAGTTCAAGAACTTTGTGGATGAACGTGCGAAGAATTTTCGTAGTATACAGATGAAGCTTCTATGTGAGGATACAGTAACTTATCCTAAGAAAGTTATATTTTACAGTATGTTCAATAATGTAGACCGTTTCCACTACGAAGCACCGATCGTCGCCGTTTACTACAATGCCACCTGTGCGATTCAAATACTATTCCCAGTTAGCGAAGAAGCTTGGAAGTATCCAGAATGTGTGATTGTCGAAGATCCGCCAAAAAATGGCAAACTATCCAGGAATAAGGATTGGGCCGATGGAAATATAGAAACAGAAAATATATTTCTGGAGTGGTCCGTGCAAAAGACGGCTCTCGTGGGACTTAATCGGACCCATGCTATTTGTAATTTCGAAAGACCTGGTGTCTACACAATTATTATTCGACCAGATCATGGAGCTCTTGTAATTTTTTTTGCAATTTTTTTAAAAAAATCGAAAATCGCTTTTTATCATAATGTATAGCGGTAAGCATCAATTCTAAGGAAAGTAAAATTCAAAATTTTCAACAGCGAATTTTAACTTTTAAGGAAAAATAGAAAATTAACTTGCAGATTCGCTTTATACCTTCAAAAACCATACCTTACGCCGGATCATTGTGCGTAACATTTGCACTTGTTTTACTTTTACTATCCGCAGTCCGGAGCCTTTATCGACCCTGTCTACGCCTAAGACTTATTCGATTCGGCTTCATCCTTATGTTTGCGCTTGATGTGATCGCTATTTTTTTAGTTCATCGCCTTCAACCAAGTATTGTATGTGTATTTCTTTCCGTTTTTAAATTTGATTCTGAAATTTTGGGTTTTGGATTTAAAATTTGATTTGGAAACCATAATTTCATCTGAAAATGATCAAGCATTTGGATATCTGTTATACTCGCGTTGTACTCAGGTATTTTGCCTTGCGCGGAATACAATTATAAGCTTATGTACTTCGGCAGTATTTGCATGGCTTTTTATGTATTCCTTCCACATTTATCGACTCCTGGCGACCGGAAGAGCAGAGTCGAAGTAAGTTTTAGAATGCTTCAGCCACTATTTCTTGAAAAGTTAGCATTTTTTAAAAATAAAGTAAATGTTTAGTTGAATTTTTTAAATACTTTCAGTTAATAACTTATTATTCAACCAGCTTAAAGTGCTGACTTATTTCAAATAAGATACGGAATGATGTGCTGACATGTTAGTGCAGTTTTTTTTTTTCATTTCTGCTAATTTAATTTAATATTTTGCAGTTACTGGGTGATAATACTATGTTCAGTGATTATTCCAATGTTGTTATCACTTGCATCCTTCTTTTTTGCTCGAGGATGTTCACTTTCACCAAACCAACCTTTCTTCTGGGTTCTTCTGACTCCAGTTGTATTGTATATCTTGGTAATTCAATTTCTGAAATTTGCTTCATTGATTTTGCTATCTTCGATATTTTTTCATCCAACATCTTGCCTGGCTTTCATTTACTTCATCTGTGCTGCCCGGATTACCCAGACCTCACCAAAATTTTGCAAATTGTTTAATATAATAAACTTAACAGTTTCTTAGACGTTTACCTTTTTGTGCTACCTCATCACCAAAGAAGAAAAAGGATGAGATTAATCTATTTATAGTTTTAGATCTCTAGTTTGTTCGAATAAATTTATAAATAATTTGTTATTCACTGAGGTAATCAATTGACAATAGTATGACATCTAATAGGAACTATACTTCTGTCATCGATTTATTTAATGTTTGGGTCAACTTTGAGCTACTTTCGGGAAATCTGTGCCAAGTTGAGTTCAAAGCATGCAATAGATGCTGGACAATCCTTGTCATCTTGAAAATTTCACCTTTGAACTTGCTAACGATGTGATTGGTAATCATACAATACATCTCGAAATTTCAAGTGGTATTAGATTTACAACTTTGCCGCTTATTTCTAATTTTATCCCTAATGCTGCAGTAAATGCAATCGGTAGGAAAGATTTAAGTTTTTTGAATTTTTTGAATTATACAATAAACGATAAAAGAGTTTCAGTTCGACTTTTACGCGTTTTGGACGGCCCTTTTGATATCTTTTAGTAAGCAGTTCGATTATATGGTCACCGAATATTCCATTCGAACAACACTTTGGTTGCATATTATTCTGGTTTGTTTCCATTTTATACAAGTTAAATTATTCAGTTCTTCAGCAGTTATTTTCCGAAATGTTTGCTGTATGTTGATGAATGTTGAAAATACAACCGCAGGTGATTTTTGTAATAAATGCAGCAGTGCTGAAAGATACACATGATAGGAAAAACAGGAAATTTAGTGACATTTGATAAAGAGATATATAAGTTTTCTATTGTTGTTTTTATTTCGATACCGTTGTTCATTTCTTCAAAGATTTTTCAACATTTCTTAAATAGTTACTTATTTTCACCTTAACCTATTCACTTAACCTATACTTATTTTCACTTATTGGGATTCATATTTTTGTTCATTTAAAAATGAAGACGGAAATGAAAATTGAATTAAACATTCAATTAGGCCAGGAAAACAGAAGAATTTATTAAGTGAAGATTGTTGTTTTTAATCAATTGGGGACACATTTCATTACAGAAAAATTTAATATAAGGAAAAGTTTGAAATAAAAGAAGATACGTTTTTTTCAGTCCATATTATGCGCATTTTATAATTCTTTTGGTCTTTATATACTGTTCGATCATGCTGACAATCCACTCTATGAAATTGCGCTCAATTCAACATTGGTCTTTGTTGCCACGTATATTTTCCTATGGACAAATTATTTTGGTCCTAAGGTAATTTGTTATTACCACCGCCAAGATAGTCTTTCAAAAGAAAAGAAAATAAGAAAAATTGAAAACATTTTAACATTTTTGATAAAAAAAGTTATAGTTTCTACTAATTTTAGAGCAATTATTTCTCATCTATTAAGTTCCAGCACGTAAGTAACGATTTTTAGAATTGAACTGTTTAATTTGCTGACTCATCAAATAACTCTATCAGATTTATTTTTACATGATGCTAGAAATACCTAAAAGATTTTAAAAATTAGTCCTTATGAGATGGATAGATTGAAATATCTTCTTGAGCGGTCGGCACCAAGTATGTATCCGGCTAAAAGTCACCACCTTGATTGTCTGAAAGTATGCAACGTATTGCTTGAAACTTTGGCATCAAAAAAATGCTGAAATTTGATAGAGAAGTTTAAGATTGAACTATTGTTAAATATAAGGATTTGATAACACGAAATTTCAAATATGCTTTCTCTTTGGAAACTACAAATTCGTTTCACGACTATTGCATGATGACAAGTTATACATTAAGAATCAAACTTGTATTTATATCTCAACTTATTAAATGAGATTATCATATCGAAAAATTTCTTAATTAGGAACTGTGCAATATAATGCAAAGGACACAATTTAGTTGTATCTTATAGCGAAATATTCGTTATGATAATGGTTTATGGACGAATAATTTGCCAAAAAGTAGAGAAGAAGTTTTGGATGCTCAATGCCAAACTCCGCTCCTGTTACAGTCATCAAATACAGGTTCATGCCTATTGATAACTGTAAAATATCTTTAACTTCATTATGCTTTTTATTTGGAAATTTCATAATGTTATGAAACTCTTCATTTTTTAAGATTTTAAAATATCCAACTATTGAAGATGCGGAAATAAGTGGAAACTGTGTTAATGGATGGATGCCTGATATCATACCTTCAACAACATATGTTCATCAGGAATCGATCCATGGTGTACCACATCCGAAAATTTTAAGTCCACCGATGAAAATACTCCACCATGAGGCATATACTAGTGAAGACGGAATTGCTTTACTTTATCAGGATAACGCTCAAACTAGTAACATCGATCATATTTATGGTACCTATTCTAGTAAACATCATTATCCATCTTTTACATTTACTCGTTAATGCTATATTGTATATGCTATTATTGCTGTTAATCTGGTTATTATCGATTATACTATAGAGCCTTCAAAATAAAACCGACAAAGTCATACTTCTAAATTGTTTACTAAATTTATTTAATGAATTTGCACAATACATTTGTTGTTTATAAAACCGATTTGAGTTCACCAATTTATCTTTTCATTTCACCGATTATAACATACTAATTCATAATTGCTATACAAAATATAAATGCGCGACAAAAGTTTGAATGTAATTGATGATGAAGAAATATATAATTAACAATGAAAGAATTTCAAATATTTGTTGAAATGAAAATGAAATAATTTATGCAAATAAAAATTATGACAGAACTTTGAGTACAACAAGAAGTTTTGCATCGATTGTAACAAATTTGTTTTGCTTTTTTTCTTATAAATGATTCGAAAGAACTGTTTTGGCAATATTTATTGTTTGATGTATATAGCTTTCCCTTTCATTTTCAATTTTAAGTATTTATTTCCAAATTTATTTTTTCCCGATCCTTTTCAACGATTTTATTATGTTTTATCTACGATTGTTTTAAAAATCATTAAGAAATATTTCTGGAGTTTTTGGTCTGATAGGAATGAAAGAATAATGAAACGTGTAACATATAAAATGTAGCCATACTATAAAATGCCAAGATTTCCCCTCCTTTCCCCGTGCATTGCCGGACATTCTCCAACCTGCCGTAATAAAGTTCATCAAATGCCTGCCATCCATTTGAACTATTTACTTCAATTCGACTATCCAGAATTGATTAGATTATCTGATAATGTTTGTGGTTGGGTTGGTTCTGCGAATAACAGTGTCGGTTTCAAAATTTTTTGCAAATACGTTGTAATGATGAATGGATGCAAGTGAATGTTCGATCTGAGTGTCTCATGTATCTGTATGTATGTATGTGTGTCATTAAAATTTAAGTCATTTGTCACAAGCGATTGGAAGTCGTTTGAAAATAATAGATATCTGTCGCGATACTTTAAATAGACCACTAAGTAGAAAAAAATAAAATAGATGTCGGTTCTTCCATTTTACACGCCAACACTAATATTATGTGATCCTGGGTGATCAATTTAATATTTTTTAAATGAAATCCATACAAATAGAAGTGGATCTCATTTAAGGCTTCACAGAATTTGTCTTCTTCTATCAGAGTCTGTCGCATGCCTTTCCAAAATCATTTTCGTTTAAAATTATCTGTCACCTGTTTGCTTGAATAAGTTATCATCAACATTAATTATTTTGAATATTTAATATCATTGTCTAATTTGGCATATTGTTCTTATATTGATTGTATTTTTTTCCGTTTTCGAATTCCCGTAAAACCGTTTATTAGGTCCGATTACGTTTAAGAAAAACTGGAGAATTAATCGATCTACGTTTGCTAACTTTAATATTTTACTACTGATTATTAGGCATTTCCGTGATTAAGATTGATGTTTAAAAAAATAAAAATTACGTAATCTAAAAAGAAATCAGTAACATTACAAAAGATTAAATAGAGCGCTAAACTTAATATTTGTTTCAAAACGATTGATAAGTTGATTTGGATGGATACGTCTATTTTCTGCAAGTTAAATATTATTAAATTAACCAGACTAATTGGGAAATTTACCTCTCTCTCAATAATGAGACTATTTTGTCATAGGTTTACTGACTTGATATTAAGCTTCAATAACAGTCAAATGATTGATTCCAAAAAAAACTTCGGAAATTTGATTTATATGTAATATGCTATGTTGATATTGTATATTATATTAGATAAAAACGATGAGAGGAGCGTTTCCGGTGATTTATCGATTCTCTAAAAAGATGTAAATGCATCAACTACATGTACCTGGTTTTCATCCAAAACTAAAATAAAAGTCGGATAAATGAATAAGTATTCAAACATCTTTCTAATAAAGTATTAGATAGTTTTCCTCCTGCTGAAATAATGAAGTCTTAATTTACTTCATTTTTCGGCAAAATAATGGGTCCCATGCGTAAAGGTAATATTTGCTTATTTCATGCTATATCAGGGTTGGCTCATTGCGCCAATATATCCATTTATGAGTCATAAGGACCTCATCAAAAGTTTTAAAATGTTTAACTCTGGGATACAACGGTACATCCAAATCAAAGTTATCTTTCCTCAGAACATGCCATATTTCACACTATAAATTTTGTACTAAAAGAAAAAAAATGAACCTAAAAAGATTTTCTCTTTCAGGATATTAGAAAAAAAACATGACGGATGATAGCATTATTTTGGCAATCCTGTTATTAAGCGGAATCATTTGTGAGGCACAGTATCATAACTGTTTCATGTCTGGTGGTGTTTCCGGACATTCGACATGGTGTGGTGAAAACTCGAAAGATGAAGAGAATTTGAAGGATCCAGTGGAAATAATGAAACGTGCCAAGGAATTCCTTGAAAAGCAAAGCAAAATTATATTGGATCCATTGACCTGGACCATAGCAACACCAGCACCACCACCATCAACATCTGCTTCACCAGTCGTTAATGCAGCATTGGCAGTGACAGCATCAGGTCCAGTACTTGTAGTTCAGCCTAGCGTAACCGGAGAAAAAGCGCAATCACCACATGTTCCGCTGTATTCAGTACCATTGCCCAGTGGTGCCAATTCACTCCTTACTCCTATTTCAAAAGATTCTCCAAATGTATCCAATTTGCAAATGTTACCATATGTTGCAATAGGTCCTCCAGAAAATTCACATAACCTTCAAAATAATCCTATTTCAACTGGCCAAACAGATCTCCCATTCCGTCTTCAAAATTCTAAGCAAATAAGTTGGCCCCAACAGCAATTTGGGAATCAAAGAAGTTATAAGACAAATAAAGAGAATGAAATGCCTTTCTTGAAAATGCCGTTACCAAAATTTTTCGTCGAACAAAATCTAAAATTGAAAGGAAATAATGACTTGACGGACATGAGTAGCATGAAGCCAATCAGGTTAGTCCTAAATCGGCCATCAGCAACACTCGCATCCCGAAAAGGTAGTCAGTCAATCACTGCTTAACTCTTCCCACTAATTCAAAAATCCCAGAATCTTCATGAGAAATCTTCCTCGCTTTATACTTCCAATTTATACCGCTTTGTGCTTTTGACTCCGTTTTACTCTTAGTCCAGCAGTGCTATCGTCACAATCCCAACCCATTTCAGCTGAGTTATTACTGTTTTTCATGCAACTAATTCTTAAAAAATCTCGAAATGAAATGTTTCTACCCACCTAATAAATGGAATTCTAATTTCTTGCATCATAAAGTTATGTAAACCTGTCACTGATCTTTGAATGGTAATGTATGAATTTTGTTTTTCTCTACAACAACTATCGAAACAGTTTCATCACATCTAGATATTCCGTTGTGAATAACAAATAAGTACACTTCATATACTTCCCTCCCCTCTTCATTTCAACGCATCATCCAAAGAAATGTTTTGGCATTATTTATAGTAAGTGGGAAAATGTAAATATTTCTATGTCATTTTTCTAGGTTCGTCAATTTCTGAATCTTTATCCCAAAAAAACACTTCGAATAGTGTATACATATCAGTTTTCCATGTTAATGCCATACAAAAACGTATTTAGTGATCTACTAAGGAAATACATCTGCTTATCTAATATCCACGTGTGAAACCAACAATTACCTATAGTATCGGTGGTGATATTGCTGAAAAAGAAAAAAATCAAGTTTCATTTGAAAAAACAGTTTTATTTAACAGCAGAACAACCAAACATATATATGAAAGCAAACAAATGTATCTGAAGCGATGGAGAAAGGTTCACTCGGACAAATTAAGTTTTTTTTTACTTTACAGTCAAAGTTTGCGGCAACGCATGTTCTATATTCCAGAAAATCCGAAGTAAATAAAAATTTTGAATTGGAAAAAAATCTTAAACGCAATGCAGTTCTGAGATATTAAGTAACAAAACGAAATAGAAATAGCTATTTAATGGATGAAGAAGCAAAAATCGATTCTTGATTTGACGACATGATCAAAGTTTCATTAATACTCGCTAGTTGGAAGCTTTGTTCGATCGACATCAGCGAAGTATGGGTCTTTCAAAAGCTCTTCCGCAGAAATTCGTTTCGCCGGCTCATAAGTCAGCATTTTCTAAAAAAATAAAACTAAATAAAGAATGTGTTAGAATATATAATGGCAGAATACAAAGTCAAAAATAGTCTCGTTTGATCTAAAACTTTTAGGTGAAACATTCTCAACCTGCACAATCTTAATGCCATTAGCATCCATAAAGCGATTAAGAATTTCATCAAGATGGTTATTCTTCCACTTAGGAAATGTTTCGGAACAGTTCGGCATATTTGTAAATTCTCGTAATGTTTCCTCGCATGGAGTCGACAGAATTCTGAAAATACAATGATGAAAGATAATGATAAGGAAAAAACATAACTGATAAACGTTAAACAAACCTAAAAATGCGAAAAATTTGATCAATATTCGAATCACCCGGAGGAAACAGTGCTTGCTTTACAGCCATTTCAGCAGCAATGCATCCGATGCTCCACATGTCTACTGCCGATGTGTAACAGGTCCAACCAAATAGTAATTCCGGAGCTTTATAAAACTGAGTACAAACCTAAACATGTATTTTTGAGTGTAAAAATGAGACTTTAACTTCTTGATTTTCAAAACATTGGAAACGAGAATATGGAAAAATAACCTCCTGCGTACAGTATCTTCCTGACGTGTTAACTGCTTCATAAAAACGGAACTCAGCAAGTTTAAGGCAATCTTTCTGGTCAACAAATAAATTCTGAGGTTTTAAATCACAATGCAGAATATTTCTCTGGTGGCAATAATAGATAGCTTGGAGGATCTGGTACAAATACGACTTCTGCTGTAATTGGTTAAATTCTCAATTCCTCATGACCTGCATTTCCAGTATTAAACAAAGAATTAAAATGAATTTCAATCATTTCTCCTTCTGCTTCTCAAAGAATTAATTTAATGAAGAAAAGGTAATAGAAAAAGAACCGCACTGACCTCAGCTTTATCCATCCACTTGTTATCAGGAATTTTGCTGATATAAGACTTCAGATTCACACTAACAAATTCAAATACCAGATATATTTGATCGTCGCTCATTATTACGTCTTCAAGGCTGTAATTAATCTTAATTCAATTACTGTTAGGTGAATAATTAGAGCCATATGATATATCAGCGCTAGCAAGCCGCACATTCTTATCGAATCTCAGATTGAGAGCAACATTTGATAGGCTCTGAAAATTATCCAAGGTTCCAACTTTCACTGTAGGAAAAGACTGTTTAATTAAATGCAAAAGTTGTCGGCTGTATGTCGATTATGGAACCACTTGACTTTCCTGAAGCCTTCTAAATTCCATTTCCTTCACTTGTTCATTACTCCTATTTGATATTATTCTGCCAATACTCAAAATTGGCTTCTTGGCAAGAATGTCTCCTACACGTCTCGACAAACATGCATTTGCTATCAACTTTGTGGCGCAATAAGACGTCCTATTTAAGAATGTTACTAGTCATTATAGTGTAAAAACATACGAAACGATGTTTGGATGATGCAGTAATTTAAGCAATGTTATTTCTCGTATCAATGCAGATGGTACGCCATTCTCAAACGTTGAAGTCATTCGGACCTTCTTGACTGAAACTGTATTTCCTCCACGCTTATCGATAGCCTTGTAGACGGTACCATACACCCCTGGCAACATTTAGAATTCAAAGAGCTGATTTTTGAAGTCTTGTTCATTCTAGATTCAAAATTTTTTACTTTATAAACTAAATTCAACATACCTTCACCAACCTTTCCAATTCCAACGTAATAACTGTTCCAACCATCCGGTAGCATTGAAGCCATTCTTACAACTGTATATAAGAAAAAAGAAATAAAAATTTAAGTTAAACAACGTAAATCATTCCCTTTCAGGCGTGTCTTTTTGCCCATCCACTACAAATTTATTCTCAGTTCGCACCAGCTCATACAGTAATCCTTTGTTTATCATGCATTCCTATTTTGGTCCATATCTAAGACCAACGTAGGAATACTTATAAATTCGTCCTTCTTACTGTTTAACAGAGGCACGATTCTCGCTGATTCAAAAGTTTCAAGATCTTCAATCTTGCTCACTTACCATTCCCATCACTTCAGTCAGCCATTTTAACGCTGTCCATTTCTATCTATTTCATCCCACTATTTGCTTAGCATCTCTTTTTCGTTGTGATTTTAGGAAAGTTATCTAATGATTAGTTCTTATTGTCAAATCTTTTTTACCAATGAGGAAGTATCCATATGATGTTCACCACTATCTCTTTCATACCTGGAGTAATCACTCAGTACTTAACCAAATCCAATTTAAAACGACCACTCAAGCCTGACATTGAAACCTCTACTACTAACGTTTGCATCATGCGAAAAGCCGATGGACAGCCAATCAATACATCTGAACGTTGACAATAAATCGCAAACATGGTTAACAGTTATTCTGATAAATTTGCATATCCGGATCTAGTACATATGATTCACTTCAGCAAAAAAATGCTTAAATGGATTTGAAGTACTATAACTTTGTTAGAAAATATATTAATGATCTCCATTATATTCTACTTCAATTAAATTACTATTTTTTATGCAAATATACTTAAAATACTAATTTTCGGTTTCAATCCCTGCTTATCGCAAACCATTCTATCAGTTCGTTCAAGCTGCCGTCAAAATAAAATCACTTTATTAGTTCGGTTTATATATATAATTCAGTTTATGCTTATTCACGTATCTGCGTTTTCAGATTATTTGTGATGTTCAGTTAGAAAGAAGACATATTCCTTATTCACGTAACTTTACTTTGTTCAATGAATTAATAAAACTATCAAATATAAAATACGAATTATGCAAAGAAAGCCGACAATTTAAGCAAACCGTTGGGCGTTTTGAAAGCTAATGCTTAACGAATTTGAAAGATATCACACATTCCTTAAAAAACAGCGCATTAAGTCTAGTTGGATGCTCTAAAATATCTGAATAGTTATACGGACAAGTATCTTATGTGGCGTAGTACTGCCATCTACATGCGACTAACTATTGTGTAACTGATTGTTAGCGATGCTGGCTACAGTAGGGCATAATATTAAGGAGCATTCGCTCGCTACCGTATACAAGGAGTTTTCTTCAAATTTTGAAATGAAAGCTTGAATCAGAACCGATAATACTTTTGTTTTCCAGATGTACAAATATTAAAAGAAAAAAAAGGAAACATCTCATTCGACGATGACAGAACGAAGCGACTACGTACGTGACATTTGATAAGAATGCAAGCATTACTCAATCAAATCCTGGAAAAGAGGAGAGTACAATGGATAAGAGTACAATGGGCGGGAAAAGGGAAGAGTACAATGGATGAGGAAATAGAGGGTGGAGATGAGTATAAAGCTAATGTTCTAGCTTTTTCCTTCCTTACTAGATTAAGTGGCCCTGTGTGCATGTTCATCCTATGGTTGTTACTCTCGGTCGCGAATTATGTTGACGTACGTCCAAATGCACGTACACAGTGCGAGGGCACATAGAACTGCATCATTGGATATGCACAAGCACAAAAATACAACCACATTCTAACTGCTCATAAAGCAAAAATGGCATAAAGGCAGGCTTGAATGCATCTGAACAGTAAGACAGGTAAATGACAACAAATACATAAATAACATGAAACCTATCGATACACCATTTGCAGTGTTTTGAATTCATTGGGAACGGTTTGGACTTACAGTTTGGTATGCTGCGGGTACGACTACGTATGGGAGAAGTGTGTTTCTTACCTTCTTTCATTTTTTTTTAGCTATTAAATGAAATTCAAACTCGAAATAAAAAAATATCCATTAGCTTATCCCGAAGCCTTAAAATCTGAGATCAAGTAGCGGATAAAATTCCGCGTAAAATTCCAGACAAACAAAAATTCAAGCAAAATTCTTAAAATCTTGGAGGGAAAGTTGGATAAAATCCCAGGCGAAACCTTTTGAACAGAAACTTGGAAGAAAGTAAAATTATGAATAGGGAGTCTCAGATAAAATTTGGATAATATCTTAGAATTTCGAACAAGATCTCAGACAAAATGTCAGATAACCTAACGCCGATAGTTCTTTTCTCAAATTTATCCGTTAAGTGAGTTGAAAATTTAAATTACTGATGTCTATGTTGTTTTAAGCTTCCTCTTTTCTTTTGCACTGATTTTTCACAAAATTAATGCATTAGCTTGGCCAATAACATTGGTTAGGTGACTTTTCTCTACTCACGATTGTTTTAAATCTTTCAAACAGTTCCAAGGAGACAGAAGATTGGAATACTTTTATTTCGATCGACAAACAAATATGATACGGTCAGAACAGTACTGTCATTCATTACAGCATAATCTTATGCTGATTTCGGAATTTCCAATAGAGGCTACTCGTGCCACCTTCAAATCATTTCATTCATCTGTTGGTTCTATTATTAAGTAGGACTTCATCGCCTAACTTCGGATTTTTTGGCTTGTAGGGCATATGTTCCAGACATGAGATCTAAAGTACAAATTGGCAATCCAAATTTTCAAATAGTTTCATGGACTAAATCCAAAGGTGAAAGCGCGTCAAACGATAGTTTCAGTATCAGGTCATTTGGGACTTTTGGTAGGTTCTTCACATAACCGAGAAAAATTTATCTAAACGTTAGTTGGAGTGTTTTATGCGGACTGGATTTTAACATTCAATATCATAGGTCTTTTTGAAAATTACGATACATGGTCGGATGCGGTCCACAGTCTTATTGCACGAATTATGCTACTGCCTTTGAATAGTATATCTTTCAGCTACTAAAATTCATCAATTTTCTAAAAAACTATTCTACCCTTAAGAATAAAATAAGTCTTGACGCTTCTTCACGATACCATAAATCAACAACATCAAAGGTATCCCGTGGTACTTAGTAACATTAGGGAAATTACCACCACCCACCCAATCCATACCCCAATTTCAAGTATTCCAAAAAAAGAATACTTTTCAAGTATATTCCAAAAAAACCGAAATGGTTGGTTTCTTAACACCCGCCTTTTCCATTCCCCTGTTCATTTTTTTCTTCGAAACCAATTCTGAACCTGTCCATCCACACTTTCCCCCTGACTTCTCACCTAAAAATTTCACTACAAACAATTTACTGTTTGCACCGTCAGACTACCGCCGTGTCTTCTATATCCACATATTGTTTACTTGGCCGGACCGCATATTACTCTGTCTGGAAATTGAAAACCAATTCAAGAACTAGAAGATAGAAGTATGTATCCAGGAATATCTACTGTACCGTAATTCTTGTCATTTTATCATATCTCTGTTCATATTTATTTCACACCATTCTGCAGTGTTTTCTGTCTTTTACACTTCTTTTTTTCAATTATTCAATCAAATCCGTCACTTCTATGATATTTCTGCCACTAAGACGGTGAACTGATGGAGATAGCGTAGAATCCAAGTGTGAGTGGCGCTGTCCGAAAGATGGGAGTATTGATTTGAGATTTTCCATATTCTTTCTATATTCCTATATTTTGATGATTGTGATTTCTTAAAGTCGAATTGATTGATCATAGGCTCGAGCAATGGCCGCTGTTCGTAAGCGTCAACCTGGACATTTTACAACGTAAGTTTTTCGGATTCTTTCCCACACTTCCACACAGAGATCTCCTTTTCAGGAATTTGGAAATACTGTGGACCTAAACTTCCGATGTTTTTTAAAGTATAGCATGAAATTGAATTCATGAACGCCGATGCCCAGAAGTTCCACTGACAGTTGCCGAATATTTCCCATTTCATTTATTATTTTTATTATTTTTCAGGAATACTGGGAAAAATAATGCATTACCAGCGGGAGGGTCGAGTGATAACTGGAGTAAGTTTTGCAGTTGTTTTCCTTTTGTATGGCGCTGCCGTTCGTTTTCTACATAATTGTATCAAAGTTACCAAATTTTTATAATGTTTGGTATGGTTGATCTCCCACTGATGGCATCTACTCGATATACGAATTGCTAGAGTTCTCATAAAAACGAAGACCATATTGAACATAATACTACTGCATTTCATAAGCCTGCTACCCAATTTTCCTGAGTTTGAACTTTGTGAACTCTACCCCAATCAGTGGTTGCCCTTCGATAGTTGTGAGTTTGCAATGCATCAATTTTTAGATATGCAAGATGCGACATTACTGCACAAAAGACCAAGAACTGCAGTAGAATGTTTTGAGGCTGATTCTTCCAATGCTGAACGGGATGGTGTTGCAACTCAAGCAATGGACAGTGAAGGAGATACATATGGGGGAATTATCGGAGAGCGTATTATCCTACCACATAGTTGGATTTTGTTTCAGTCCATACTCCTCAAGATTATATGAAAACAATTTTTAGTGAACTTTTTTGATCGAAACGTTTTAGTTTAATCTTTTAAAATTGTACAACAACAAACGTTTTATGAAGAAGATAGCTGAGGAAGTCGGGATGGATGGGAGATGCATATTGTGATTCAATTGTGATTCATATTGTGATCCAATTCAATTTCAATGATATTGTGATTCAAATTGTGATTCAATTTATAAAGAATTCATTGATGTTATTACGAATAATTTTTTAGGATCACGTCGTGGTGGTTCGAATTTGAAAGAAAAAACTCGTGTTAAACCAAGTGAATATTTAACCAATATTGGGAACAGTTCATTGCTTTTTTGTTTTTATTTTCTGCTTACACATTCTTTTTTTCTATCTTCAGAATCCTCTTCTCCTGAAATATTTCTTTTAGATGAGGCGAATTTTTGTGTGCAATTTCCAATGTATATCATTATTGTTGCATTTCAGGTATTAATGCCAAAAACGGAACTGTACCATCTGATCGCTATAATGAGCCTAAAAAATACAAATATTTTCGAGAATTGGTGGAGACATCCTGTAACCTGGTGAACTGGCGTTTGCAGGTGTTGGGAAAATATTTCATGTATTTGTAAATTTATAGTAAATAATTTTTGATGGGATTTTTGATGAATTGAACAAAAAACAGTACTGAAGCAGGAGGATAAGATATTTGAACGAGACTTATTTCAATATTGAGATAACAAAGAGCTTAAATTTCTGTTACGAGTCAACTTTAAGGTTTTTAAAATTGAAAAACAGTTTGTTTTCCGATATTTTAGGAAAAGCCATGCGCAATTTCCTCGTATGATCCTTGCATAATTTGTGCCACTATACCGGATAAAAACAAGGCCACGGATTGTCGTTTCTATAACCGCATGTTGTAAGTTTTTTCTGCTGATTTATGAAAACGACTGTTGCGTCGTTATACTTCCTCTCTATAGGTCTCTTTTTTCCACGTTAGTTACTACTCTCTGTTGCAGTACAAGTTTAAACGAGAAAAAAATGCTACACCAGATTTTTTGTTTGGTCGTGTAGAGGTTTTTGTATGCGAAATACACTCTTTAGAGAGACTTACGACGAACGGCGAAACTTTTTGTCGGTATTTTTAGACGTGATCGTGACAATCCCAAATTGTGCCGCCATCTTTTAATCAGCGATATCGAAAAAATTAAGTCATCATTTCTACTGGATGAAGTAAACGTTCGCATGGAACAATTTATCGATGAAAAATTCACTACTGGTTTGATTATTATATACTGGTAATCTTCAAAAGAGAGGAGAGATTTAAGACCTTTTCGAGTTTCTGAAGATCAATGAGATAGTTACCTGCAACTAATGGCCTTTTTTGCTCATTCGTGCTTGTGGATTAATGAAAGGAAGGAAGAAAAATTTCTCTAGGCAAAGCAAAGGAAAAGGCGGAAGCAGCTCAAATGGCTGCGTATGTTCTACAGTGTGTGTATTCAAATTACGAAAAAGTGGTACATCGTGAAGAAGAAGCCATGTCAAGCTTTTCTGGTAAGTCTACCCAGTTTTTTCAAAAGTGTTCTGGATAATAAGTTGAAGATATGATTGATTTTTAGCATGCGCTACTTAGTTATCATACTTCACATTATATTTATGGCATACACAATATTTGGAATTCATTTAAAAGAACTGGAAGTATTGCTGATAACAAATCTATTGAATTTTATATATAAACTTGTTGGTTTTTTAGTAGGAACATGAAAAGATTTAGCGAATTATTTGGTAAAGGAATATATTTGTTATATCAGCTGTCACTTTCTCTGCCCCATTTTAGCTATTTAGACAAGTAGTCGGCTAGCGCAATACGTCTTCATGAGATGACTTAGATGCATGTTGACCATGGCTCTACATTTATCTCTCAGTAAAAAATAAAGGTTTAAGTCGTTAAAATATTTTGTTTAATCTATATTAGCATAGAATGTAAGCAGCGTGGCTTTAGTCGTTCAGCAAATACTGATATTTTTTTGAAGCTTTCGAATAAGTACTACAATGCTTTGTGATTACCAGGCCGCAGCCAACGAGGTGCCGCTACGAAATGCCTAGGTTTTTTCGATGTATATATAATATAACATTTTATTGTAGAAGGAGAAGCATACTACAGCCATGCGTTCGGTGCAAAACAAGTATGTGACGCATGTCGTTTTGCTATCTTAAATGCTCATTTTTGCTGTAGAATTTGTGGGTCAGAACTGTGCACAATGTGTTATAAAGAACTGGATAAAAAAGGTATAGCAAATATTATTTGTTGTGTTTTATTTTTATATTTCTTTATCAAGAATTCAGTTCTGAATAGATTGTATATGGCAGAGAAAGTCCACACATCATTAAATTCTGTACAAAGAAAGTTATATAAGATTTCTTATGAAGCAAATCCGCAGCGTAGCGTTAGTGTTATAGTGTAAGATCATGCATTTTATGGCGATATTGCACGACCTAAATGTGCAAGGAAACAACACAGTAAGCAGAAAAAGTATGGATCCATAATAAAAAGCGATTGGAAAGAATCCATTCAAATTTATGTTATTGGTTGTGCAACGAGCGACATATTTTCATCAGAATGTATTATCGAAAGAGTAAAAAGTGTCCCTTGAGTGATTTCTTGAAAGCATGGGTTTTAGACTTCGTGGATACTTCTCGAAATTTCCTTTGTTATTGATGACAAGTGGTCAAGATTTGATAAACCTGGAAGTGCAAATGTTTGTTGGGGAGAGAAAGAAGTGTCGATTTCATCACGAAACAAAATAGCTCATGTGAAGCTACAAACAATTTAATGGAGCAAAAGAAAACTTTTCCAATAAAAATGAAATGTCATCGGAAGATGCGGAAAGAGTATGGTGACTGATAAAAAAATTGCATGGAAGCATTGAGAAGCATGAAAAATGACTCGGCGTCCCTTAACTTGGAATGCATGAAAAACCCGGTTGATTTGATAAAACTTGGAAGAAAACTTGTGGGTGATCAAAAAATGGAGGACAATGGATTTTGTTGGTTGCAATATGGAGAAAAGTGATTGAATATGGGAAAATATGGCTGACAAATGCAGTTAACGGAAATGTCGCAAAAAAGATATAAATTGTCCAAATAATCGTGGATATTTCGACATATATTTTGAAACGATATGCAGTAAAAAAGGAGCGTTGAAATGATTCAGTGCACATGAATATTGTTGGATAAGTGCATCACATTTGTTTCTGGGCCATGCTTTCTTCATTCGAAGTATGAGTATTTAAATGAATTAGAATGTCAACATTCAACCATTAATCCAACTTCATCGATAAAGAGACCCTTTGTGCGTATTAATGAATTGATAAAAACAGTTACTTTATGCGAAACGATATATGAGATTCCGAGTTCTGATTTTTCGGAGATCATTTACTTCATAAAGTTCTTGCATTTTCACTTTTCATCATTTTTGTGTTGGAAGATTTGTACAGTTAACGCGAATCCCTCTGCGATCCATCTGTCTCGATCAGAACTGTGACTGCATCAAGAATTAAATAGAGATCTTTAATCAATGGTGACTAATTGTAGTATATTCGTTCAGATATTTTCTCATTCTTCAATAAATTCAATCCTTTTTTGTTTTGTTTATCAGTTTCATTTCTTCATCCTCGATCTTGTCACAGCTACTCTAAATTTAAAAACAAACGAGAGTAAAATATTTTCAGATTCTTATCCTCCGAATTGGTTAAAGTCAGTTCCTTGTACAAATGGTCATCTTCACGATGCTACTATGTTTCACTTGGGATCATTTCTGCCTTCATTTGGTACCGTTTATTCTCTTCATTTCTGGAGCAATTTTGGGTAGAATTCCGGTTAATTGAAATATAATTATTATTAATAATCTGATCTTACCAAATATTTTGCAGCAAATCCTTGTTTGAATCTTTGCGTAATTATGATTTACATAAATTTTAAGACATTATTCGTGATACGCTTTACCGATCGATGGAGCAGTTGGTAAGGTACGATATTAAGAAAGGTGGTGCTTTATGCAATGGTAACCATGGACGAGGCTATAATATGAAATTGTTTCAGGAGGTTAGTGAAGAGCTTTTTCTTTCTTTTTTTTAATAATTTCATTTTTGTATTTCCTACATTGCGGAAGGTCATTGTTACTAACGTATGTGTTCATGATTTATCAAATGCGAAAGTCAGATTTACGGTTTTTATAATGAGAACTTGTTTCAACTGTGAGCTGTATTCAGTTTAAATATTAATTTTGGTATTTACTTTAGGAGAAATGTTATTGTCCTCGATTTTCCCCTCTTTCAAAATTTCCTATCGAAACAATTTGTATTATTGAGGATCAGGCAAGGACTTTCCATCATTTATACTCTCATCATTTCTCTTTTTATTACACATGAACTTTTATCACAAATCTATCGATGGTGATATTATTTGAGTTCTCTAAAATGTCTCTGTTAAATTACTGGGTTTATCCTTTGATAACGTAATTGTAGTTTTTACCGGATGCGTATGCGCGTTTCAAAGTTCAGTTAACTGCACACAATCCCGTTATAGTCGAAAATGTGAATCGTCATCCCCGTTACCGTCGATCATTGTGGACGCAGGAAGCATTTGAAAAAATTGTGGCTTGTCAGTTTTATTTTCTGGTTTAAAGACTTCTTTGAATTCTTTTATCATTAGAAACATTTTTATAATAACTTGTCATCGTCAAATTCCAGAAAGCTTCATATTAAGTTTTCTCGGTAAATTTACGGTTCAGAAATTAGAAATGCGGTGTTTAAACACCGATCCATGCAGTAGTTGTTGTTTTTTTTTATTATGAGGTTCATTCACTGAGTTCCAAAATTTATTTTATTGCTGATCATATCAGTTTCAAGTGACTTACAGGCGATCGAAATTTATGTATTCTGGATAGTGGGAACTTTTCACCTGTGATGGTTCGTGACAAACCGTGCTCACTGAAAACGTTTTGGTCGAAATTTGGGTTGAAACGAGGCATAGATGATTGTTATATGAAGGTGAGACTGCTAGAAGCTAGTGCATAGACTGCGAAAGAAATTTTGAAACTTATTGGTCATAGCGTATTCTTGTTGAAAGCAGTTCCAAATTTAATATTATTGTACTCGTTTCATCTTTTTGAAATTTACATTCCTGATATCCTGAACTATTTTTTTCAGATAAAAGATTTCCCAGAATCAAAATTATTTTCTAATATTGCTCCTGAACAGTACGTAAATTTGTATGAGATCATGCCCTTCCTGGATTACACACATATTAACCGTGAAGAAAGTGGGCGTGGCAGATTGAATTTGCTGAACTTATTCAATGATAAACGCGAGCGACCAGATCCGGGACCGAAAGTCTATATTTGTTTCGGTAAGCTTTAATGTATATCTTTTTTTGAAATACCTTTTTCTAAACTCCTTATAATTTCTACTTGTTCGTGACTTTTTTATTGCTTACCAAGTGGTTGCTTTCATCTGCTTGTCAAAAATGATGAGATCATTTTTATAGGATTATGCAATGCTCCTCATTTGGCTTCTACTCCATTGCACCTGGATGTATCTGATGCAGTGAATTTCTTGCCATATGTTAAAGCGCCGGACGAAATGTCAAGAGAGGAAGTAAGAAACGGTATGTTTTTTAATACTAATTCATTAAAAAAAAATCCCCTTACTTAAAAAAATCCACCTTACTTATTGTAGCAGCTGTTGATATTAGCCGATTGTAAAGTAATAAAGGTTTATTTTTTGGATCTTTTCATGTTTTGGATTCGGATTATCGCTACATGGAACTTCCTATTAACATTGTTATTGATAACACAAGATAATCTAAAGGCTAAAATGTTTTAGTTGTTGAGCAACGCTTGGATGCAGAGGGTATCCGTGGGTATCACAAGGAGCGTGCTCTTCGCGAGCCGGAAAAAGCTGGTGCTATCTGGAAAATATTTCATCCCAGTGATAATACGAGAATCCGTGCTGCCATTGAGGAATGGAAGGAAATGAAAGTGCAATTATTTCAAAATTCCATCAGTTTGAATTTAGATGTAATCCAGCATAGCGTTCACATTTTAATAATGATATAAATATCACGTAATTCCCATTTAGGGGGAAAAATGGAAAGGTGATGTTATTCACAACCAAGACGTAGTGGTAACACGTGAAATGATGGATTTTTTTGAGGAAAGAGGTTTGTTTTTTAAGCTTTTAGTTGGAAGTTTTATAAATAATTGTTTTATATCCTGGTTCTATTTAAAACGGGGAGCGTTTTCCATTAAGTCAGATGTTAGTTAACAATATCGAAATTTTGCTGTAGGAATTGAGTGCCGCATGTTTGTACAAAATGAAGGCGACGTTGTATTTATACCTTCCGGAGCAGCCCATCAAGTTCAAAATATCAATTCATGCATCAAGGTACATTTTCGAGTCTTTTATTGTCTTATTTCTGGTGATGTTTCGCTAAGTTTAAATTAAAATTCGTGAACATGAATATTTTTAAAGATTGCCGAGGATTTTGTTGCGGCAGAAGGCATTGATTGTACAGTCGCAGTCACTGATGAATTGCGATTTCTGCGAACTAAAGATGATCTTGTGCAGGTGGCTAAGACTTTCTGTATTTTCATATTTCTTTTTTTGTTTCTTTGGATTTTGCGAGAACTTCGTTTTTTTCTTGTTTTGTTTTTTAAAACTTCCGCAGCAAGCTCGCGATCTGGTTTTCTTCAAATTGACCAATCTGCAAAGATTAATTTCAAAAATATCAGGTAGACAAGTTGTTGTACTTGGCGTGTGCTGCAGCTGCGTCTGTACTACAAAATAGCGAACCAGGACTGGTGACATCGAGTCTTCCCCAATAATGCATTATGGAAGGATTACTCGCGCAAATATTATGATCTCTTCAAAAGTTCATTTTGATTATGTATGTAAGAAAATTTCTATAATGATGACATATGGAGTTTTATTTGTATATAATGAAATATAATGAATTTTCGGTGCCCATTGTAAATTCTGTGTACGAGTTTGTTGTTTTTGAAAAAAATCCTTATGAAGGGCTGCTTCCTCTGTGTTGAAATAACTTCATAACAGGCAAACATACAAGTCATACTAATGAAGCTATTATATCGTAACAAATATCTATATTCATCACGTCAGCATCTACCTAGTTAGACCATTATATGTTGACATCACGCTCATAGTATTTCGGAAGCATATTTCAGATACCCTTTATTGAAATAGTGTACTCCATTTATGGAGTATTTCCAAAATTAAATCTATGATAGCGGAAGGCGCGCTTTCTATGGTTATGGTAATGGAGATTTCTTGAACGATGGTTTAGTGGCGGAGGATATATGTTATATCTCTAATATAAGACTGGCACAATGTTTCTGTAAAAATATTTGTGAGGATTGAGTTTTGCGCATCTAGTTCTACTGAAGGCAGTATTGGGGTACTTTGTGGGTGAGTTCTCATTAACGATACAGATGCAGATGTGGATTTAATGTTCTAGAAACCTGAAATCTTTCTTCACATTTGGAGGATTATAAACGAAGCAAATTATACTTCCAGTTCTTGCAACCTTCATGTAACATCTGCATTTTTTAAACAGTCCTCAGTATGCTGATATCCAATCTCACTTGTTTAGGTTCGGGAAATTGGAAGCATCGCACAAATTCCATTCTATTTGGTATAACATCTACGTAATTAAAACATGTAAGATAGGATTTCGACAGTCAGCATTAGTAAAACTTGTGACTTCGCGGATTGTAACTAATTTTGAAGAACGAGGAATTAGCATCCTCGTTGAGTATGTGTTTTGTGTTTTAAAACTTCCGCAATAGGACTAGATAGTTTCGAATGCCTTGTTATCGGCACTGCAACACCTGAAATTAATCCAAAAGAGATTTTAAGACGCAATTACAAGCAACACTTTTAAATTACTTTTTCTATCAAATTCTTTTTTTACCAAGTAGTGAAAGTAAGTCTCTCGATTCTTAATCAAGTCGACAAATATTTCTCGTGGATATCTGCCCTGTTCCTAACGGAAAAGTTATCGTAACCCCATTGTAAAAATCATATTCATTCTGTCTCATTTCGCCATCAAACTCTCAGCGCTCACCATAAAAAAAGACGTAAAATGAATGATGTAATACAGGATGTAGATAGATAAACGGCGGAAATGATTCTTGTGGTGGTGAATGTTGAGAGTCTGATGGCGAAATGAAGTCGACGGATGAAATTCTTGGACGATTACTTCGTGGTAAATCGGATGACAATTAAGAATGATGTGTCATTTTGGATTTGCAACTTCAAAAGCACAAATATAGGAATCATTTATTTATTGCATAAATAATCATTTAAATGCAGCCCTATCTGAAACTTGCTTGATTTAATGAATGTTAAATCATCAGATTACATCGGAAGTTTCATTAATAATCACTTAAGAATTATAAACATTCAAATTGAAGAAAAAGAAATAGATGTCATAAAAACAAATGAAATTGTGTAAGTAAACGATTATTTAATGTGACAACGTGTAGATCTGCGACAACTGATTTTAGTGCCAAGAAAAAAAGTAGTCAAATGTTTACAGAATAATTCTACCATTTTCGTAATAGCTCCACTGCTATTTCCCTACCCTAATTGTACACTGCATAAAAATATAATATTTGATGGATTAGGAAGTAAAAAAGCGACCATAAAAGATATATTTACGACACTTCGTCTCTCAACTGAAATGATTTTAAGACAAATGACTGAAACCAAACTTCTAAAAAGAAGCAGTCATATTAGACTTAACCTAAATAAATTAATCATTTAATGGATATTATTCAAACCATATTTCGATTTTATCATATTATAGATCAATTTTAGTTGATCCAACAACCTTCATAAAAGCTGCGATAAAATGGGGTGAAGTGAGAATACCATTGTAATCATGCTGGACACCGTTAACAAATATCTGGAAAGTCGGGTAATTTTTCACGCTGTGTTTCTCACAAAGATCTGAAAAATTTCCATTCAACTTTCTTATATATCTAATCGAGAAACTATCAGTTGTAACCATGAGGTTTCAACGTAGTCTTCCTTAAATATATCATTTATGTGTTCTGTTTCACTAATTTATGTTAGCTGTAATATCAAGTTTTCTATATCAACTTACATAAAAAATCACAACAATTAGTAACTACGAAATTTCCACTCAATACTATCAAGAATTGCAAAACAAAGAATAAACGGTACCATTCCAAGTACTGCAATCAACCACGCCGAATTTGCCAAGATGAGACTGTTCTGCAGCCTCGCGGAATGCTGGTTTTACTGCTTTGCAATGTTCACACCCTAACAAACAAGAAAAATTGTTTAAAGTTTTTTGTAAAGATTCTTAAAAATTGAAAAACTTACTCCTTACCTTTCCTTCCTTCCAACTCCTACCGTAAGATTTTACTTCAATCAGTAACGCGTCTGCTATTGGTACTAAAACAAACTTACACGGAGAGAAAAACATCACAAAAACATTTCCATTGTTGATAACTCTATCGAAATTGTTCTCATCGAGTATTGTCACTGCATTTCCAAAGCCAAATTCGGGGACAAAACTTTGTGGTCTGAAAAAGAAACAACGATATTTTACTAAATAAAAAAATGCTAAGCTGCTTCAAATGTCAAAAAACTACACTAAAAAGCTTGCAATGACAAAGCATTACTGGTAAAAACATTTCTTAAATTTTATTTACGAAAAAAACCATCAATGAGATTAACCGTTAAACTTGATAATGATTGCTTTTTTCAATTCACTACGACGAAAAGAGTCTAAAATACTTTTTTGTCATAAAATGGACATTTTTATCTTATCATACATTGTCTCTACGCTCGAAAGACAAAAAAACAACAAAGCCTTGGCGACATAACTTCTCCAAAATTTTTCAAAAATTCAATAGTACGATAGAAGCGTTCCAAATTAAACCATTTCAAACACATTCTATAAGTCTTTGACAATGCAGTAAGCTTACTTCGAGCTTACTCCGCCGCTTTCTACAAAAGTAATGAATGATGCAGTTTCATGTTTGCCAGTATAATCAATACGATTTTTGCCATAGGACAGGTAAATGATTGTTGGAAATCCCTAAAAACATTGCATTTTAAAAAGATCAATAATGGAATAGCAATTCAGCAAATCTTCCGACAAAGTCTTTTACCTGATATTATTTTTTTCACTTATTCGAGGTGGATGATTTCACAGTTCATAAAAACTTTTTAGATTAGTTTACTGCGCCCCGTATTGGTTCTTTGGGCTAGTCTATTACTATCCACAACGACATCTCCTGCTTCTACAAAGCACTTTCAAGCCATCACTTGGAACTCAAGAAATAAGCTGAACTAAAGGAAATGCAACGGCGGTTAAAAGTTATCGAAATGTACACATCTATCATTTCAAAAACCAAAAACCGATAATTTCAAACCTCTATTTTATATTCTTGACATAACGACTCTTCAACTGTACAATCAACAGCGCCCAAAAGGATCCTTGCATCAGCAGCAAGTATTTTAGAAGCTTCAAAAAATTTAGGTTTTGCTCGTTTGCAATAGTCACACCCTTAAAAAATGAACTGTCATATATATTTCCTTTCCGCTAGTTCTTAACATGGATAATGTCAATAAAGGTATTGCAGAGTTTTGTCAAGTTATCAACAGTTTGAGCAACTCTATGAGCTGGTTATGTGGATAGGCTTTGTTGTGCAAAGACGGAAGTAAAGAATCTACAGGATGATCGAAACTACCTAAAACGTCGAATAGAGATTTTGCAAGAATGAATAATTTTTGGCTAAACCGGGTCTTATTCACTATACACCAAAAATACATTGTTAAAACTTGCACAAAACATTCAAAAGCGATACTGATGTGCTTAAGCAATTTGAACTTACACGGAGCGTAAAAAATTATCAAAGCATGCTTTTTTTTCTTAACTTCAGCTTTGAAATTCTCCGCTGTTAGATGCAATACATGCACTCCATCAGACTGCTTACTCCATGAAAGTTCAGGAGGGGGAGGCTCCACTGGACTGCAATAATAATTGTAGTACAGTCTATCTGTCAGTTGATAAGAAACAAAAAACTTCACGACATTTGAATCGTTAATAGATATTTCGGTAGAAGAAAATTCTAGATATACTTTTTCATAAAACTGTAAAAACCATCTTCTCTGCGCTCATTGATTTTCCATGCAAATTTCCCATCCTTAAAATATGCAAAGCTGGGGTATCCCTCTACTTTGTATCGTTCTGCTATCTTCCTGAAAAATTTAATAATGAAGCAAGCAAAAGTATGTCCTCATAAATAGAAAAAAAACTCTCATTAGCTCAATTTTATAACGTCAGGTACTATTCTGGATAAAAAAGAAGCGAATCCTACATGAAAATTTAGAAATAGTTGCGAAGCAGAATGAATATATTTCGATTTTTCAGTATTAGTTAGAAATACTTCTTTGCAGCAATACAAAAAAGTAAACTATACTTATTGGTTGTTGCATCGATAGCAGCTAAAACACCATTAATACCATCTTTTTTCAAACGCTCAGCTGCTCGAATGAATTCCGGCTTCACAATCTTGCAGTGGCGGCACCCGAAAATAGAAAATTTGGGAAAACTACTTAGCAAAAATAAAATTGAAACGATATGACGATCCTTATCATTGCCACTTTCCTGCATTTTAATAATTGCTCCTCAAGAGAATCAAACATGGTATTAACCTTATCATGTTATGAACAATAATGGTTGAGAACATGCTCAATATGTAAGTTTGCCACTATTATTGATTGATAAAAATGTTGACAGAAATCTTTTTGCATGCACAAAAAGTTTTTATAATATTCATACTATCTAGTAAATGAGTAGTTGGTAATAGATATGTTAATTCACTCGAACTGATATTAATGAAAATAAACAAACAAGGAGCATAGAGAAGGACCAGAACGCTTCGATGTTTCGCAATAAATTCATCAAATGTATTATCGTTTAAAAGAACCACTTCGGTGATGGTGTCGTTCCACGAGGTTCCTTCCTCCTCAAGTGAGGGAGATACCACTTCTTCTACTGGATTTTTAAGCCATTCAATTATACCAATCTGAAATATTGATAATAAGTTATAGACACATTACATCTCAAAATTCGCTGAAGTTATTTATCTTAAACCGAACAATTTTACTTACTTTTGTATTTTGTCCTTTGTATCTAAATTTATGCACGCCATCCTCAAAATATTCAAGTGTTGGATAGCCATCAATGTTAAACTGTTTTGCGATAACTTCGTTGCCACGGAGCGTCAAATCCATGCCCGCCAGTACGATCTTTCCTTTCAACTGATCTGCTGCAGCACTGCAAACAACATCATCGAAGAACGATATCTGCTGCATAATACTTGTAACCATATTGTACATCATTAAATAAATAAATAGTCAAAAACCTGCATAATCAACAACCCTTGCCCATGAGATCTTGAAAATGGAAAATCGATTAGCTCTTCACTGATTGAAAAAGAATATCGGATACCTAAATTCAGGCTTCAAACGTTTACAGAAGCCGCACCAAGGAGCATAAAACATGATAAGTACCGCTTTTCTACTACTGACTGTTTTGCGAAGCTCATTAGAGTTATCTGAAATATTTTATAATCGAATAAAAATCTTAAGTTTCATCAATGTGAGAATATGATGAATAAAGCTGAAAATTATTGATGCAATGTCCAAACCGATTCCCAACACTTGTACTAGGCCGTTAAGATGATGAATGTTCCAAAAGTTCAAATGAAAAGTAACAAAATTAATGCAAAAGGAAAAAAACTGAGAGTTCAAGAATAAGCCCTCCGAGCAACACATCTGTGAGGAGGCCTTCATTATCACTTCCACAAATCATAATCAAATTAGTATAGAAATGACATTTAAAATAATCGAAAAAACAACCAGCATTATCACCTAGATGAACAACGTTAGCAGCTGTAGGATCTTCATCCCAAGGTATATCACCTGCTGGATCCAACAGGAACCGATACATGCTTTTTGTGTTCATCTTCCTATCATAGTTTTTGTAAAATTCCCCGTTTCTGCAAGTGGCACTTCAATTTACATTGAAATTAATGTCAAATTTAAATCCAAATTTAATGCGTTTCAAGTAATTCAATCCACCAGAAACTCATTTTTTCTAAGTTCGTATATATTCGAAGTTGGTAAAACTTAAAATGTAAAGACAGAAAATCAGAATGCATTTCGATAACTGTTAACAAAAAAGGTTCCAGTACATATGCCCTCTCAATCTAACTTTGTGTGGCTTTCCAATTTGCCTCATTCTGTGACAACGAAAAGAACTTACTGGTAGTGTTTCAGGATGTATGGTTTAGGGATTACTTTGAGCTTTTTACACAGTTTTTTTATTTCACCATTGTTACAGTTAATTTGAGCAACAGTCCCTTGTCCTACTGCTTGTTTGGCAGCTTCCATTGTGGTTTTTATCACTTCTTTCATTTGGCTGTTTTTATCCATAGAAGAATTTGAAAACAATATCAGCACATTTTTATGTACTCGTAATAATTTCTGAAAAAAGACTCATATGTTGTGGAGTAGTTATTTTACGATCTACAGAAATGAAAAACACTCCTAACGATCCGTAATTGCGGAAATTACTGGCCATAAATGAAGTATAAACCAAAACGTTTTGGCAATACAGAAACCTGGTGCGAGCGTCTTCGCACTGAAACAAACGAAACCGAACCACTTAACTAACCTTATAGGTTTTTTGGTCATTGATGGTTACAATGTAATCCCTCTCCGATGAAACATTTAACAGCAACGGTAGGACAATCAGTAACTATAAAAGTCAGTAAATATTTCAAGGACCTAAAAAGAAGAGGCTCATCACCTTTTTTAAGGATATTATATTCCCCTTGAAAAATAACAAAATATAAATATTAACACTTTTTTTCCCAACATCCCGAAAAATATTAACAATTTTAAAATCTCAAAGAATATCAGCAATTTCAACTTGAAATAATAACAATTAAATAGATAAGGTCTTAATGACTGAATGTCACCAACTTATGAAGTGGTACGCAGGACAAAACCTAAATATGAAATCACAATAGAATATCGGAAACTGCCCTTACCAAAGTGAACATACCAATAACTGAATTCATATTTGTCCGAGTATCATTGCTCTTACTGAAAAAAAATCGCAGTAAAATGCAACGTGTGATACTCTTTACAAGCAACTTCCTGCATTCGGGATAAGTATTAGAAGCGCAACGATCCAAATCCCGAACAAACTGGCCCGTACTTTCCGAAGATAATCATTAGGACCTGATCTTTAATATATGCGTTACCAAATAATAGTTGTATTTTTACTTTTACACTTAATTCCATATATGCATATTCGAAAAAATTTATTTAGTAAATTGAATTACTCACAACAATAACCAGCAGTTAGTAAAACCTGAGAACAACAAGAGACAATAAGCAAGCACCGGAAAACAACGAAAGCTAGGGGACGACTAAGGCAAGTTGTAACACATAAAGAGCGTTGGAACGCCTTGAAGTGAAACATTTAGTCAAAAAACACAACAGATCAACAATAAACAACAGCAATCCAACACAGTCATATGATTAAAACGTGAATGATACGGAGGATGAGGAGATGGAGGAAGAATAATACCAACTAACTTACGTGAAACACCACTGAATACAACGTAAAGGAAAGAAAGTATACAACTGGATGCAACAGTGAAAGCTTAAACAAACTTCCTCGACTAATCAAATATTATCGACAAAAATGTGAAAAAGACTTCCTCAAAAAAGTCCTTTAAATGGTGGAAAAATCATTTTCACAAAATTTTCTTGGATACTGCAAACCTTGCTTTAGAATCACTTTCTTCCACTAACAGAAAATTGAGCACTAAATTCCATGCCGTCAGAGAAATATCAGGACATTTCGAGATCACAGTTTTGCAACTGAAGATAACGCTGCGCACTTCGATAGAGAGGTGGTCTGAAACAATTCAAGACTAAAATTATTCATGTCACGTCGTCGGTCGTCATTCATAAAAACAATCGATTTCCAGTTTCATGAAACCTGATTTATCCAGTTAAAAAAAGACAGCAAATTCAAACCTTATTGCAAAGTAGCATCGAACGCAACAGCCAATGCTCAAAATCCATGCGGGATTAAAGACCTGAAAAATTAAATGTGTGGGATCAAACAGTACTGCAACATTAAGTATGTGTGAAAAAAAAACAAAATTAAAACTACGGGATCAAATATTTGCAAAGTCTTAAATTAAAAGAAAACTAATGATCAACAAAACGATTAGATTCTGATAATTCTAATGCAGAAAATTGTTATCTCATTCATGCTAGTGAAAGGACTGTTAATGAAAGGTGTGTCTAATTAAGCGATAAAGAGCGTATTTGAAATATTGAGATTCTTCTTAAATACCAGACTTATAATCCTGATTTCGACAATACGACCAACAGTTTATTACAAAATACGGAAAATGATTCAGCTTTACTAGGTTATTTGCTTCTATTTGCTTCATTTTTATTCATGGTCATTCTGCAAAGTGTTCCATTTTCGATGTAAGAACAAAAACACAGTATTTCAGAATTAGAAAAAAGCTCTACCATATTGAAAGATATCATTTCTCATTAAATGACAGCAGTTAATCATTAAAGGAATAGAATGTTATGGAAGCTTCCTTAAAATAAGCAATCACCTGCCACGTTCATCTATCCGAAATTAGCTGAGAACGGAGCAAACCATCACTTCCATGCTCGAACTGCATCATAAAACTAAAATAAAATGAAAAAAATTTCACCACCTCTCTTCGAAAGTTTGTCGTCCGATATTACAGTATAGAGCTGCAATATGATATCCACTGCTTTGAAGTCATGAACCGAATAACACAAATCAAGTGCTGACGATGAGCATGGCACTCTTATACCCACTTTATAAGCTCTTACATTGTCTAATGCCTTAAATAATCAAATTATTGATTGCGGTAACAAAATCAGTTCGGTCAAATTAATCGACAGACTACAAGACAAAGAACGATTTTGCTGGACTTCGAATTCTATTAGGTTCTTGCAAGAGAAACAAAAGGTTAAATATTCAGATTAGGATAGAGAATAAGTTTTATTTCGGCGGATTCCTTCCATGAACAACAATAATATTCTCAGACAAATCGATGCGAGATAATAGTCGTTAGCAATGATCACACCACCTTCTTTTCTCTTCTCTTTTTATTTTCTTTTCCTTCTCTTCTTTTTTAACCCTATCTGTCTCCTTATTTTGTATTTTTGTCTGAAAAAATTTTCACGGACATGAAATCAATGAGAAATAAATATACGTCTAAAACTCACTTCGTTTTTAGTCTTTAGCATAATCCGTCTTTAGCAATACTGCATCTGTAGAAAATAACAGCTGAACTGCCCAAACTTGTACCCATCCATTCGGGTGACTTGGAGCTTTATAAACAGCAACTGTGCCCAAAACCAGGGCAAGCATCCATCATATTCTATGGTGGCCTTACAGATGCGTAATATACGGTCGAAATTGGGAAAAACCGGTTCTACCAGATGAAACTGCAAAAATATTTTGATTTTGGAATCGCTCAAACTGTTTAGACACTGATCTATTAAAAAATAAGTTATATACCAATGCTTCTGCTAAACTGAGATCTTCATTAGTTGTACATTTAATTGTCGACGGAAGTCCTTGACATAATAATATCTAAATCAGATGCCCAAAGGCACTTGTTATCCAGAAATATGACCGGTCGACAATTACAATAATATCGACATTAGGTTTCATCCAACGACAAAAAAAGGCAAAATTAGTTTACGTCAGGCATACGTATTGCTTGCTTCACCGATGACTTTCATGTCTTCAAGAATTAAAGACTAATTAATTAGTTTTTGAGAGAATTGAGAGCGAATGGTGGACATTGAGAAATTAAATTAAAGGTCAAGTTTTGATGGATTTTGCTAAAATGAAACAGCAAAAAGCTTAACATTTCATTTAAAAAAGATCATTAAGATTTGATAAAGCAACAGCTTACGGCACCTCTGTTTTCAAGGTTACATGGTGTAGAAGATTAAACATTTCATGACAGTTTCAACACAGTAGCAGCTAATAAAGCTGATCAATAGGTAGAATCCTTCAGCACACTCGGCGCTACATAATATATATCTTAGCTGTTCGCTAATTCATTGCATCACTTATAAATCCCACAATGTCAGAAATTCTAACGTGGAATGAGCGGTATAAATAGATCTCAATTTGTTAAACTTAATTGTACAATAGAGATTCGAATGAGAAATTCCACGAGATTCTGTCATCTTACATGAATCCGAAATGGGCAGAATAGCTAATAAAACCTCTGCCGCGCGGTAATTAACTAATGCCCTCCAAAACCGGATCGTTCACATTTCTCTTAGTGCATGCTTTTGGCTAAAGTAGAATAAGAGAAGGAAGATGGTTTGCCACATCTTCTCTCTCTTCCTTACCACTATCCTGCTACTTCCACAAATGCGCTGCTCTTGCTTTTCCACAACAAGCTACTGAAACTTTTATCTTGGCAGTTAGTAAAAACCCGAATTTTCCAAAATGATGACTCATAGATGAATGCCAATAAATGTCACAAATCATTTTTTTCTAGAAAGATACAATTTTATGAATATTGATGCCGGCACAAAATATTAATCAAAATCACTGCTTACTACTAGCCTACAAAGCAACAAAATATAAGATAAGAGTAAACAAACATACTGTATTTGTATTAAACAAAAATATGTATAAAACGACAAATCCATGGCTTGTTATGCTATAATATGGAGATGTCATTACAATGAGCGGTCAGTTCGGTATTCGGAACTTCACTTCTAAATTTGAGATTACGTCAAACCATTTCACTTAACAGAAAAAATATGTATGATAACACAGCCAAGAAGTACGTTAAATTTAGCCTTTTAATAACAAGCCAATTAATAAAACGCGGTTCAAGATATTGTTAACGTAATGGGATATTCATTAACCGAAACATGAACTGTTATTAATTGAAGAACAAATACATAGTCATGCATGACTATGAGGCCGGATAGGTTTCAATGGATCAAACAGCTTGGGATCTCTCAGATACTTCGGATCCTTGACGAATATCGGCATGTAACCAGCACGACGACTTAAGGCAATTGTTTCAAGTAATCTTCTCTGTTGTCCATCACAAAGTCCAGTAATGTGTCTGCAAATACAGTTCCTTCGTATGGTGATATGAAAAAAGATAGAAAATAATGTTTCACACTTATTTCTACGGTACTAACTTGAATTTTTGGTTTACCCGTACAAGTTGCGTTGCAAATACACGATGATTTGAGACTATTACATTCAAAATCAAGAGCGGGAGTTAGTCTTACAGATGATACTACTACACCTGGTGGTGCCCTTGCTAGAATAACTGATTCCGGTTCGTTTTCTCTCACTTATTCAAATTTAACGTACTTCTTGGCTTTGTCACCATACATATTTTTTCTGTCTCACTTAACAGAAAAAATATGCATGATGACAAAGCCAAGTACGTTAAATTTAGCCTTTTATTAACAAGCCAATTAATAAAACGTGGTTCAAGATACTGTTAACATAATGGTGTATTCATTAACCAAAACATGAACTGTTATTTATTACAGAACTAATACATATTCATGCATGACTATGCGACTGGATAGGTTTTCTTCCACTTATTCATTTTCACTCACTTATTTAAATTTCTCATTCAAACGTTTTTTGGCTGAGAACTAAGGTACCTGCAGTCTATGGGAAACAAACTTCAAGTTTACAGACTGAAGTTTGTATTTAAGCCGATATTTTGTAAAGTTCTTATAGCATCAAATGATTTGCTGAAGAAACTTGTTCGAAATCAGTACTAACTTGAATTTTAGATTTATCGTACAAAAAAGATATAAAAAAAAGAAACTTACTGGTCATAAACTCTTCCGGAGAACGTTGAAACGAATTGCTGCAACAAGCGAGCATTCTTGTAATCCAGCTCAATTTTCTTTCCACATAAAAAACATTGTCTTGTCGGCTTACAATACGGATCCTTCCGCATCTGCACCACCCCATCGTCGTCTTCCACCATATTATGACCGACCGCTGTTGCAACAACACTAGACGATGATGACGCTCTATTCATTAGAATAAATGGTCCCAAACATGTTCTCAACGAAAACATTCCTAAATTTGCAAATATTTAAAAAAAAGCAACTAAAATCCGATCTCGATACTTTGCCTATTCCTCGTATTATCGAAATGAGCGACCCCCACCCAAAAAATATCTTGACATGATAAATCCAAATAACAAAGAATAATCCGTCTAAAACAATTTTAAATGACTTTTCGGATATTCAAACAAGTTAACAGTAAAGAAACTGCATTTGAAGACGAAGAAACACAGTATCTCAATATCTTTATTTCACACAAACATGCATAATCATCGATATAATACAGTTAACATCGACACACAAAGTTTTCCAGACTTCAGAACTGGTATTACAGAGATTTCAAAAAAGTCGAGGCTGATTACATTAAAAGCGATCTAAATGTTTTATAATCGTGTATATTTACCAAGAAAATACCAAAAACCCCTAATACTTACATTGCAGGAATCTAAAAACTTTCCGTACGATTTTGAACTCAAAAAATTTATTGGTACGAAAATAAAGCTCACGTTAAGGGTAGCAACATTAAAACCTTATACCAACAGAAAAACAAAAATGTTTACTCAATCATATCACCCTTCGCACCCAATCTTTGCGGATCCTGACTAGGATAATAAACTTTCGTCGCTGATGCTGGTATATATGATACTAATCCTTTGTAAGGTACCTAAAATCGGCAAAATATATTCATTCTGATTAAAAAGTGGAATATTCTAGACATTAGACTGGTTACAATTGGCTGCAATTAAATTAATACGAAGATAAAAAAGGTTTTACCATTGCAGTAAAAGTATTCTACCTGAGGTACAATGAGCTGTGCAGGAGGTGTGTACGTTGCAGCTGGAGGCAAAGGAGGTATCGGTATATGATCAATACGTGCCCGCTTGGATGGATTCGTTTCTTCATCAAATAAATCCGGTAATGGACATGCTGAAAACAACAAACGACTAACGTTAACTTCAAATACAGGATAATTTCCTGTGTGATAAGATCATTTTATCCTCATCACGCTGGGAAATGAAAAAGAAAAAACCTAAAATATAAACAGTGAAAAAATAAAGAGATCCATACATAGGAATTTGGACTAAATTGTGTGGTTTAGTTGATTTAAAAAATAATAGAGAAAAATATTTACGATCAGGAAGACCTGCGACCAGTTCTGCTCTCTTCTTTTCTTCTTGTGAATTTTGTGCTTGCGGCCGGCCCCATCTTATTTTCAATCTTCTTCCTAAAACAACCAGTAATATTTGATACGGAATAATTACCAATCAGTATGATACAGTGTTACTAATTAAGTTGAGTTGCCACTGGCATGGTCAAATTAAAATAATGTGAATAGCGATTATACCTTGCAGGATTAGTTTGTTGAATGAACGTTCAGCAGCCTTTTCAGCAGCCAACCGCGTAGTGAACGATATGAACGCACATCCCTTGTTGGGCAACAAATTCAGGCTACGAATCTCACCGAACTGATAAAAATAATCCCTGCAAAACGATTTGGAAGATAAGTAATGAGAAGAACGATTGAGCTCACTTCTGTTTAGCTTAAAACCACCGCATATTAAGTGTCACTGATAAGACCCGAAACTATCATAATCAAATAATCCAACGAACCTTAAATCGACTTCGCCTATCACTCCAGCTGGACCTAAATCACCGACATACAATGTAGTAATGGTAGTATCTTCTGGAGCTTGCAATACAGGCAGTGCTTTGGCACGAGTTAAAAGTTTCTCCGCAACTGGATCATTGTTCCCGTAATAACGATCCCGCATGTTTTGGTGACTTAATGGATCGTCGGGATCTGAAGGCTTTTCATGTCTGAAATACTTTAAGATTCCTATGTGCCCAATAAAATTTCGAAACAATTCATAATAAGCAAAATACAGACCTATATGGGCACTCCTCACCACGTCTGCATTCTCCCTTAACGAAGAATGAGCAAATATGTGGTTTGTTCCGCTGATAATATGGCTGATTTCGAGCAAGTTTCTTCAGCAGATCATTTGATGCTATAAGAACTGTCTATAAAATATCGGCTTAAATACAAACTTCAGCCTGTAAACTTGAAGTTTTTCCATAGACTGCAGGTACCTTAGTTCGCAGCCAAAAAACATGTGAATGAGAAATTTAAATGAGAGAAAACGAACCGGAATCGGTTATTTTGGCAAGGGCACCACCAGGTGTAGTACCATCTGTAAGAGCTAACTCCCGCTCTTGATTTTGAATGTAATAGTCTCGATTCGCGCCTTGTCTGGGCAAATCATCCTGTATTTGCAATGCATGATCACGAACTTGTACGGGTAAACCTAAAATTCAAATTAGTATCGCAACCGCTGTTAAGTTATTGACATATTCTGCCTCCAATAAAAATATTACCGAATTCGAGATCCAAAAGACACGTCTGACAAACATTCTTCATTTTAGCACACGTTTGACACACTTCCGTCTTCTTATACCGCATACCCTTTCCAGGCATCCACCGGAAACAAGTAAATGGACGCTGGCAAATTTTGCATTCCGCTCCATGTCGATCCTTCAGCTGAAAATCGAAACCTGAATCTGTGCCCTGACTAATTAAGGACAAATATTATGGAAACTTAATTTACACCGCCATTCAGCAAATTAAGAGGATTTTTCTTACCATCCTTATGTACGGATTCGATCCGAGACATGTCTGGCAAAGAATCGGAAATTCCTGAAATGCATAACACATAAAACACTTTGCAATCATTCCATAAAACATAATATTTCCATATGGAATTTATCTATTAATTATACGACAACACAAAGTATCCGAGTCTTGTGCTCTCCGCATCGATTTGTATACGTTTAAATCATATTACACTCAAAAGAAAATGAATATAAAGACGAAGTACTTACCGCATCTTCCCACGTTTTCCGATTATACTGATAGGATGATTTCGATAGTGCCATATGGTATTCTGCTTTATTAGTTAATGAACCCTATTTCCAATATATCCTGGAAAACTACGGTTGAATAACCAACAATGTAATAAATCAGAACATCGATAAGTGAAAACTTCTGGTATATCCATAACTGTATCCCCTGGATGGCAGCAATAACCAAATATGGTCAAACCAATTTGGACCAAATGAAACAATCCCAACTAGATAATTTAAAACTCCAATCATTCAAACCGTTGAATCAATCAATACAACTCGGGAAGAGTGATTCCACACCTGTTACTTGCCAAGAGACAGCACAACCCTAAGTCAACACAAAACGTCAAGCCCCCAACAACCAGAATTATCTTCATTGAGGACGGTTAGTTTCATATTGGTTCCTTAGCATGTAGGCATACGGTTGCGTCATGCAATTCTCGTATCAGGTCGACATTTAATACATTTAATGTAGTTTCGTGAATTCATTGGTTGTATTTAGCATCGCAGTGTTAGGTATGGGCTACTCTTTTCACTTTATTGACAACTGTTATCGCTGTAGTTTTTAAGTCTTCGGTCTTTCCCGGTTTAAACAAAGGACACGCCTTTACTGAATTTTTTTCTGATGTTCTTCTGGGAAAGATATGTAAGTAATACCTGCAGAAGAGATGAAGCGACAGGTTCAAATCGAATTAGTGGCCCAATGCAATTGCATTCTGAAAGCATGAAATAATTTCGGAATTCAACATTATTTGTTTGATGATATGCAATTGAAATGGTGCGATAAGTTTGAATAAGTTTTAGACTAGTCCGATAGCAACATTCAGCTAGCGGAGAGCTTAGTGACTAGGCAGTCTACTCAGTTTGTTTCCACAACCTTACTTTTCGCTGATGTAAATTCCAAATTGGCATCTCGTATTTTTGATTTCTTTCAAATTTTATGAGTTACGCATAAGGCTATACGGAAAGTTCAAGCTGTTGAAAATGTGATCCAGTGTAACGCGAATGATTAAATTTTTCTTATGAGATTTTTTTTTCGAAATTTCTGGAGTTTATATATCTTTGAGCATTGAAATCCGAAATTTTTTCCCGTTTAGTTTCCAGTATCCTCATGTCGATGTGAACTAAAATGGATATTGGATGTAGTTTAAATGTATGCATTTAAATTTTGGCTTTTTGCATATTTCAGATATAATCGTGGAAAAGTCGATAGTCGGTTCGGTTTCTGGGATTGCTACTCTGCCCTCAGGCAGGTTACCTGTGGTGCTCATTGAAATTGCTCAAAATTCTCACAAATTTTGGTCAGTTTTTAAAAAGCCTTAAAAAAGGCAGCAATGAGTTTGGAAACACTTTTCACCGATGTTTGTAGTTCAAAATCAAATTTTTGAGATAGTCACTTTTTGAACGAAGATAAAGGGAAGGTGCATATTGACTTCTGCAAAGGCATCAGAATGTATTTTAACTTTCTCTGGCCGTTTCCATTTCCTTCTTTTCGGGACATTCTTTTTTTCTGATTCGAATTTCGGTTGCATCCATGTATATCCAAAAAGTCGTTGATTTTATTTTTGTTTTTCTCATTTTTTAGGCAATAAGATTGCGCTTCAAATGGCTTCTACATCAATTGGACTGGACGAGTTGGCGTCATCATCAGATGACCTTATGGACGAACAGTCTCCTGTTTCGTTGCACGCTGCGGTATAGCTTCCATTTACAAGTTTTGTTATCAAACTTTTTCGAAAATAATATTGTAACTGGAAGGGTAAGGATTAAATTTTAGGTTAGTGGAACAAACATATCTGATATATCTGTCCATCATTCTGTATCGGGAATGGATATTGAGCAGGAACACGTAATACCGGATGAACACAGACTGGATGTTGCTTTGTCAAAGATGTGGATACGTTTGAACGTTGGTGGAACGGTTGGTTCCTCGTATCATTTTAATAACGGAACTGGTATATACGATAAGTATTTCAATAAGTGTGTGTCTTTGTTAAATGGATCCAAAAAATTATTGAGAAGGATAGAGAGAACCTTTGTTAATATTTCCTCATTTGCAAGATGGAATTTAAACTGCAAATAATTTGGAAGCAGCAGAATATTGCAGATTTTCCAGACTACTCGACAGACTTTATGTCGTGAAGAAAATTCATTTTTTGCTCGTCTGTGTAAAGAGGACGACGAATTGCCCAGTCAGAAAGTTCGCATTTTTCACTTGATACCATGGTTTTAAATTTTTGCCACAGCAATTGAAAATACTGATATTCTAATCGATAAAGCAATCAAACCATCTTTCTTTCTGTAGACGAGAAGATGCCATAAAAATATAACTTGGAAAATAAACTCAAAATTTAGAAATTTGTTTCGTTATCGTTATTGTGGTTTAAATCTTCTTTATTTAGGATGATACAGGTGCTATATTGATTGATCGTGATCCGGAATATTTTGCACCTGTGTTAAATTACTTACGTCACGGAAAACTTGTAGTAAACAAGAATGTGAGCATCGAAGGTAGGTATATATTGTAGTAATTTGATGGCAGTTGGTTGTATGCAAGTAATGTCTTGATTACTAAGGGATGAGACAGTGTTCACTTTGCAGGAGTTCTCGAAGAGGCAGAATTTTATAATTTACCTCGGCTAATTCAGTTATGTACGGAACGATTAGCAGAATTTGGCCTAAAAAAGACGAAGCAGGTTCGTTTGTACTTGAAATGTGTTGACTATTGTTTGGTGAAGATGACAGCTTTTTATTTCCCGGAATCCTGAAGACTATGTAAATTTTTGAGCAAAGCACTTCGTAGAATTGTAGAAAAACGGTCTAATGTAAAGTAACGAAGGTCATTTATGTTGTAATTCGATTTTAGGGAATTTTAATGAGATTTATAATTGCAAATGAAATTCGTTAATTTTTTCTGAACAATTATAGACTAAGCATGTTTATCGCGTTCTCCAGTGTCATGAAGAGGAATTGACAAATGTTGTGTCAGCAATGTCAGATGGTTGGAAATTAGTTCAGGTTCATGTCTTATTTTGATTAGTATTGAATAGAGAGCAAAGCTTTTGTAAAAGAAATCCGCTCAGAAAGATGTAATATTTATGGAGTGTGTAAAGCAGTACTTTAAGGAATGGATGGCGAACATTCATAATCTTTTAATTTTTAGCTTATTCCCATCGGACAATTCCAATATCAAAGCGATATACAAAGTGAATTCCTCTGCGTCGTTTGTCGGGAATTTCCTGACAACGAAATCAAAAATGGAGAGCACACAGATCTCACTGATCGCGTTAAAGCTTTGCAACAAAAGGCTCGCCGTAAGTCAATAATCAGTAACTCGTATCTTTCTCCCCACCAATCAGAATGTAGGTAGTAGTTTGATTTTCATGAACTCTCCTATTATTTTCGATTGATTCCGTCAAAGTCAAAAGTTTTTAAGGTTTAATGGAACCCATTATATATGGATATTTAGATGATTCTGTGGTAGTTAATTGCACTATATTGATTTCTACTGGTTTTTGATCTGTAAAAATTCAATCCTATGAATAACAGTAGTCTTTACAGACCACTAGTGTTGGAAGAGGACTCTGTTTCGATTCAGGACAGCTTTTCCGCTCGTGCTGCAATAGGAATTTTTTCGTTTGATCTTGTGCTTATAAACACTCATTAATAGGCATTTAAATTAAGCTTTATAATATTTGTATCATCCGACTGACTGCCTTCTTCAAAAGAAGCCAGTGCATAATCACTGTCTGACGTACGGGCTTGTCATGATGCAGGATTGAGGTGTAGTTATACTGCCGGTACTATCGAGATAAGGTTAATACTTGTGGTAGGAAAAAATTTATTTTATAAATTAACGCTACTTGATTGAAATACAAGATGCATTTCTTACACCGTTTATTGCCATACACTCTATTAATTTTGTTCTCTTCTCCGGTGCCGTGTATAGATATTATAGTGTTGTTTTTATTGATGGAATATGTATGCATTTCACCCCGCTTATATGCCTTTTAGTCGCTTTGGTCCATGAAACTTGACGTGATCTGGTCTTCATTGACTAAACATTGCTATCATTGCAAAAGTGTCGAAGATAAATTCATCTCTGTAGATATTTCTCATTCAAAAAATTAATCTCTGAACATTTTAAAAATAAGGTTTATTCAGGTTAAGTATAATGCGTAATTTTCATCCGAAAGCGATTATATAGTTGAGCTTCGTGATGTAAACCGTTGATTAAATTATTTTGCAGCCTTTGTCTCACTTCATGTTTTCTTTCTTTTTTTTCGAATTTCTTGTATGCACGGCCATTTTTGCGCTCAAATTCTGTTGTTTCTGTATTTTTTTTGTTGCACATGCGATGATGGCGAATACTTTTATTTTCGTTTCTTGCCACTTTGAAGATTAAATCAAAGTTAGTAGATAAAAGTTAGAGAGGAGAAGGGGTAGAATTTATGAATTTGTTTTAACATTAATTTTTGAATCAAGATGTTTGTTGTTGGGTTTTTTAACTATTTCCAATCCATCTAAATTCATGTCTTTGATCAAACATTTGGGTTTTAATATATATATATGAGAAAAGTGGGGAAAGGAGCATCCTTGTAAATTAATTTGATTTCCTGGAATAAATGTTCAGGTAAAGAATGTTTGTTTCAGAAATAACTTTCTAACTGTCATATGCTTAAAACTGTGAGTGGCAAGTTATATTATCGATTGTTTTCTTTTATGGAGTGTTTTCACAAGCCAAGAAATTCAGCGTCTGTTCAGTATGCAGTTTTTTGGGGAAAATCCTACGTAATTTGATGAAAATGCAGACGATGAATTTACATCTGGAACAGACGCCTTTTATGTGCTCAAAGTTGATAGATATGGCATAAAGTCATCATGAATTTTTTATGATGTCTGTCAATCGCCGTTTTTTGTTACTGAAAATGATGTTTGTTTTCCATTCATTCGTATTTCTCCAACAATAAAATAAACTACAGGAAACGTTGCTTGCGATGATATATTGTTACAGTTTTCGACGATAAGAATAGTTTATCTCATCCGTTCTGTTGTTATCTAAATTTATGAAATCTATATTTTCTTATGAATCAAGACAAGAAGTCGCGGTAAGTTGATAGCACTGTACTTGAAAGCACTGTTACGTTTTGCAGAAATTTTTGATGATGGTGGAGGAATGGTCTGGTATTATTCTTAATTAGGAAAAGATGTAATAGGAGTGCCCAGGGACTTCTTCCTGGTTTTTGGCGACATTTCTGTTTTTTCCGCAGTTTCGAAAGTTTGACCCCAATTCTAACAATTTCTTGAGAAATCATTGCGAGTGTGAGACCAGTAAATTCATTTCTTAAGTTATAATGTATTTTTTCATACTGGTCAATTTCACAAACGATATGAAGTATGATATTGTTGTTAAGTTTTTCCCCCATTTTTTCCCGCAAGTCCGCGTGGTCATTATCTTTTTTTAACGTTTAACGTGAGTAAGATGCACACATTGCGTGAATTTGATGAAAGTGGTTAGGAATTGTTTCGCAAAGAAAATACGTAATGTTGATTTCATTTAAAATAAGTTTGTTTCAAGCTATGGGATGATTGACTGTGTTTTATTCGATTAAGATGAAGGTTTTGTTCCATTCATATTTTGTCATTCGTGATGTACATGCAGAAACAGCACGCTTGACTGTCCGCGTTCAAATGAAAATTGAGTTCGTACTCTTATTGTTTAAATAAAAATAATGATAAAAGTTTTTGGTCTCTTTGCCTTAAATAGTATTGCTGATCACTTTCATAGATTGGAGACTTGACATGGAAAAGTTCAACGCAGAATCTATGTACGCAGTCTGTTTTGCTTAAAATAAACAAACGTAAAACTGGGAAAAAATAAACATTTTATAAGATAATGTAAATACATTTACTGGTCTAATTCATTATGAGGTAATTTGAAATAAGTTGTATGCTCAATTCTCCCTTAGTTATTTTATTTCGCCTTGTATATTTTATCTTGTAATCGGTTCATTACATAATCGATTCAGTAGATCATGCACTTGGCGTTGTTTTCATTATCACTTGTAAGGTTGGTTTTAATCATTTGTCTTCTTTCATTTCATTTTTTAATATTCAGTTTTTTATCATTCCGTTGGTAACAAGCTTTCATGAATGAATTTCCTATTCCTTTTCATTCTTATCGCTGCATCGTCTTTTCATTCCTATCGCTGTTTTTTATGAGCATTGGAAGTTTCTTTTTTGTATGTTCCCACAAGCACTTGCAGTTGACAAGCGTAACAATTGATTTCTGTGCGGAAAAGGACATTCAAGAAATCGTAAAATCTACTTTTTCTTTCTCATTTTCGCCCACCATGCGACGCATGGTGGGCGAAAATGAGAAAGAGAAAAATTGAGATACCGAATAATATCTCGGAAATTTTTTCTTTTTTACAATTTGTTAAATTTATATTATTTCGGGAAGTTGGAATATTATTTAAACTGTTACCATCTATGTTATAAGCATGACGTGTGTGTGTGTGTGTGTGTGTGTGTTTCAAGTGAACTTTTACGAGCGTAAATTTCCTTTTTCATGTTCACAAGCGATCAAAATAATGCAGAAGATAGAGTAGAAATATGCGCATTTTTTAAGAGAAAAGTTATAGTTAAAAATTTTTTGTGACTCATAAGTTATTCTATTGCATATTAAAATATCTAAAAATTCTGATGCAGTTGATTAGTCATAGGATATACTGATTCATCATCGTTTTATTTTAAATTTTTCTCATATATTAAAGCTTTTTTAGTTCTTCATAAACGGGCTGGTTTTTAATGGAGAAACTACGAAGAGTAGATGATGCTGGTGATAATCGTTGGGCGGAATTGGTACGCTTTAATATTCTTGCGGATGGTGTCAAAATTTTCGAGTTTCTTATTTTTTGACGTTCCATTTCTAAGGTGTTCAGTTACCTCTGCTGAATTAAAAATTATCTCTGCAGAAAACAATTTTTTTGATAAGTATCTGGAATTCGAAAGTTTTTAATTTGGATTCTCTTTGATTTCAGCAGGAACGATTCGTTTCGGAAGCGCGTGATAAGGAAGCTGATGTTTTATTTCTAGGTGATGATCATGTAGCTATGTTAGAACAATCATTAGTAAGTCGTTACTTCTTTCAGTTTAAATTTATGATTGAGTTAGAGCCATTTAAATTCTGATTGCTAGTGATCATCGTCCTTGAAGCGACTTTATTCCAGATATATCGAGAAAATTTAGCCCCACTTCATTGTTTGTGTTTTGGGGCTTTTGGCGACAAAATCTCCAATTTATCGTGGAGGCTTGAAAATAATATTTTGGAAGGCTTGGATCCCAAGGTATGATGTTTCGTACCTTCCACTAGTTTTTTTTAGTGTCTTTTATTATTTAAAGTTTTGTAGGTAATTGTTGTATCGATTGGCAATTCGGATTTCGATTTAACTGAGGAAGAGATGTTAGAGGCCCTGAAAAGTGTCGCTGGAACCATTCGAAAGCAGAAGCCATCAGCAAAATTGTATTTTATGGTAATTTGTTGTTTCGAGGACGCTTCATATTAATTTAACTGTACTTTGTTACCGCAATCGGAATCAAAGAGATTGAGAGCTGAACACTGTCGAAAAATGAATTTAAATTCTACAGTTAAAGAAGTGCTTTCTAAACCATGTTTTCATTTTCCAGAAGCTTCTTCCATCAGGAAGAAGACCGAACAAACGGCGTGAACTAGTGAATCGAATCAATGAAAGTTTGGAAAAGGTATTAAAGGGTGTAGCAGATGTGATTGATGTAGAGCCTTCCATACAAGGCTTGTTCATTTCATCTGTTTCTTTAATTATTTACTTATTGATCTGACACTTATCGAAGTTGTGTCACATTTATTTTTATACGTTATCATCTCTGCGTATTCAGTGGCAGTTTTCTTTCTGGAATTCTATCGTTTAAAATGTATTCTAGGATTTCAGCGTTAAGAAATTTTTTTTAATCTTGATATACTCATTTCTTGTTAATCTTGATTTAGTTATTTCTTGTTGCAAGATATATGTCCTTAAAGTTTTATCTTGCAGGTACAAATGGTCAGATTGAATCTCATTACATGTTTGATTATGTTCATCTCACTCAAGAAGGTTATCGGAAAATCTATGAGCCGGTTCTAGTCGCCGTAAGCGCTGCGCTTAATCCAGATCCATGATTTCATTTACGTTATGAAAAAAAAAATTTTTTTCGTTGCTTTATAGTTCTACATTTCCTTCGTTTATGCTACCAATTTTCACGCTTCTTTCTGTCACAAGTTCCATATCTGAATCATAATTTGGCAAAATTCGTTTTTGTGGTTATTTCTTAATTGCGACTTTTGTTTGAAAAGTCGATGATACAGGGTGTACTTCGTAATCATATTTCATGTTTCAAACACGTAGTAACGCTTTAGATTATTGGGTTTTTGCTTTCACAGCGACAAATTTAAAAAGTACATTTCATAAGTCAATTAAACTTGTATTCTGTTTTTTTTTGAATCCTTAAGGAAGGTCACTTACGCATATGAAAGCCTTAACTAAACTTTATTTGTTTTTATATTATTAAAAGTCATTTAAGAAGTTCTAGAACAGTCGATGTGCATTTTGATTCCATTTCAATTCGAATTTTTTTCTTTCTGTTCCTTACCAATGACTGTTTTGTGAAACACTGCTGTGATCTCGCTTTCTAGTTCAGCTCTATTTATGTTACTGTTGTAAGCCCATCCAAATATATACTAAGCCATACATAATTTTTTTCTTTAGCTGTGAAATCTTTTAAAAAGTATTTTCTGCGATCCTCATGTCTTTTTTCGATCTGGTGATAATAACAGAAATTTTATTGTATTGATAACTGATTCTATTAGTAGCTTTGTCACTTCGCTTTACATGTGCAGAACATATATTTTACAGCACTACGCAAATTTGTGTTTTCGCTGAGTGTTCTGTTGCATAAATAATGTTTTAAAAATCTTGTTCATTGTTGTTATTTGGTGCAAATAGTTATCTCTGTAGGAGAAGTAATATTCTTACTTTTCGGTGCTAGTTTATGCATAAAGTAGTTCGAGGTTATCTCCTGCTCTTCTCTTAAACCTATTAGAAACAATTCGGTTTTTTTTTTTTTTAGCAGGGGCATGTTAGCTTCGCTCTGTTCGTTATTAATATATTGAAATTTCGATGTTGGCTTCAATAATTCTGGTGTCTACCAGAGGTGTACGGTCGCTCAATCCTTATTACTTCCGACCACCTTGGCCGATATTTTCGAAGGTATTTTTTAAAATGTTTCTGTTCGGAACGATTTCTTTGTTTATTATAAACAATTGTGCTCATTTATTAATTTATTCAAGACTCAGGACATTCATTTTGAAAAATTTGGATGAAATTACCATTGAAATCTTAACTGGGGAAAATTGCTATTGTCAGAATTTATGATGACTTTCAATAGGCCCAAGGATGGCGAAAACGGGGCCCCACAATACATGAGCGTTATCAGCTTCCTGGACAAGATCGTGAGTTTCCCGAATTGTCGCCGAAGTTCAAGAAACAAAATCCGAAGGAACTATATAGTGAGTTTCTCCCAAGTGGCGACTATCCATCAAAAAAAAGTATATTACTGAAATATGGTTAGCAACAAGTTATTTCTAGACTATACTGGCGTTCAAGATGTCGGTTTTGTTGACCCAGTCACTGAAGAATTTGTTCATGTTGAAGAAATGTACCCAGAATTAGTTGTACCGGATTTACGAGGATTTCAGTTGTGTCCCTACGTGTCATATCGGACCGACTTTGAGATTGAAAAGAGGTAGGATGTTTCGTTCACGTTCCACATTCTATTAGTTTATTGATAAGTGAAAGACACTATACATCTTAAATCCCATTCTTGTTAAATGAATGCAGGAAGTATTTTTCTATAATGATATGCTAATTATCTCAATAAATGGAAGGACTGCTTCCACCTCAAAATTTAAATGAGCTTTAATCAGCTTTTAGGAGAAAAAAGTTTGAAAAATTGGCAGCTAAGTACGGTAGTGAGGAGGGTGCCGACTCCGTGGTATTTGAAGGTGAGAAATGGCCCCCACCGAAAACGACACCGCGCTTTTTGTTTGATATGCATTATGCGCCATTAATAAGGTTTATTCTTCACTTTTATCTTTTTCAAATTCATTATGTAAAGCTATTGTACCATGTGAGTCTTTATTACCGTTTTTCACTATGGAGATTTGTTGGATCTGGATATTGCTTACACCGTATGGTTACTACTTCAATTTTCGTTCAAAAGTTCAAAATCCTATTCCTTTTTTAAGGAACATCATTTGAAATAGATTTCAGGCAGATGTATAATGATGGAGAGTATTTTATGGATGCCGAAGTAAAGAAAGAGACCGACGCAGATAAGCCCAATTTTTAATGCTTACGGTATTTTTTATGACTATAAACTCCATTTTGAATTGTCTATTTTGTGTTCACAATGGTTTAACACAGGTGTTACTATTGTTTGTAGTAATTACTCAAAAATTCTACTCTTAATTCTTTTTCGAGTTGGATAAATAAAAAGAGAGGTATTATTCTGAACACTATGAGTTATCAAGGTTTTGTGCAGTTAAAAATTGCTCCGTTATAGCTACCGCTATGGTGTATCGTCGTTGAAAGCTCGCGGAAATTCTGCTTTTTCCCCCCTTTTCAGTAAAGACGAGGGAATGTTGAAATAGTTCATCAGTGTTAATGAAAAGCCCAAAGTAAGATTTGAGTGTTATAGTCTGGAAGGCTTTACTGTTAACTTGATTGGATGTTTCTTATGGAACAAGGAGGTTTTAAACGCGAACTTCGGTTTTTAAGCTCCGGATAAAAAAAATTTATATAGAATTGGTTTAATAGTGCAGGACTTTTCACCGAGCATTTTATGAAATGGATATTATTATATTCAAATGATTCCAGAATATTTTAGAATCGAGTACGAATCATTCGAAATGAAAAAAAAACAACAGATTTTTTTGGACTTTGTTGTACAGATCATATTGGTTGTTGTAACCAAACATATTTCATGTGATAGAAGCTGATTACGCAAATTCAGTGTTGAATAGCCAAATGTGGTAGCGGTGCTTCAACCGTTAAAACACCATCCGTACTTAGCGTACTACTGATCAGTTCTGGATTTGTTCCGCGGGGAAGCATGAACTCCTGAAGCCGAATGTATTATTAATCCAGAAAATGTCGATACAGATAGGACATGTCGAAATATAATTGCATATAAGCAGGTAAAGGAAATATCGAAACCTGATTATATTCTCTGAATACGGAACGTTGCGGTGTTTTTTCTTCGTGTTTAGCATGAACCAAAAGTCTATTATCAACTGTTTTCACTGTTACTTCCTCCGGCTTATATTGTGCGACATCGAATCTGAAACATAAGTTGAAGTTTGACTTCACGGTCATCTCGGCGCAATTTGAAGTGAATCAATGTTAATATGACGTGAAGCACGAGCTTTTCTGGAAATACATCCCAAAATCCTTCAAGAAATTTTCTTGAGTACAATATAATAAGTTAGCCATTGCACAAAGCTTTAGAAGTCAAACTGTGCAAACAATGATTAATGGCATTGTATTCTAGAACTTGCAACATAAGTTAATGAATAAACCTAAGTCTGAGTGTTCTTCCATCACTTTCATCTTTAATAAGTGGTGACTTCAGATTTTCCAAATAAGGATCGTATGTTGGTCGAATGGACATCATATCCGGTCGCGCAAAACCTCCCTCGCTACGAAAGGTACTGCTTGGTGGAGGTGCAGCGCCACCCTGTAATTCTGATTGATTAGAAAGCATAATGTACAAGAAATTAAACCTACTACACAGCAGGAAATTTTCTTTTTCAAATCCACTGCAAAGAATTCACTGCGCTGAGGGATTACCTGTGTTGAAGATGATTCGTAACGTCTCGATTCTTCGCGATGATACGTGGTGGAGCGATTATCCGCCTGCGATCCTTGCTGTGATGGTGTATATCCTGGAAAGCCATGCTTTAAAGCATATCAATTCTGTATGTTTTATGCATTGGATAAAAAGGATTCATAGTTTTGGCTTCTGAGAGAATATGAATTTTGACGACTTCTTGCGCTTTATTTATTTCCTTTTTGTATTTTATTTTTTTTCTTTATTTTTCTCTATGTCTATTATTTTTTTTGTCGCTAAAAATCAAATCTTTTTATAAGAAAGTATTAAAGCAGAAACTGCAATTAACTTTGTTCCATCAGTCCAATTTTTAAATGAACGGAAAAGGAAATATGATCGGATATGTATAAAATGAATAAAGGTTTTTGAGTACAAACAGAGAAAGCATTTATTATCAACATAGTTGGGCTCAAGACTGAATGTGAATGGAGTCTCTTTAAAGTAAGTTTTACTTCCTCGTTATATGTCAACATCCATAGACTTATATACTTGTCAAATCAGAGTGCTATTTAATTAAATACATGAATTAAATTACCAGTTGAGTGATTAATGAAGCAATTAACGGGCAATATAACCTGTCAGCGTATTTATCATCCTATTTCTTCGTTTCACCCATTCCTACCGATTCTTCCAATATCAAAACTCAACAAATTAGTAGAATTGTAATGTTTGCAGGTATTGATACTTATTAAAAACAAACATTATCTTCCACTTGATAATCATACTCAAGTAATATATACATTAATAAAATGGTAATGAAGAGAAAAAGATGTAATTATTAATTTCGGCAGAAAGACCAAAATAAAAAAGGAAACAAACAAGAAACGATGTTTTTACACATAATCTTATGACGACGAAATAAGCAGTGGATTTTAGCACAAAACTAAATAATGTCTATCATTCTGCATAAGGAAAGCATTTTTGATGGCTTCATGAATTATGAGGCTTTTCCAAACAAGTAGTGTATAACATTCCTTTTTCTTTTCTGCTCATTAATTTTAACCACTGATATATTATCATATAAGTTGTCAATAATAAGAGTACTGAAATATACATTTCAAATATTTCGAGCAAAAATAAAAAAAAGAAAAGAGAGTAAATAATTTGTATATCATGTCCTCATTAGCTATGATTAGTGTGGAGAAATCTATTCCAATTATCAAAAATCTAATGTTAATAGAGAATGAGCGTAGAGAAAAAGAAAAATAAAATAAAATAATCACTGCATGACATTTGGATTGTTCAGAAAACAAAATTGTATGAAATTACATCAAACAAATTCATGCCTTCCTGTTTTATTTTTTGATTCCTTTTTTTCGGGTGAAATATGAAATCGCCGACTTGTTTGATGATTTAGATTAAATAAAAATAGGATTGGAAACTCCAAAACATCCAAAGTCCCAGTTTATGTTTAAAACTGTTTTGCATAAATATAAAGTGATTTGCTCCAATTTTGCTGAATATTTTTTCATTTAAGTTTTAGAAAAAAAAATAGATACCTTCAAATTCTCGCCTTAAACGTTTCATCTCTTCCTCCACATGCCTCATTTCGGCTTCGAAACGTTCTCGCATACTTCCAAACTCAGTATCCAATACTGAATAATTGCTCGGTGTAACATCTATTTTTCTTTCTCTCTGCATTTTTTTCCTTCAGTTCTTCCTTTAAATTTCAAAATGAAAAATTTATCACAAATACGAAATCTTTCTGTTGACGAACATAAGCAAATAAGTGACGCAAGGCAAGCGAATAAACGAAACAAGCTCAAAGGCAGCAAAATGAGCGCTAAAATTTCGTGAAAATTCAAAAACTAAAGCAATATACTTAAATATTTAACTTCTCCTTTTTTTCTTAACCTTTAGCAACAATACATCGTGATAAATAGAGATAATGAACAAACATGAAAATGGCAGAATAAATGTGAAAAGTATTTAGAAACAGATAGTTTTCAATCCCTGAATTAATAAACCATTTTGCCAGTCATTTTCCAGTAATTTTGAGGAAGCCTGGGTCGTGCTTGTGAAATGATAATGTATATGTCTTCATTATAAATTAGCATCTTTAAATGAATAAACAAAGGATTGATTGATCCGCTATGGTTGAGATTTTGCTGAAGCCGAAATCAACACAAACATTTAACATTATTAATGAAGCAACGGCAGAAGAAAGAGAAGAGTTCAGCATAAAGTAAACACTGAATGACAAAAAAAACTTAAATTATAAACAGGTTGTGACGTTATTTAGAACCAAAATATAAATCACTATGTGATGAAAACACCCTCTAAAATACAGCTAGCCAATTTTTTGATTAATTAATTATAACAAATCTTCAGAGTGTGAATTTACTAACAAAATGAAACGAAAATTTTGAAAAAAAAAATCATTAAGTGTTGCTGTAAGAAAATCTTTGACTCCTAGTTATCAGTGATCTCATTTTATTATGTAAAATGAAAACTTAAATTTGATCTAAATTTGATCATTAAATTGATTAGTTCGATTAATCCTTATTTAGAACTTATATGGGTTTAGCAAGAATTCCTTGGCTGTCATAATTACGCGAACGAAGGTGGAACCCTTGACTGCGAGAATCTTTGCTTGAAATCAGAATCAACGATGAAACATGCAAATCTTACATCAAACTTACTTTCCTGATTTCTTAATCTTAAGATTTTTAAAATTCGGTCCTAAATTCTTTAATGAGCCGTGCAAATCACCCTCACTCGTCTGAAACAAAACGATGATACTAACTGCACCTCACCTACATTTCTTATCATTCATAAAATTCCTGTTCATAAAAATTATAAGGTGAAAAACTGGAAAGCATTTTTGGAATTTGGAGCAAAAAGGTTAACTACGAGAAAAAAATAGCACTGATAGGTAACCGTAACGTCTAAACCGCAATTTAATGCTTTCTTCGTCAATAATAAAGTAAACAAAAATAGACAAATCATTTTTTTTGTTTCCGTAAACCATTTGGAAAACACGGGAAAGCTAATGATATCAATCTTGCCAAAATATTTAAGATTTTTTCTTTTCCGTTTCGTTTTTCCAAAGCAACAGTTACAAGGAAATTTAAGAGTTTGTATTCCAACAAACACTATGATTTGCTTTAGTTCAGCATTACAAGAAGTTTTACAGTGAAAAAAAATTTCAGTTCTTTGATTTTAAGTAGTGATGAAAGAAGGGAAGAAAAAGCGACTTATAAGCCTAAAATCAAGCTATGCTCAAGGCAATTTTAAATGGCTCTTTTCAGATGATGCATGAACATCAGCACATTTTCCCAAGCATTAATTAAAGTGCAAACTTAAGGCTAATTAAATTCGTATTATGTTATCTCATCTCCAATTTACGGTTTATAATTGTTGATACAATTCCTATTTATGTTTCAGCAAACATGACGAAAGACTACCACTGTTAGATGTCAATGCCTAAAAATATTCCAGCGTTATCAGAAATATGGTAT